TCTTGCAAAGTTACTCAGTATACGGAACAGTATGAACTACTCTATGAGGCTTACATAAGTTCCAACATATCTTTATCAAAATAAACTTCTTTTTTTACAAAAACCTCAAAAACGTACCTTTCCTACAGATTTTTACGTTCACATTTTTCACAATAGGCGTCACAGCATCCGACACAGGTGTAATTATCAGTTTAATCTTGTTACCTGGAACAATGTCTTTCTTAATATTTGGTAAATTTACCTCTACTGTTTTGTCGTCTGGTTGAACCTGTTTAACAACAAAGTCATTATGTAAATTAAATGATACGATATGACATATGCTGGATATAGACAATAAAGTATATTTACAGTGGATATCTTTGACAGTCATTTCAGAACATTTCTCTTGTAACGAAACTTTCATTTCATTTTGAGTATTAAGAACGTTTTATATATTCTAACAACAATTTTCTTGAACAAATGTTTGTACAAAAGAGAGTTGCGTGCAGGGATTTTTTGTCTAAAATACTGAAATATAACAGGTCAAGAGCTTTTTAATAAATCGAAACAATTTTAAAAATAGAAAGGTATGTGCAAAATTCACACAGTGCTCTACACATTTATAATAAACTGATATCAGAAGGACAAAAGACGGGATAAATAATTTAAAAAAAAAAAAAACAGTTATATTTGTGGATAGAAAACATCTAGTACATGCAAAAATCGAGGTAATATGTAATAGAGAGTTGTTGTTTATACAGACGAAAAGTGTAACATAAAACTTTGAATTGATCGAATTACTAAGGATTTTCTAACCATGGAAAAGATTATCTTAGCCGTATTTGGTAAAAATTTTCGAAATTTTTTTCACTTCATGGTCTTCAACTTTGTACTTTATTTTGCCTTTTAACATTTTTGAGTAGAGCGTCACTGATGAGTCTTTTAAGGACGAAACGCTCGTCTGCCGTACAATATCACAACTCTGTTATTTTTGATGAACAAATTTATACTATCAAGTTAATTTGTACATGCTATCCATATTTAGGGCCTTAACGTGATATGCAAATAGACCAAAAACTAATGTGGTCTAAAAGTAAACGCTTAGAAACCACTATATGTTTATACTTATGTATTATTTCAGACTTAAAACTGAAATGAAAAGATCATTTCACTGATGAGTTCGCCAAAACTAAAGTCTTAGTTGCAACTATACGTTTGCAGATATTTTTATTCTGCAAACTGCAAATTTGATTTGCGTTTTATGCTTTGTTTGGATTATCTAGAAATGTGGAATATTTTTTTTGGGTCATTTTTAACATTTCTGAAATTTCATATTTGATCAAAAAATCCCGTTACCTACGTTTACGTTTGTATTACTTAAATAACAAATGTTGTGATATAACACTTATTGCAACATTACAATAACGATTCTATTCCATCATATAATTAAAATATTGCTAAAAAAAAATTGAAAAAAGAGCTTGATATTAACTAGTAGTAGGTCATTCCTTTTTCCAGCAAACTTGAGTAGAAAATGTTAGAGAAAAATTTGACTTTTCAACTTGAATTTCCTAAATCCCTTCCTAAATAAACGTAAAAACCGAAACTATTTGTATTTCTTCTACGCTGAAACAACCAATTAGTTGGATACATATCATACCTTGAAAGGCTCATCAAACACTACTTCATTGTCATTGTAAACAATGATTCGGACAATGTCAACCTTTTCTGTTTCTACAATTACATCCATAATTGATTCCGGTTCCTTCCATGACAATACAACATTTGGTGTAGTATCATCTATTGCTGGGGTCCAGCCTTCAGGCTCAAGAACTTGATCTGCCTCATATGGATTGGATGAAGTAATCACTTCTTCGACATCTAAGGTATCAGATACAGTATTTGCCGGACACTCTTTGATTGCTAAAAATATAAATATAATCGTATACTATAATCAAGTATATGCATATTTATCATAGAGACTTTCTATTTATAAGTTTGGATTAAAATATTTCTATTGGGGGATCCAAGTTAGCTTAACTTATTCGGAAAAAAGAATATGGGAATCAATATCTTTTAACCATCTTTATAATATTTCATCGACACTATTTTTCATTAACAAAGTGTTTGTGTGTAAACCTTCCATATGGACGTATAGTTCTGTATTAAAAGCTACAGTAAATATACCGATGTTTAAATCTCATTAATTCATTCAGAATATACAAATAAGGATACAAAACAAACTCGCAAGAACTTCATAAGCTGTTCCAAATCAGGAAATGTTAAATGCTAGTTTTAAAATAGCATTTAAGCACATATTAGAATATCCATGACTTATTTATTCAATTTTACATCAAAAGGGATTGAATTTATTTAATATACAGAAATTAAAATCATGTCACTTTAAAAGCACTTCCCCGATGACATATTTTGTGGAATTTGTTTACAACACTGATTAAAACAAGTAAGCTTCAATTTATATTTTACAGTTCGGCCAAGTTTTAGGGCAATTTGATTTACATGTAACGATGGGTTATGGGGTTTAGTGAGGTCTAAGGGTATGATATGAGACATTTATCAATCTTCAATGGTATGATATCTACTCACTGAGGATGACATATCAAAGTATTTAACAGACGAACACAGCATGGGTCATGTCGAGCAGGAACTGTCGACCCTTCCGGATTACCTGATTGTATGGAGGATTTGTAATGGGGTTCGTGTTGTTCAATCGAAAGTTTTTGTATCATTTTTTGTGTTGGACTGTTATTTGTCTTGTCATTAACTTTTTAACATTGTCTTTCTTGGTTTTTATTGTCTCTTGTTGTATTTTCTATTCTATTTTGTACGGTATGCGGGTTAAGTGTTGCTCAGTCTTTAGTTTTCTTTATTTTGTTTTGAAAATTGTTGTTTGTCTCTTAGTATTTTTCGTTTTTTGTCATTGCGTTGTCTTTTTATTTCAGCTTATGAGTTTGAATGTTCCTTTCAGTATCTGTCGCTTCTCTTTTTGCAGAAAAAGAATATCTATCGTCTTTCGTTTTGAATAATGGTATATAAAATATTGATAAGATAAATCGTTAGAAAAGGATTTCTTTTTAATTTGAAAACAATGTCAATGACTATTCTATGTTGCTGATTGGGTCAGAATATTCCAAATGACTTATCTAAGAAACGAGATACCATTGTTATTTACTATTAGTACTTTTACAGTAAAATGTATTTATTTACACCTGCCTAATGTGAAAACTATTCAATTATAACCTATTTAAAATGAAGTCATTCTATTGAACATACCAGTGGTTTTTATGTGGGCTTCCATTTGCATATTTTGTTTCAACTTTCAAAATAACATATAAATTTAACAAGTAAACCATTAACTAACAACTTAAATAGCTATGCGTTTCATAATGACTGTTTCCACTAAAATTTAAACACGATATTAGAGAAATAAGCCAAAATTTAACACATCAATCGACAAATATCCCTGCACAATTAGATTCCGGTTTGTGGCATTGTTTAAGACATAAATTCTAGTGAATTATCACATACACCGATTCAAATTGTTTCATAAATTGTTTCACTATTTTGATCAATTTTTTTTTGATAAAACACACTCCTTAACAGTAGCGTGTAAGTTTACTCTGACATACCTGTCGTTGTTGATACCAAAGTTGTTGATGATATAGTAGGCAGGATGACTGTTGTGATCTCTGGAAAACATATTTACATTATTTCTTTCTTTTAATTGAAAACTTAATTACATCATCAAACATATACGTGTAATGTGTTACTCAAATATCTTAAAAGAAATGAGTGTTATCTAAAATGTATACAACTGCACAATTTATTTGTAGCAACAAAATATATATTTCATTTTGTAAATTTATATCCGTAAAAGATAGAAAAATAGTCAAATTAACAAAACCTTAGTATTGTTACCTTAAATTATCACAGCAATAGTAAATAAAGGCAATAGTAGTATACCGCTGTTCAATAGTCATAAATCGATTGAACTGTAAAAAATCCGAGCCACTAACCAAAACCGAGGGAAATACATCAACTATAAGAGGAAAACAACGGAACAACATAAACAATAAACTGCTACAAAAACAAACGCCAACATACATAGAAACGGACTATTTGATTACAACTGCCATATTCCTTACTTGATACAGGACATTTTAAGAAAAAATGGTGGGTTGAACCTGGTTTTATGGCTAGCCAAACATCTCGCTTATATGGCATTGTTAAAAATGCCGCTAAAATGACAACATTACGTGACAGGAATACATTACAACTAAACGCAAGAACACTCAGGACAAAGACATACATAAATAAATAATATAATTTATCAACGCCACGAAAAGTGACGTCCACGTTAAATTTCTAAAAATAGAATATAAAATTTGGGATAAAGTTTGTAATGGTGTTGTTTTATGTATTTTCTAACCATTACAAGAATACTAACATTTATAACGGTCTTTTATGTGAGCCAGAATGTTGAAGATTCTAAAGCTAATATGATAATGAATGTTTAAGAAAAATTGAGTTATAAGAGTGTGGGAATTCGGATGTGAAGTATTTTTATAGCCATGTTGTCTATTGCTGTCTTTCATTAAAGCTTACATTATCAAAACTGCTACTTTATAACAAAAAACCTGTTAATTTCATTGATGCATGTGTTGGGATTAATATAAGATAATGACAAAATTTACAATTATGCATGCAGCGAGACCAAAAACCAAAATTGCTTTATTTCTATCTCCAGATATTCATTAAACCGTGTATTTACTATTTTATCATACGATGTATAATAAAAGGTATAATCACAATAAAATACATGTAACAACCACTCTAACTATTTTACGTAATTAAGCTTTCGGCTATAAAAGTTCCTTATGATACATCTCGTTATTTATAAATTCGGCAGATTTTATTCATGTTAGCATTCAAATACAAACATTTCTTTTCTATTATTTGTCTTTATAGATATCACATACCCACATTATGCTATTACGTACCTTTTGGATGAATACATGCAATTACTTCTGTATCAGAAACAATTGGTGGTTCAGCCCTTAGTGGCGACACAAGTTTTATTACAATTTCTGTACCAATAACTCCGTTGAATGTTAGAACTACTGGTTCTTGTCCGGTTGACTTTGGCTTTTGCTGTAATAAAATGGTAAAGTTTCAGTTACGTTATACATAAAAGAAATTTTACAAAATGAAATACAATTCTTAATGGTTGGTTTATGTATGTTAATGTACTAAAAGTAGATAGTTTTAGAGTTAAAAGTTTAATAATAACATAACAAGTTAAGAAATAATTATCGTGATGTATTTGGCAATTTTGAAATTGTACATGTTCTGTTCCTGAGAAACATTGGTAATAAGTTACTTCTGTACTATTTTCCACCTTACTATGTAGTTAAAGCAACTACATAACTGACAGGTCAGCATAAGCTCCACTTGAACATTTTTTTATGATGTACATAAACAAACAATTGATATTGATGCAAACAAAGCAATGAAGCAAATATCCACATCAGATTTGTACACCAGCAAAAGATTGGCAGAAATCTATAAAGTATTATTTTCGTTTGCAATAGGATTTGTTGTGTTCAATTTTCATCACAGTTCTGTAGACAACATAAGGAAATTGATGTAGGTTAAGGTAATGTGTTTTCTTAAATTTCAAAGACAATTTTTTTTCAATGGTGGCCACCATGTATTCCCAAATCGGAAGCGGAGGGATAATATTTAATACCAGTTATCAATTCATGACATGAAAGTTCACCTAGATATTATTTCCAAAAGTCCGAGAACTTCGTATTGTTAAGTATTTAGACGACATTTGTTAATCGCCGTGGACGAGTCAATTTTAGCTCTAGGAACTCATTCAGGACATCATATTCTATTCAGATGTCAAAACCGTTTATATGCACTTATCAAATATTTTTTTCTGTATTTTGGCGTCCTTTTTAAATGGTTCTAAACTGATATGTTTTACATCAGAATTAATGTGAAATACAATAAAATACATATATTTATCAATATTCGTTGAACTTCAACGCAGGAATATGCTTTTCAAAATTTAAAAAAATTGTTTTCCATTTTTCTTTTCAATTTTCACAAAAAAAAATCATCAAATTTACAAAACGCATATCAGACCTGTCTTTAATACAGGCATAAGAAGATATAGTATAAATGCCAATACGACAACTCTCCACAAAGGATCGTAGAAGTATGTCTGTCTGGGCTGCATATAACAGACTTACCGTTACAGTTATCACTGATACTCCTTCTACATTCTTTAATTCAGCTTCTATCCTTTGTACATTAGTGACAGTCATACCAACTTCATAAATCTTTGGACTGTCGTCATCGTCATTTAATTCCAAAACAACTACAGGGTTTCTAGCATCAGCAATCCATCCCGAGGTTCGCATTATGTCTTCTGGACTAAATCCATTGGCAGAATCATCAGTAGTAACTGTCAACATTGCTGGAGTAAGTTCATCTAAAGCGGTCTTCATACACTCTGTTTGATGAATAAAAACTTCTTCAGGGTGTTAGTTTATATATGCAGTATTTCTCTATAAATTTTATTTGCAGTTACGTTTCATTTGCTGATCAAATAGAAGAAAATACTAAAGGATTATTTGAAAGGGAGAACAAAATGAGATAAGATTTCGGCAAAGACTATCAAAGACGAACAGATAATTGATATATCTTACAAAAGAGATGATTTCAGCTTCCCAATTGTGAACTTTCCATTTCTATGTAGCAGCATTCCAGCAGCGCCTGCATACGGAGTATATATCTCCCAGTTGATACGATATTCCAGGGCTTGCATTTCCTATCATGATATCCTTTATAGAGGGTTGCTGCTCACAAGGAAGCTACTAAACCAATAGTTCTAAGTGGTGAAGTTGAAATCATCCCTTCGTAAGTTGTACGGACGCCATCACGAGTTGGTTGACTGTTATAGAATATCCGTTTCACAGATGTTAGCGGATATGTTCCTTATGTCGTAACCACAATCCCGTCCCCATTTCCAGAATGTGACCTACCGAATTAGACTTTTTACCGGGTTTGTACTAACACGAGCAACACGACATGTGCCACATGTGGAGCAGGATCTGCTTACCCTTCCGGAGCACCTGAGATCACCCCCAGTTTTTGGTAGGATTCGTGTTGCTCAGTCTTTAGTTTTCTATGTTGTGTTATGTGTGCTGTTGTTTGTCTGTTGGTCTTTTTCTTTTTTAGCCATGGCGTTGCCAGTTTATTTTCGACTTATGAATTTGAATGTCCCTCTGGTATCTTTTGCCTCTCTTTTACACAATTAAACACAAAGAAAATTAAGATTCATCTACACGTACAGCCAAATTAATAGATCCGACATTAATTTGAAGTTGATCTGACGATAGCAGCTTTAGCTACATTATTGTCAAAACATTTCGGGAATATTTGGTGAAAAGACTCAATCAGTTTTTATTAAATATAAAGGCAACAGTAGTATACCGGTGTTCAAAAGTCATAAATTGATTAAGAGAAAACAAATCCGGGTTACAAACCAAAACCGAGGGAAACACATCATTTATAAGAGGAAAACAAAGGAACAACAGGAACACCGAAGTGCAACAAAAACAAACGTTAACACACATAGAAACGAACTATTTGATAACAACTGCCATATCCCTGACTTGGTACAAAACAGTTTAAGAAAAAATGGTGGGTTGAACCATGTTTCATGGCATGCCAAACCTCCCGCTTTATGACAATGTTAAAAAATATCGCTAAAACATTATGTGACAGAAATACAGCACAAACACACACAAGAACATTCATATAGTAATAATTAAATAATTACACAACTGATACAAAACTTTTCCCCATGTTTTCCTCATTCAATTTATTAACAGGGATTATCGCATACGGACAAGGACTGCTGACCCTTCAGAAGCACATGTGTTTACCCCTCATTTTTGATTGGATTAATATAAAACAAAAATTCAGTCAAAACCGCAAACATATCCTTACATAATCGGATCCCAATTTAATGTTTTAAAAGTTAATTTCAAGTAAAGGATGAAAAACATCAACTGAAAAGGATTAAAACACTGTGTTGTAATTTGGTTATAACATTCACACATAACTTAGCAGCAATATAGTGTGGGATTACTTTTTGTGTTCTGGAGCAACAGTTATGGCTACATCAACACGCTTCCTGTAGACCTATACAACTTATGATCCTACTTTTAAACTTTGTGTCGTCTTTTATTTCCTTGTTCCAGTGCTCAATGTGTATTACTCATTAACGATATTTATGCACACGTTTAACTTATATCTGATTAATCCCATCGTGTGTCTATACCAAATCAAGCTACCTGTTCAATGTGTTATTCGTAGTTGTTTGCCTTTGTTTGTTGGTCTATTGTTTCGTTAGATTCGGTGTTTGTGATTGATATTTTCGGTTATACTGTCGAATATTGTATCGTATATAATGTTGTATGTATGAAAGCTTTATTCCGACATCTTCGTCTCTAGGTCGCTTATCCGACTGTTACTTTATATTTCTACAAGTTGTACAGGTACATTTTAACATACCTGTCGTTGTTGATAACAAAGTTGTTGGTGCTGTAGTAGGTGGGATGACTGTTGTAATCTCTGCAAAAGATATTTACATAATTTGTTTCCTCTAAACATAAATATATATATGGGATCAGAAAAATACAAACATGTCTAGCAATTTGGTGTTTCTATAGTTTAATGTAATGCAGCTTTTGAAAAATATTGTTTCGTGCGATGATAAAATTCTTCAAAGCAAATGGAAATGTAAATGCGATAATTGATGCAAGAAGAGATAATTCTATACTAGTTCTACTGTATAATAAATTTTCAAACCGGAGGATTTTCTCAGCTACAATCTCATTAAAGGGCGATGGGATGTTGCCGAAAAAAAACATCCTAAAGTTTGAAAGACCATTGATAATATGTTTATCGCTATTTTGAATATGAACTCGTTGCTGTTTACATTGACAACGGCACGTTAGCCCTAAGTTTTTAGCGTTAATTTACTATCTCAAGCGAGTAACATAATATGAAAAATTATCAACAAAAAAGATCAAATGAAAAATACACAAAACAGCGATAACCCTAAATACTGTTCTGAAAGGTTCATATCTACTACACTTTGATATATAATGCTCATATATAGCACATATTCATAACCCGTGTAAACGTGCTATTGATCTATTGACTACTTGTTAAACAGGTGTTTATAAATATAAATCACTTTCTGCACTTCGAGTTACATAAAACTGTATCATATCTTTCATATTTTTGCAATGTGATTTCGTGATAAGTATATGGAGAATATGTGAATTGGGAACTTGGAAGATATATCTAGTTCTGTACTTTTTGTATTTTGATTACAATAAAATGCAACTTTACCCTTGTAATCGTCCATGTATAGTTATTTAGTATATGGATAAGTATGACCAACTGTGTGAAGCTAAGATGGGAAATTCAAGCAATTTGATTGGAGGAGAAGTTGTAAATAAGTACCAACTTATCTCTGTTAAAATAAACTAATTATTATAGAAAAATCTCAAAAAGTTACCTTTCCTACAGATTTTCACGTTCACATTTTTCACAACAGGCGTCACATTATCCGACACGGGTGTAATTATCAATTTAATCTTGTTACCGGGAACAATGTCCTTCTTTATATTCGGTAAATTTACCTCTACTGTTTTGTCATCTGGTTGAACCTGTTTAAAAACGAATCAATTATGTAACATAAATTACACGATATAACAAATGCTGAATACAGAAAATAAAGTATGTGTACATTGGATATCTTTGACAGTCATTTTAGAACAGATTTCTTTTAAGGACAAATGAGGAGCTTATGGAATTTTTTTCTAAAAGTAGCGGATAGAAAATATCGAGTATATGCAAAAGTTAAGGTAATATGTAACAGAGAGTTGTTGTTTAAACAGACAAAAAGTGTGACATAAAACTTTGAATTGATCGAAATACTAAGTATTATCTACCCCAAGAATTCATAAGCTTAGCTCTTTTTGACAAAATCTTTCACAATATTTTTCCTAAATGCTCTGAAACTTCGTTTTTATTCGGCCTTTTAACATTTTTTGTTAAAGAGTCACTGATGAGTCTTTTGAAGATGAAAAGCGCAATATTATAAGCCTGGTATCTTTGTTAATTTATACTATCTAGTTGATTTTAACATGTGCTCAATATCTAGGGGCCTAAACACCATATGAAAATTGACAAAAATCTATGTTTATAACGTAGGCGATTAGAAGTGTTGTATCTATATCCAGAACTACATATTTGTACCTATTTATGTATTATGTCAGACTTGAAATTCACATAAAAAGATCAAATTTCACTGATAAGTAAGCAAAAAGTTTTAGATGAAACCATACGTTTAGAGATAGTACTGTAGAAATCTTTCTATTCTGCAAACTGCAACTTTGAATTGAGTTTCTTGTTTTGTTATATATCTATGGATATCTAGAAATGTGGAATATTATTTTTGTCATTTTTAACATTTCAGAAGAAGTTTTATTTGATAAGAAAACCTGTTACCTACGTGTACGTTTGTATTACCTAAATAACAAAGACTATTGTGATATAACACTTTTTGCAACACTACCATAACGATTCTATTCTATCATATAACTGAAATACTGCTAAAAAAGAGCTAGACAATAACTAGTAGGTCATTCCTTTTTTTTTAGAAACTTGACTAGTAATTGTGAGAGAAAATTTGATTATTCAATTAGAATTTCTCAAATCCCTTCCTAATTAAACGTAGAAAATGAAACTTTTTGTAGTTCTTCAACGCTTAAATAACCAATTGTTTTGATATGTATCATACCTTGAAAGGCTCATCAAAAACAACATCATCGTCATTTAAAACAATGATTTGAATAGTGTCGACCTTTTCTGTTTCTAAAATTACATCCATGACTGAATCCGGTTCCTTCCATGACAATACAATGCTTGGAGTAGTATCATCAGTTGCTGGGGTCCATCCTTCAGGTTCCAGAACTTGATCTGCCTCATTTGGATTGGATGAAGTAATTACTTCTTCAATATCTAAGGTATCAGATATCGTATTTACCGGGCACTCTTCGATTGCTATAAATATGAATATAAACAATTACTATCATCAATTGTATGCATTTTTATCATAGATACTTTCTATTTATATGTTTGGATTCAGAAATATCTATTGGGGGATCCAAAGTCGTTCAACTTGTTTTGAAAAGAGGATATGGGAATCAATATCTTTAAAAAAAACCTTTTAAACATTCTCACGACAGTATTTATCTTTAACAAAGTGTTTGTGTGTAAACCTTCCCAAATACATATAGTTTAAAACGCTCTTTAAAAGGCTACAGTATTTTACCGATGCTCAAATCTCAAAAATGCATTCAGAATATACCCAAACTAACCTGAGTTACTTGCAAAAGCTAAAAATGGAACTATCCAAAATCAGGAAAAGTTAAACACTAGTTTTAAAATAACCTTAAAGCACATAACATAATATATATATAACTAGTTTATTGTAAGTAACATCAATAGGGATTGAATTTATACCACATAAAGAAATTAAAATCATGTCATTTTATAAGCAGTTCACGGATAACATATTTTGTTGAATATTGACACGGACACAAACTTGTAGTAAAAAAAGTAGGCATCAGTTTATATTTCACACTCGGTCGTTACAGAGCAATTTTACTTACTTGTAACGATGGTTTATGAATTATAGTGATGTCTTAGGGTTAGACATTAGGCATTTACCAATTTGCAATGGTATGGTGTCTACTCACTGAAGATGGTATGTCAAAGAATTTTAACAGAGAAACACAGCACCTGTGTTCATGTAAGATTTTTAATGGAGTTTCTGTTGTTTAATCGAAAGTTTCTGAGCGTTTTTTTGTTGGATTGTTGTTTGTCTTCTCATTAACTTTGGCTCATGGTAATGTCTGTGTTTCTACGTTTTCTGCTTCTTGGTTGTCTCTTTCATTCTATTTGACAGGTTTGCGGATTCATGTTGCTTAGTCTTTAGTTGTCAATGTTGTGTTTTGTAAACTGTTGTTTGTCTCTTGGTGTTTTTCTCCATAGCGTTATTTTCGACTAATGAGTTTGAATGTCCCGTTTGTATCTTTCTTCTCTCTTTTGTAAAAATGAATATCTATCGCCTTTCGTTTTAAATAATGTCATTCAAAAGATCCATTAGATGAATCGTTATAAAAGAATTTCTTTTTAATTAGAATATGATGTCATTGACTAAGTAATGTTACTGATTGGGTCAGAATTTCAACTGACTAATTTATGAAACGAGATATCATTGTTGATTAGTAAGAGTATTTTTATAGTAAGATAGAACTTTATTTACGTATGCTAAAGTTCAACACTATCTAAGTTTAACATATTTCAAATGAAGTCATTCTATTGAACATACCATTTCTTTTATGTGGGTTTGAATTTGAATTTGTTTTCAAGTTGCAAAACCACATATACATTTAATAAAAAAACATTAACACACAACTTAAATAGCTATGAATTTCATACTGATTGTTCCCACAAGTGCTAATATTAAAAAACGATGTTTTGGAAATGTGCATCGATTTAACACATCAAAACTAAACCACTACAATTTGGTTAAAACTGCCAAAACAGCCCTGTACCTTTTGATTTCGATTTACGGCATTGTCTAATACGTAAATTCCAGTGACCGATGACATACACCAATTCAAAATATCTAATAGATTGTGTCATTATTCTTTTTAAAGAAACTTTATTGAAACAGAAATCTTTACATTTCTCTTGAATCCATTTTATAATTTACATTTTATAAAGTAAAGTTGGCAGCTTGTAATTTTACTTTAACATACCTGTCGTTGTTGATACCATAGTTGTTGGTGATGTAGTAGGAGGGATGACTGTTGTAGTCTCTGTAACACATCAAAACAAAACATACAACACACAACTTAAATAGCTATGAAAATTGCAATGGTATGATGTCTACTCACTGAAGATGATATGTCAAAGAATTTTAACAGAGAAACACATAACCTGTGTTCATCTAAGATTTTTGATGGAGTTCCTGTTGTTTAATCGAAAGTTTAAAATATTTTTAAACTAGTTTTAAAATAACATTAAAGAACACAACATAATATATATAACTAGTTTATTGAAAATTACATTAATAGGGATTGAATTTATATCACATAAAGTAATTAAAATCATGTCTTTTTTAAGCACTTCACCGATAATATATTTTGTTGAATATTGATAACAACACGGATACAAATTTGTAGTAAAAATAGTAGGCCTCAGTTTATATTGCACATTCGTTTGTTATAGGGAAATTTTACTTACTTGTAACGATGGTTTGTGAATTATAGTGATGTCTTAGGGTAAGACATTAGGCATTTACCAATTTGCAATGGTATGGTGTCTACTCAGTGAAGATGATATGTCAAAGAATTTTAACAGAGAAACACATAACCTGTGTTCATCTAAGATTTTTGATGGAGCTCCTGTTGTTTAGTTGAAAGTTTCTGTATCGTGTTTTTTGTTGGATTGTTGTTTGTCTTCTCATTAACTTTGGCCCATGGTAATGTCTGTGTTTCTACGTATTCTGCCTTTTGATTGTCTCTTTCATTCTATTTTACAGGTTTGCGGATTCGTGTTGCTTAGTCTTTAGTTGTCAATGTTGTGCTTTGTAAACTGTTGTTTGTCTCTTGGTGTTTTTTTTCTCCATAGCGTTATTTTCAATTAATGAGTTTGATTGTCCCTTTTGTATATCTATCGTCTTTCGTTTTAAATAATGTCATTTAAAAGATCCATTAGATAAATCGTTATAAAATGATGTTTTTTTAATTAGAATATAATGTCATTGACTATGCTATGTTACTGATTGGGTCAGAATTTCAACTGACTAATTTATGAAACGAGATATCATTGTTGAATTTTTTTAGTAAGATGGAACTTTATTTACATATGCTACATTTCAACACTATCTAAGTTCAACATATTTCAAATGAAGTCATTCTATTGAACATACCATTGTTTTTTTTATGTTGGTTTGGATTTGCATTTGTTTTCAAGTTGCAAAACCACATATACATTTAATAAAAAACATTAACAAACAACTTAAATAGCTATGAATTTCATACTGATTGTTCCCACAAGTGCTAAAATTAAAAAAACGATGTTTTGGAAATGTGCATCGACTTAATACATCAAAATAAAACAACTACGTTTCGGTTAAAACCGCCACAACAGCCCTGCACCTTTTGATCTCGATTTACGGCCTTGTCTAATACGTTAATTCCAGTGACCGATGACATACATCAATTCAAAATATCTAATAGATTGTGTCATTATTCTGTTAAAAGAAACTTTATTGAAACAGAAATCTTTACATTTCTCTTGAATCCATTTTTCAATTTACATTTTATAAAGTATAAGATGGCAGCTTGTAATTTTACTTAAAGGATGTACACCTCTGAGGAGCCAAAAATTTCGAGAATTAAACTTTTTTTCTTAACCTGATTTTTGGGTTTATATGACTGTAAAAATAATTGATGAAGAAAAAATCATATGGTGGTGCACTTCATTTTTTGCTACAGCCATTTGAAAGTACCCAATTTTGATGATTTTCCCATTTTTCATCAATTTTTACCAATTTTGGGGCTTTTATCATGAAAAAAATCAGTTTCACAATTAAACATTTTTTTCATATTTTCACTAAAGATGAAGTGAAGTAATCTGAATAAATTTAAATTAAAATAAATATGGGTAGGTGTTAATATAAGAAAATTTATAAAACTTTGTTGCTTTTTCGTGTCAAATTTACTTTATTGTCAATTTTGTAAATTTGGGATTTTCTCTGTTTTTAGAACAAAAAGTATGCTATTTCAACTTCTTTGTTATAAATGATTAAAAAAATGCTTATCTAAGAAATTTGAAAAGAAAAAAATTGATATGGGATGTACATGTAACTGGTACATCATTTCTTGTACCCCTCACCCATTTTCTCAACATTTTGGCTTATGAGATTGACTAAACTGGCTAAAAATTTTAAAATTTTAATACTCAGAAACTACTTATTGTAAATACACAATTTTTTCACAGAGTTAAGTTTGATTATAATATTTTTTAAATTCATTGATATTTTCCACTTGTATCACATGTTTTGGAAATAATTCCAGAACGAGATTTTAACGAGACTGAAACGTCAGAAGAATACATCCTTAACATACCTGTCGGTGTTGATAACACAGTTGTTGGTGATGTAGTAGGAGGGATAACTGTTGTAGTCTCTGTAAAATATATTAACATAATTGTTTCTTCTAAACACAAGAATATATGGTATCCGAAACAACACATTTATAGCAATTTGGTGTTTTATAGTTTAATAGAATGCAGCTTTTGAAAAATATCGTATCCTGTGATTATAACATCAGATTGACGAGATCATAACATTCATCAAAGGTATTGAAAATCTTAAATGCAATAATGGATGGAAGAAGAGATCATTCTTAACTAGTTCAACAGTATAATTACTTATTATCAATGGTCTTTCAAACGAGAGAGTAGTTCTCAGCTACAATCTCATCGAAGGGTGACAGCCATTGATAATCTGTTGAATGCTTTTTTGCATATGACGTTGTTGATGTTTATATTGACAACGTCATATGCAACGTTATTTGATTACAATAAAATGAAATTTTACCCTGTAGTCATTCATTTACAGTTACTTAGTATATGGAAAAGTATGAACTACTGTATGAAGCTTTGATGGGAAATTCAAGCAATTTGATTGGAGGATGAGTTGTAAATTAGTGCCAACTTATCAAAACAAAATATACTAATCATTTTACAAAAAACTGAAAAAATTACCTTTCCTACAGATTTTCACATTTACATTCTTCACAACAGGCGTCACGTCATCCGACACAGGTGTAATTATCAATTTAATCTTGTTACCGGGAACAATGTCCTTCTGAATATTCGGTAAATTTACCTCTACTGTTTTGTCATCTGGTTGAACCTGTTTAAAAACAAATCCATTATGTAACTTAGATTAGACGATAAAACAAATGCTGAATATAAAAAATAAAGTATATGTACAGTGGATATCTTTGACAGTCATTTGAGAACAGGTCTCTTTTAAGGACAAATGAGGAGTTGCGTGCAGGGAACTTTTTGTCTTCAAATAGCTGATAGAAAATGGCTAGTACATGCAAAAATCGATGTCATATGTAATAGAGAGTTTATAAAGACGAAAAGTTTGACAAAAAACTTTGAATTGATCGAAATACTAAGAATTAACTACCCCAGGAATTGATAAGCTTGGCTCTATTTGGCAAAATCTTTCAGAATATTTGGCCCTCAATGCTCTTCAACTTCGTATTATATTTGGCCTTTAAACAGTTTTGATTAGAGCGTCACTGATGAGTCTTTTGATGATGACACGTGCAATAGTATAAGCCTAGTATCTTTGTTAATTTATACTATCTAGTTGATTTTTACATGTGCTCAATATTTAGGGGCCTAAACACCATATGAGAATCGGAAAAAATCTATGTTTATAAAGTAAGCGCTTAGAAGTGTTCTATCTGTAACAAGTAAAATAGTGAATGGAAATGGGGAATGTGTCAAGGAGACAACAACCCCACCAAAGAGTAAATACACAGCCGAAGGCCACCAATGTGTCTTCAACACAGCGAGAAAATCCCGCACCCGGAGGCGGACTTCAGTCGGCCCATAAACAAAATTGTGTATTAGTTCCGTGAAAATGGACGTCATACTAAAATCCTAAACATATAAATGAACTAAAATGAAAAAAACTTTCAAGACTAACAATGGTCAGAGGCTCCTGACTTGGGACAGGCGCAAAAATGTGGCGGGGTTAAACATGTTTAGTGAGATCTCAACCCTCCCCCTATACCTCTAGCCAATGTAGATTAAACAAACACACAGCAATACGTACAGTAAAACTCAGTTTAAAAGAAGTCCGAGTCCGATGTCAGAATAGGTAACAAAAGAAACTAAGGAAAATGACAATGATACATAAATTAACAAAGGACTACTAGCAGTTACTGACAAGAACTACATATTTGTACTTATGTATTATTTCAGACTTGAAATTGACATAAAAAGATCAAATTTCACTGAAAAGTTAGCAAAAAGTTTGAGATGTAACCATACGTTTAGAAATAGTACTGTAGAAATCTTTTTATTCTGCAAACTGCAACTTTGAATTGAGTTTCATGTTTTGTTATATATCTATGGATATCTAAAAATGTGGAATATTTTTTTTGTCATTTTTAACATTTCAGAAGAAGTTTTATTTGATAAGAAAACCTGTTACCTACGTGTACGTTTGTATTACCTTAATAAAAAAGAGTGTGATATAACACTTTTTGCAACATTACCATAACGATTCCTTTCTATCATATAACTGAAATACTGCTTAAAAAAGAGCTAGGCATTAACTAGTAGGTCATTCCTTTTTCTTAAAAACTTGACTAGTAAATGGGAGAGAAAATTTAATTATTCAATTAGAATTTCCCAAAACCCTTCCTAATTAAACATAAATAATGAAACTATTTGTAGTTCTTCAACGCTAAAATAACCCATTGTCTTGATATGTATCATACCTTGAAAGGCTCATCAAAAACAACATCATCGTCATTTAAAACAATGATTTGAATAGTGTCGACCTTTTCTGTTTCTACAATTACATCCATGATTGAATCCGGTTCCTTCCATGACAATACAATGCTTGGAGTAGTATCATCAGTTGCTGGGGTCCATCCTTCAGGTTCCAGAACTTGATCTGCCTCATTTGGATTGGACGAAGTAATTACTTCTTCAACATCTAAGGTATCAGATATCGTATTTACCGGGCACTCTTTGATTGCTTTAAATATAAATATACACAAATACTATAATCAATTGAATGCATATTTATTATAGAGACTTTCTATTTATATGTTTGGATTTAGATATTTCTGTTGGGGGATCCAAGTTCGTTCAATTTTTTTGGAAAAAGGAATATGGGGATCAATATCTTTAAAAAAATCTTTTGAATATTCTAACGGCATTATTTATCTGATACAAAGCGTTTGTGTGTAAACCTTCCTAAGAACATATAGTTTAAAACGCTCTATTAAAGGCTACAGTATTTTACTGATGTTCTAATCTCGAATCTAATCTCAAAAAAGAGGGACGAAAGATACCAGAGGGACAGTCAAACTCATAGATCGAAAACAAACTGACAACGTCATGGCCAACAATAAAAAGACAAACAGACAAATAATAGTACAGATGACACAACATAGAAAACTAAAGACTAAGCAACACGAACCCCACCAAAACATGGGGGTGATCTCAGGTGCTCCGGAAGGGTAAGCAGATCCTGCTCCACATGTGGCACCCGTCGTGTTGCTTATGTTATTACAAATCCGGTAAGTAGTATAATTCGGTAGGTCACTTTCGTGAAAAGGGAAGGGTATTGTAGTTACGACATAAGGAACATATCCGATATCATCTTTTATTCCATTACGGTCAACCAACTCGTGTTGGCGTCAAAAATGCATAAAAAAATACATTAGGCATTACCAATTTGCAATGGTATGATGTCTACTCACTGAAGATGACATGTCAAAGAATTTTAACAGAGAAACACATCAAGGGTCATAGGTGGAGTAAGACCTGTTGACCTTTCTGGATCATCTGTGTTTATCCAAGATTTTTAATAATAATGATAAATTCTTTATTTTCAGAAGGTTACACAGTTAACAAAACAGTTAATCAGCCCCGTGGCCTTCTAATCTACATATAAGAATAGAGTTCGTGTTGTTCAATAGAAAGTTTCTGTATCGTGTTTTTTGTTTGACTGTTGTTTGTCCTCTCATTATCGTTTGTCCATGGTGATGTCTGTGTTTCTACGTTTTCTGCTTTTTTATTTTCTCTTTTATTCTATTTGACAGGTTTGCGGGATTCGTGTTGCTTAGTCTTTAGTTTTCTATGTTGTGTTTTGTAAACTGTTGTGTGTCACTAAATATTTTTCACCATGGCGTTTTTTTCGACTAATGAGTTTGAATGTCCCTTTGGTATCTTTCGTCTCTCTTTTGTTAAAATGAATATCTATCGTCTTTCTTTTTAAAAACGTTATTCAAAAGATCCATGAGATAATTCGTTATATAAAAGGATTTCTATCTAAATTGAAAACAATGTCATTGACTATGTTAAGTCACTGATTGGGTCAGAATTTCAACTGAATAATTCATGAAACGAGATATCGATTTTTTTCCCCGAGTATTTTATAGTAAAATGGAACTTTATGTACATATACCAAAGTTCAACACTATCTAATTCTAACATATTTCAAATGAAGTCATTCTATTGAACATACCACTGTTTTTTTGTGAGTTTGGATTTTCATTTGTTTTCAAGTTCAAAACCACATTTACATTTAATAAAAAAAAAAACATTAACATAAAACTTTAATAGCTATGAATTTCATACTGATTATTCCCACAAGTGCTAAAATAAAAAATAGGTTAAAACCGCCACAACAGCCCTGCACTTTTTGATCTCGATTTACGGCATTGTTTAATACGTAAATTCCAGTGAACGATGCAATACACCAATTCAAAATATATAATAGATTGTTTCATTATTCTGTATAAAGACACTTTATTGAAACAGAAATCTTTACAGTTCGCTTGAATTTAATTTTCAATTTTTCCTTTTATCAACAAGGTTTAATTTGCAGCTTGCAACTTTACGTTAACGTACCTGTCGTTGTTGATACCAACGTTGTTGGTGATGTAGTAGGAAGGATGACTGTTGTAATCTCTGGAAAATATATTTACTTTATTGCTTTCTCCAAATTCAAAACTAAATTACATCATCAACAATATATGTGCATTGTGTTATTCATATATCGTGAATGTTCAGGAAAATGTACACAACGTTGCAATTTTTTTGTAGCTGAAAATGAATGGTTACATTTCTTCTTTTTTAATTTATATCCGCAAAAGATTGAAAAATAGTAAAATAAACAAAATAAACCCAAACATTGGTAACTGAAATAATCACATCCATAATTACATTTATAACGGTTATTCACGCGAAACGGAAGGTTTATGATTCGAAGGCTAATATGATAACGGCTTTGTGACATTAAAGAAAAATTGAGTTATAAGAGTGTGTGAATTCGTCATGTGAAGCATTTTAATAGCCATGTTGTCTATTCACTTAAGCTTACGTTATCAAAAAGTGCTACTTTAAAAAAAAAAACTGTCAATTTCATTAATGCATGAGATACGGTAAGTAAAATAAGATGACGATATTTAAAAAATCCTTGAAGCGAAACCTAAAACAAACTTTGCTTCATATCTGTCACCCCATATTCCATAACCTATGTCAGTCGGCAGTATTTATTTATGTTAATGCCTAAATACAAACATTTCTTTCTTTTATTTTTCTTTATAGATATCACATATCCACATTACGCTATTACGTACCTTTTGGATGAATACATGCAATAACTTCTGTATCTGAAACAATAGGTGGTTCTCCCCTTAGTGGCGACAAAAGTGTTATTACAATTTCTGTACCAATAACACCATTGAACGTTAGAACTACTGGTTCTTCTCCAGTTGACTTTGGCGTTTGCTGTAACAAATTATCAAAGATACGGTTATGACACACATAACAGTATTTATACAAAATATGAAAAAAATTGTCCGTAAAATTATTAGAAATATGTAAGCTCTGTACTATTCTCCGCCTTACTATTATGTTTGGAATTAACAAATTCTGAAATATTTTGAATGCTGACATATTCATACTAAAAAGGACCACTTTTGATCTAGAAATGAATACCTTTACGGTAAAGCATTTACAAATCTTTAAATTGCTGTAACGAGATGTCATAATATTTATAAATAATATTAGAAAAATGACATGTCTGCATGGGCTCCGTATGCACATTTTTGTGTGATGAACATAAACAAGTAATCAATAGTGATGCAAACAAAGCAATAAAGCAAATATTCACACATACATTTGTACACCTAGTAGTTCCTATATAACATCATTGAATACTAGATTGGGCCTTACTCAGATGCTTTTTTTTAAACATCCCCATTAAAACGTTAAAAAAAGAAGTAACGAGTAAATTATTAGAGGAATACTGATTCTATGATAATTAATTGCAAGTTTGTTATATCTGCATATTCGAGACTTACTGTTACAGTTATCACTGATACTCCTTTAACATTCTTCAATTCAGCTTCTATTCTTCGTACATTAGTGACAGTCATACCAACGTCGTATATCTTTGGACTGTCGTCATCGTCATTTAATTTCAAAACCAGTACAGGGTTTCTAGCATCGGCAATCCATCCAGAGGATAACAATGTGTCTTCTGGACTAAAGCCGTTTGCAGAATCATCGGTAGAAACTGTCAGCATTGCTGTAGTAAGTTCATCTAAAGCGGTCTTCATACACTCTGTTTAATGAAAAAAAACGTCTTCAGGATTTTAGTATATTTTGTAGAATATTTCAAGAAAATACTAATGGAGTAGCAAAAGAGGGTGAGCAAAGTGAGATAACAACTCATCACAGGCTACAAAAGATGAACAGACAAATAATACTCCTTAGAAATATAGACACTAATAAAATGAAGATTCAGCCACACAAATAGCCAAATAAATAGATAAGATAGTAGATATAGGATATATGGACAACTTTGCAAATGCCAGTAATTGAGCAGGAACTCCTGACCCGTCAAGAGCATCTTAATAAAGCCCAAAATTAGATTAAAGGTTTGTGTTGACTTTGCTTGTCTTTGGTTTTCTGCTATTCTATTTTTAATGTCGTTGTGGTTTCTATCGGTAAAAGTCTTGTATATTCTTCATTGTATATAATAAGGATGTATTTATTTCAAACTTTCACCCTCAGTCAAGTTTTGGGTACAAAGAATTAACATGCATCGATAGTTTATGAATTTCGTGATGCCAGTGATAATATATTCAAGTAAAAAACTAACTTATTGTCTCAACCGCAGACATATCCTTCTACGATCATATCTTAATCAAAATTGAGAATGGAAACGGGGAATGCGTCAAAGAGACAACAACCCGACCAAAGAGCAGAAAACAGCCAAACGCCACCAATGGGTCAACAGTGAGAAAATCCTGCACCCGGAGGCGGGCTTCAGCTGGCCCCTAAACAATAATGTTTACTAGTTGAACGAAAATGAACGTCACACTAAGCTTCGAAACATATAAAAGAATTACTATATTGTAAATTGATTATCAACGTCACATAAAGTTACATTACTTCACACAAACTATTCTTATTCTGATCATCTGACGATTTTTAATATTAACTGGCCTCAAATTCTGCCGATTTCAAATAAAAAAAAAATCAAGACTTATAGAGCTGTGTCTTGTTACTTTATGTGTTTTGGAACAGCAGTATCCATCATTACATTTATTGTATATTTCTCTTTACGTTTGGTCTACATAGGAAAAGGTGATTATTTGTGTACACGTCAAATTGGTCTAAACACACCTCATCGTATGCCTATACCAAATTAAGCTACATTTACTATGTGTTATTCGTAGTTTTTTGCTTTTTTGTCTGTACAACTTTTTTAGGAGTAGTCGGTTGTTTGTGTTTGATATTATCTGGTATACTGTCAAATATTGTTGTATGTATTACAGAAAAAAGATTATAACGCTTGTCCCTAGCCCTCTTATATTCGATTGTTTAGTTCATATTTCGACAAGTGTAAAGCGGGTATTTTCTACCTGTTACTTTAACATACCTGTCGTGGTCGATAACAAAGTTGTTGGTGCTGTTGTTGGTGTTGTTGGTGTTGTTGATGGTGCTGTTGTTGGTGCTGTTGTTGTTGGTGCTGTTGTTGCTGCTGCTGTTGTTGGTGTTGTTGTTGCTGCTGCTGTTGTTGGTGTTGTTTTTGGTGTTGTTGTTGCTGCTGTTGTTGGTGGGACGACTGTTGTAATCTCTAAAAAAGATATTGACATCATAAAATACATATCATAGCATAGTTAAATGTAATGCTGCTTCTAAAATGATAAAATTTCCCAAAACTTCTATCGAATATTACATGCAAACACAGCAAGAAGATAACATGCTTAACTAGTTCTATTTCTTAAACTAAATGTTGTTCTGAAATGTCTGAAAAGGTTGTGTCAAGCGTTTTTGAATTATGTTTACAATTTTGCAGAATATACTTTTTTCAATTTACCTATCTTTTACATGTAATCAAATTATGCCCAAATCTGCATATCAGGCAAAACGTCGACGACCACATTTTCATGTGGCGAATTTGTGGTAGCTTTCATCAACATAAATTAGTATTATTTTATTACCTGGAAGATATTCTCTTTCTTTCAAATAAAAACCCAAAAAAGCCTTAATACTTATTGTTCTACAAAAGATACCTTGATTTCAATGAAATACAATTTGACATATTAAGTCACCCATGAATTGGTACTTAGTACACAGAAATAGATTGTACTTCCGTATAAAGCTTAGAGGGGAATTTGAAGCAATTCGTTTGAAAGAGGAATTGTTAATATGTGCTTATTTAATGAAAATAGAATATTAGATTGAATATCATTAAAAAAAACAATTACCTTTTCTACAGACTTTAACGTCCACATTTTTCACAACAGGCGTTACATAGTCTGACACAGGTGTAATTATCAATTTAATCTTGTTACCCGGAACTATGTCCTCCTTGATATTTGGTAAATTTACATCTACTGTTTTGTCATCTGGTTGAACCTGTGAAAAAAGAAAGCAGTTTTGTAATTTGAATGAGACACTATGACATATTTTGGACGAAGGCAATACAGTCTATCTAAAATCAGCAACATCCAAGTTTTGCCAAATACAGCTAAGTTAATCTATTCCTGAGGTAGAAAAGCCTTAGTATTTCAAAAATTCAAAGTTTTGTATACAGTTAATTTACAGAAGAGAGTACATTTGCTTGAGAAGAATTGTACATATAGACCAAAAGTAAGAAAAACTATTTAGTTGATTCTTACAGACGTTCTGTATTTATGGATTTAAAAACCATATGAAAATCTGTCAAAGTCAATGCGTTTTAACAGTATAAGCTTAGAAGTGGACGACATATATAAATTTTGTATTATCTCAGCTTTTCCATTCAAATAAATAAAAATAAAAGGAGTAGATTCACGAAGGGTTAATATTGGGTCAACAATTCCGTGAAATTCAACTTCAGTCATAAAACTAAAAAACAATAAAAAGTGATGATAGATTGATTGGTGTTCAACGCCAATTCCAGCTATATTGGCTTTTTTTAGGCGGACCGTTTTCATTAGTGGAGGAAGCCGAGCAGTGCCCGGAGAGAACCACTGACCTTCGGCAGGAAACTTTCAATCCTAGTCAATTAAGATTGGAGCCGAGAACACCAACCATCTGCTCGAAGAATTTGATGACAAAATATGTAAAGTTGTCTAACAAAAAACCAATCCAACAAGCTCAGACCAATTAGAACAGCTGTGATAGTTTTTTATTAATATTTTGGTCAAAGGGGTCGGTCAATGTTTTTCAGAAAGAAATAGACCTTACAAATACTTAAAAACAGGTAAACTTGATAGCAATTTGTAAAATATCATCCCTTGAAGGTGTCATCATTCTTAAAATGATCAGCAGACAACAAAAGTGTTTAGTGTACCTTAAATTCCAAATTTAAGATGACAAATAAAGGATTTACATATGGTATAACAAAGAAAATCATTTTTACGGCTAATTTAAGGCCTTCATGGTCATATTCATATAAGATCGAATTTCAGTGGTAAGTTGGCTCAAATAAAGTATTTATTACACCCATAGAATTTTGGCCTACTACTAGTATATCTTTTAACTCTGCAAACTGCCAAGGTGATTGTTTTGTTTGATATCTTAAAATGTAAAATACTATTTTTGTTTTGTTTTTGGTTTACCTTAATGTACGTTTGTATGACCAAAATTACAAATACTGAGATATACTACTTATCGCAACATAACTAAAGCTTTTCTTTTATCATTTCATTAAAATACTGCAATAGGAATATCAAGGAGCTAGACAGTAATACGTAGGTAATTTTTTCTGCAAACCTAATAGTAAATTGAGGCTAAAACAATTTTTGGTCACAACAATTCTAGGAATTACAAGTGTTCTTGAGAATTTGATTATTCGTCTAAAATTTCACAAATCCATTATTTAAACATACATAAAATATAAGAGTATATGTAGTTATTCATCGCTAACACAACTACTTATGTGACGATATATCATACCTCGAAAGGCTCATCAAAAACAACGTCATTGTCATTGTAAACAATGATTTGGACAGTTTCAACGTTTTCTGGTTCTAACGTTACATCCATTATTGAAACCGGTTCTTTCCATGACAAAATTACGCTTGGAATAGTGTCTCCAGTTGCTGGGGTCCATCCTTCAGGCTCCAGAACTTGGTCTGCCTCATTTGGATTAGATGAAGTAATCACTTTTTCAACATCTAAGGTATCAGATACCGTATTTACTGGGCACTCTTTGATTGCTACAAATATAGATATTAACTTATACTATAATCAATTGTTTACATACCTATTATAAGGACTCTCTTTATAAATTGTATTCGCATCGAAATACTATACTTTTTTTTTTTGATAAGTTTTATTATCATTATATGAACAAATATGGCAAAACAACGATGGCAATTTCTTCACTCACATTTTTGACGGAATTATCTAAAGCTTACTTTCGTTCGTTTACAAAATGTTTCTTTCGTGAAGGCATACAAACAATCGAAGAAGGCATTATTATTTAATTTAAATTTCATTTACATACTTCATCATGAACAAATTACCTTTCCTTGTAAACCTTCATCACCAAAAACGTTGAAACAAATTTCAATTGACATTAAAGCACAACACAGAATAGCCAAAGCCTACTTCAAGTTTGCGTCAATAGAATTATTCCATGATACCGAGTATCAATCATTTCACTTCTAAAGCACTTCACTAGTGCCATTGAAAATTGTTAACAACAAAGACAAATAATGATATCAAATAATACATTTAAAGTATAGCAGAAACTACTTAAAAAATTGGACAATACACAAATCGACAACATTTGACTCATTCAAGGAAAAAACAGACCAACAAACAAAGGCAAACATAGATCGAACAACATATAGTTCATACAGCCTGGCTTGATAAAACCAAAAAGAAGAAGAAAAACACTCATAAACGGTTTCATATAACTTAAATAAAAAAGCCTTTTAACCGGAGTGAATATGCCTTTGTTACTTGCTAAACAGAAACGTCTGAATTTATCTCCGGTTTTTGAAAGTGTTTGATTTGCTCAATCATTAGTTTTCTGTGAAGTGTTTTATGGACTATTGTCTGTCTTCTGATTATTTTTTATTTGTCCTGATATTATCTGTTGTCTTATATATCTGACTTTGGTTACCTCCTTGGTATCTCCACCCCATTTTCATAAGGTTTGTAAAACAAAACATTGATAGGAAATTTGTTTATAAAAATAAGAAGATGTGGTATGATTGCCAATGAGACAACTCTCCACAAGAGACCAAATGACACAGAAATTTACAGCCATAGGTCACCATTAGTAGGAACCAATAACAAATATAGCTATAAATTTCATACCAACTGTTTCCACAAATGCTTAAATTAAAAGCACGTTTTTGGAAATGCACCTAAATTTAACACGTCAAATTTTAACCGTTTGGTCAAACCCACATAAATAGCTGTTCCATAATATTTAGATTAATGACATCTTTAAATGGAATAATTTCAGTAATGAATAACAAATATAAAGTCGAAATGTTGAATAGATTATGTCACAATTTTGTTATCAAGATCACATTTAGTTATAATGGGGAATGTATCAAAGAGACAACAACCCGACCAAAGAGCAAAAACAGCCGAAAGCCATCAATGAATCTTCAACACAGCGAGAAAATCCTGCACCCGGAGGCGGGCTTCAGCTGGCCCCTACACAAAAATGTGTACTAGTTCAGTGAAAATGGACGTCATACTAAACTCCAAAACATATAAATGAACTAAAATTAAAAATCATACAAGACTAACAAAGGCCAGAGGCTCCTGACTTGGGACAGGCGCAAAAATGAGGCGAGGTTAAACATGTTTAGTGAGATCTCAACCCTCCCCCTATACCTCTAGCCAATGTAGAAAAAAACAAACACACAGCATTATGCACAGTTTGAAAGAAGTCCGAGTCCAATGTCAGTATAGGTAACAAAATAAACTAAGTAAATTGACAATGATATATAAATTAACAAAGGACTACTAGCAGTTACTGACATGCCAGCTCCAGACCTCAATTAAACTGATTGAACGATTATGTCTTCATCATATGAAAATCAAGCACAAACCCTCCCGTTACGGGTATAGTATCATACCATCATAAAATATATGAGAAGAACATAAACCGTATTATGCCAAAACTGGTTTTAGAATAAATGTGTTTATTTCCAATGCAAAGACCCTATGAGTGCATCAATGTTAATACCAAATATGCCATCTTTAATGAACTGACAACAGTTTCTATAAAACTATATTAAGACGACAATCTCGTGTATAGTGCTCTTATGTTCTGATTTAACCAAGGTAAACTTTTTTCAACTGTTACTGTAACATACCTGTCGTTGTTGATACCAAAGTTGTTGTTGATGTAGTAGGCAGGATGACTGTTGTAATCTCTGGAAGAAATATTTAGATCATTTGTTTCCCCTTATTGAAATCAGGAAAAATATAGAAGGTCAATCCAAAACTAATCTGTCAAATTTATGAGAGTGAATTAAACTATGTTTATCATTAATTGTATAATAAAATGTACAAACCAACATAAAAAAATCAATCATCAATTCATAAATCTCAAGCAATATAAAACGATCCAATACAAACTGTCTGCCGTGTTACTTTCCACCAAATATGATCTGTCAGAGGTACCAATATTTAGATGCAAAAATCAATATTATTCAATATGATTATGTATAATTTTATAAACTATCAGTGAAAGACATTTTATAAATGATCATGTTAAAGATTGCTACGTGTTGGTCATTACGTTGAAACAAGTCAACATTTTTAGATATCATATTTCGGTAGTTAGTAGATGTATTGATTGATTACTTTTCGCATTAACGCATACCTTTTTTTGCATTCTTTCAAATATATATGTGATACATTTCCGCATTTTGTTATAACATACCTTTTGGATGAATACATGCAACAACTTCTGTATCAGACACAATAGGTGGTTCTCCCCTTAGTGGTGACAAAAGTTTTATTACAATTTCTGTACCTATAACACCATTGAACGTTAAAACAACTGGTTCTTCTCCGGTTGATTCTGGATTTTTCTGTAATGAAATATTAGAGACCTATTTATGAAATACATTTTTTATACAAAATGAAATATCTAAAACAAAAATGCTGGTTAAATAATGCATTCAAAATTAAAAAAGGGTTGCAACCCCTACATGAAATTTTCACCTTCGACTGCTCTCTCCGTCACAAGGTCTTGATGCTCGCAAATATCTTATATTTTTTCTTAAAATGTCCTGTACCAAGTCAGGAAAATGGCTATTGTTGTCTTATAGTTCGTTTCTGTGTGTGTTGGATTTTAGTGTTTCTGTTGTGTCGTTTTTCTCCTCTTATAGTTGATGTGTTTCCCTCAGTTTTAGTTTGTAACCCGGATTTGTTTTTTTCTCAATCGATTTATGAATTTCGAACAGCGGTATACTACTGTTGCCTTTATTTGGTTTCTTGCCATTTTGGTCTGACTATGACTGAAGTAATAAATTCTTGAAACACGTGACGTGCGCAAAGATAATTGCTACTATAATTTAGCTATACTGTGATTTAATGATTTTTTTCAGGACATTATCTTCCATGAAGTTTTGGTCTTTGCTTTGAGAAAATTACTTAAAGCTGACGGTAACTTGTCTTGTCTTGTGCTAATGGCATTTTTGAAATCATTCCGGTTCTGAAATGTGCCGTAGACACATTTGAAATATTTAACTTCTAATCGAAACAGTATTCAAATGTTGACTCATTCATTAATCAAATAGAAAACGTATCATCTTGTAAAGTAATTATTAACTGGTACATGTTTTCAAAACAATATATCAAGGCAACGCGATGTAATAAAGACATTACGTGTTCTTCATATTATTTCTTCTTTCATAACAGTTTTATAGTAAATTGTTGTAAAGCTAGTCCATGACTAGATGTTATATTTTTAAAACATCATCAAAACAAATTCTGCAGGCAATACGGTATTTGTGATTATTATTTTTCATGTTTTAGACATACCGTCACAGTAGTCACTGATAGTCCTTCTGCATTCTTTAATTCAGCTTCTATCCTTCGTACATTAGTGACAGTCATGCTAACTTGATAAATCTTTGGACTGTCGTCATCGTCATTCAATGTCAAAACAACTACAGGGTTTCTACTACCAGCAATCCATGCAGTGGATGACAGTATGTCTTCTGGGTTAAATCCATTTGCCGAATCATCAGTATTTACTGTTAACATTTCTGGGGTAAGTTCGTCCAAAGCAGTCTTCAAACATTCTGTAAAGTAAAATAGTATTTATATATTTTATATTGTGCATGATTAATATGATTTTAATTGTATATTCTACCAATTAATATAATATACAATAAGGGATTACCAGGTACATAAACTTGTAGCACTTTTTCAGATATTAACCTTTCATTGTTTCTAAATCTTGATCAGTGGATATACACAATGCAATTACAGAACATGCAATTTAAACCACAAAACCACCTGCAGATTTAAGTTACTAACATTTAACTTCCATAGACATATATAGCAAAGCAAGAGACATAAGAGACAGAAAAAATAAGTTAAAGTCGTCAAATTCTGCATTTGATATAATGTACACGTCGCTACCGATTCTGAAGTTGTTGGTCCTAGTTTTAGAGTGATTACTGTTGTTGTTACTGTCATTATTATCATTATTACTATTTTCATTATTATTATCTTCCAAACAAATGGTAGTATGTGGAAGATAAAGTTTCACTATGTACTATTTAAGATGTTCAACCTCGGGTATGAACTTATAAAATCATATAACATGGCAAATATAAAATATAATTCTGATTATTTTACAAACCTGTTGTTGTCGACACCAAAGTTGTTGATCCTGGCGTCTGTGTGATAACAGTTGTAATCTCTGAAAAATATTGGTAAATTGTTTCATTTTCATTCTAACATTGAGTGATTTGGTTGTCTTGGGGTATTAAAATAATTGAGAACTAGATGTTCTTTGAGAATTGTAAATATTTGGTATCATGTAAAACATGTATACTCTTTTTCTCAGTAACATTAGTATAACAGTTGCAATTTCTATCTAAAAACCGATATTTTCGTCTGCCAGTGATGCTTGGGTTGTTATATTGTCGATATTTTCGTCTGCCAGTGATGCTTGGGCTGTTAAAGTATCGATATTTACGTCTGCCAGTGATGCTTGGGCTGTTATATTATCGATATTTTCGTCTGTCGGTGATGCTTGGGCTGTTATATTATCGATATTTTCGTCTGCCATTAATGCTTGGGTTGTTATATTATCGATATTTTCGTCTGACAGTGATGCTTGGGCTGTTTTATTATCGATATTTTCGTCTGTCGGTGATGCTTGGGCTGTTATATTATCGATACTTTTGTCTGCCAATGATGCTTGGGTTGTTAAATTAACGATATTTTTGTCTGCCAGTGATGCTTGGGCTGTTATATTATAGTTAACCCTAAAATTTCATTTGATTCGAATAAAAAATAATAAGTTCCATTACAGCAAAAGAGGACATTGTACTCGAAAGTTTCAAATTTGTTTGCATGAAGCTTTTATCGAGGTGAGAAATCCGAGTCTTCGGTGCTCAGATCACATTTGGTAATCCTTTATATGTTACAAGAATAATTCCAATCGGAGTAAAAAAAACATTTGAGAAAAAATGTATGTTCTTTACGATAGTTGGTACTAGACCAGTTATAGTTTGATAAAAAATCTTTATTAGAAATTATTACTTTTATAGAACAGTAGATGCAATTTTTACAGCCGCATTACGACCCGAACCATCTTATTTAGAAACCGAATTACATCAATATTAGTGTATAGTTGCATATGTATGGACAAGTACATTTTACAAGTAATTGATTATATTGACTGTTAATTTTCACCAATAACAAAGAAATATTTATAAATTTGGAATCGAATATTTTTCTTTCTTTTTCAGTATCTTACCTTTTGGGTGAATACAAGCCTTAACTTCTGTATCGGACACTATAGGTGGTTCTCCCCTAAGTGGCGACAGAAGTTTTATAACAATTTCTGTACCGATATCACCATTGAAAGCTATAACAACTGGTTCTTCGTTAGTAGATTTTGGATTTTGCTGTAAAAATATGTTACAAATAAGGTAAGGTGTGTAATATCGCTCAGTTGTTTTTACAAAGTGAAAAACAAAATTAGTTAGTGGTCCTATGATGACTTTTACATTTCTGGATAATTGATTCATTCAAAAATATGAGTGATCTATAAAATTGCATGGAAATTGAACGAAAACGTAGTTATAATGTTACGAAGCTTGAAATATCTGTAATATCTAACAGTGAGAAAATATATTATATAATCGATATGCTTTATAGATCAGATGTAATATGTATATCTTAACGATTTTTTGTTTGTTTGTTTTTTTAAAGAAGAAGTTGTTCCCAAACTCAATAATTACTATATGATAGTTTAATTGTCTAATTGGCAATATAACTACATTTCCTTATCATTGTTTTGACATTGATATTTCATATTCTTTATATATATATGGATTATAAATAGTATAAAAAGATTTACCGTCACAGTTATTCATATCATTTGCATAAATGGATTATAAAATATAACAAGACTTACAGTTACAGTTGCTACTGATACTCCTTCTACATTCTTTATTTCAGCTTCTATCCTTCGTACATTAGTGACAGTCATGCTAACTTTGTAAACCTTTGGACTGTCGTCATCGTCATTCAATGTCAAAACAACTACAGGGTTTCTACTACCAGCAATCCATCCAGTGGATGACAGTATGTCTTCTGGGTTAAATCCATTTGCAGAATCATCGGTATTTACAGTCATTAATTCTGGAGTAAGTTCATTTAGAGTGGTCTTCATACACTCTGAAATGTGAATAAAATTTCTGCAACAGTGCTTAATTGTGTATTGATGTATTGACTGTATCGTTTCTCATAAATATGTTTATGTATTTATCGTAACCAAAAATATGTTGTTTTTGTAAGGCTTAGTACATTAATGAACTTTCCAAATTAGCAATAAAAATATGCCATCACTACCAAATTTCCTCAATGTCAAAACCATTTAGTAATAACATCGGACAAGTACTTATGAGTAATCTGACTTAGGAAGTGACGTCTCATCTTACCTCTTTTAAAATTTTGTCCCTTTAAATGTTACCCAAAAAATTATTTTAGAAAACTTTTGTAGACTGTATGTTGATCTCTAGATATCTGGATTTTTGTGTGGTTGGTTTGCTGTCTCGTTGACCTTTACCTGACTTTCCCTCTGTATCAACATTTGTTATGTACCGTATACATCCAATATTGAAAATGCAATGTGTATTTTCAAACTGTTAGTAATATTTGTCAAATATTTAAAAGAAATGCTAATATTTAAAAAGATTAATAAAACAATTAAGAAGATACCAAGTGACAATAAGGGACGATAAAAAAAATGAAAGTCTAAGAGAGACAGGTAACGCCCAACAGTTAAAGACGAACATCCAAACACTATTAACACCATTATCAAGCTGCAGGCCAAATATTAAATCATTCCGTTGCAAAGAAGCCAACAAAAGTTTTCTACCAAAGGTCTTCCGGACGGACAGACAGACGGACGGACGGATGGAATGCCGGAATGGTGGATAGATTCGAGCAATTACTAGACCTACTTTCGCTATTGGCGACACAGATAAAAATCGGGTACTCCAAAAGGGTAACATGTAGCAGTAAGACAGGCAAATGCATTTCATTTTACAAACCTGTTGTGGTTGATACTACAGTTGTTGGCTTTGGTGATGTTATGGTCTTCGTTGTAGTTTCTAGAAAAAAAATAGTTAAACATTTTATCATAAATCCGATAAACATTGACTTATTCGATGTGTTGATTAGAAAAAAGCATTACTGAATCCGAGCTAGACATATCAGTTGATAAAGTCAGCACATCTGTAGAAACTCAGAAGGTTCGTCAAATATTCTGTATGGAAAAAAGAAAGTTTAACTCACTAAAATTTTGGAATAGTAGAAGTAACATAACCAAATAGATAAATTTCGATCGTACGAATATAATTATTTTGTAACAGAATTGTTCTTTACTTTCCCTATATCACAGTCTCATTGGCAATCCTACAACATTTCTTATTATATATTAACTGTAAGGCGGGTCAGGGCAACGATAGATGGATGACACACTTTCTTAAGAGAAACGTAGCTTATCCGATATTTAACTAAATCATGTTAACACTTCAGTGTCAGCGAACAGCGGTGTTAACACAAACTTTGTCACACTATTTGATAACTAGTTCCTAACCGTTTGTTGGAGCAGTAGTCAGAAGACCAGTTTTTTTTGTACATTTATTTTTAATGCAAATATACAACGAAATTGTATATATGGTTTCTTGTTTCATTTAGGAACACCATACCTATTGGGAACTTTGTGTTGTTCAGTATGCGGTATTTTTGGAAAACGTGTTGATCTACAATATTTTCCTCATTTGAATTCAATGGTATGTGCACATTCAGTTTTTATCTCAGTATAAGTTTTTAATGCGAACAACGGCATCTTTTTCGGGTAATTTGCCAATAAAACACACACAAAATAGCTTTCAAAGTCTAATTATTTTTTTAATAGTACCCATTGTATATGTAATTTTTTTTATATACGTAAATCAACAAAACGTAGCATTGTTCAAGACAAAATTCAATGACGTTGGTCAGTGTTCACACTTCTGCAAAACAATATTTTCGATAGAAGGAAAATGAGAAGTTGTTGAAGTAAAGAATTTTTATCGAAAGAACTATAGAAGATAGGCAATATTTCGGTCTGTTCTTTAAAATATGTCATTCGGTATTGAGCAACATAAATGTATCCGTTTACAAAATAGCCAAATGATCCAATCTAAACATCAAATTTTCTCCCTTTCAAGATCTAGGTGTGTAGGTATAAATACTAGCTTCGAATGAATTAAATGTAATGTAAATAATTATATTTCTGCGTTCAAATATCTATATTAATATATCACTCACAGCCTTGCAATCGAAATGAGTCCTTACTTATACAGAAAGGGAAATAGTGGTATTCTGTATAACAAAATAAGGCAGCCATTGAGTGCGGGAGTGTGGATATAACTTAAATCTTTGATTTACTCTCTTTAACAAATGTAAATCATATTTTGACACTTTTGAAGATTTCTTGATGTGATTAACTGACAAGTTTTAAAAAAAAACTATGTTATAACAAATGTCTTTTCTGTGTTTTATTGCCGAAGAACAATTCTTCCAATTACCTATTAATCGTTGATAAATTTACTTTTAATAGGAAGATGTGTTTACATTTAAGAACTAATCACCAAAAAAATGCATAGGTAAGAGCTAACAGTCATTTTTTCTATGTTCAAACTCGTAAATCCGATTTGAATATAAAAGCAATGGACAATAAAACCCAAAAAAACGAGATCGATTATGTCGATAGAGTAAACTTCTCAGGCTATGTATGCCTTACCCGCGAATTGAATCCGGCCATCATCAATATATCTGAACGTGATATTAAACAATATTGCAAGGTTTTTTTTTTTTGTCTTTGGAAAGAATTCCTCATCACACGAATACAGGCAACACATTCTAACTATAAAAACAGATATATTCCATCTCTAAACAACTAGGAAATAAACAGCAGCAGTGCATTTTGATTGCTTTTTCTGCATTTTCATGCCTTATTATCCAACAATGATTAAAAAATATATATTTACCTGTGATAAGTGAGGGCGCTGTTGTTGTCTCAAAGCCTAAAAGAAATCACAGAAAACAGAATGTTTTTTGTTAGCAATATTCAATTATATTTCATTAAGATAGATCCTTTAACGTAGTGGTATTTGAAAAAAAACAACAGAAAATGTACCTCCTTTGGTTTGCATTTGTTGTTAATTGATTGACTATTTATGCTTTGTATCTAATACTTTTCAACTTTACTTGAACTTTTATTATGTAACATTCTGAATGGCAAGTAAACTTCATTTTAGAACACTAATAATAGCCTTTCATTGTAATTATTAGAACAGCTACTCCTGAATATTCACTTATTTATAGACATGATTAATTATCATATTACTTATTCACTTACCTGGATGGAAACAAGCTTCAACAGTAAATTCATAGAACTTGGCCGGTTGTCCAATAACAAATTTTGTAACGTCAACGGATAACATTGCACCTTCTTTACCATAGAACTTTACATTAAACGGAATTTCTTCATTTGGGTTTTTTGTGTTCACCTAAAGTATAATTAAAAATGAAAAAAAATTGTCATCCAAAATAAAGCTGTATACATTGATATAATTATCATTATCCTCTGCTTCCGATATATAAGTTTTGATGCTGTGTTAGTATAACTTAATTGCTGATTTACTCATGAAACTTTATGATTCCAAATAAAGGAATGCGAATACAATTAAAGAGGAAGAACTTCTCGAAATGCAGTTTTGGTACATTAAGTCGAATTTGGAATCTGAGTGTTTTACTAATAAGAGTACTGTTAAATCACGATGTTTGTTAACCAATTCAAGTATGAGGCTTAGGGTGATGATTTTTTATAAAGGAACCAACAAAAAAACAAGTTGTATATATTGATTTTTTTCTTTATTGCATTGAAGAAATAAAGAACAATTAGATTTGTCTGTCATTGAAGATATCAAAGAAAACATTTAAAAAGGCGAAAAGAGCAAACAATCAAATAAATGACTTGCTTTTAATTATGAATCAATAACAGATTTCATGATGCGTTTACTTTAAAATACTTACGGATTTTGTGTCTTGAATGTTTCCACTTGCATCTATAACAGAGACAACTACTGATTTGACATTTTCTGTCCTGAATGTTACGTCAAAGAATTTAGCAGTGTCATCCAAACTTTTAACTTTAAAGACAACGGTGCTTTTATCTGACTGTGGCGACCAGAAAGAAGGTGACCCATTTAACGAGTCTCTAGGTATTGTATTATCTGCACTGTCAGTTGCCTGGACCTCTATATATGGACTTGTGTATCCAAGTGGTTTGCTGTGGTCGCACTCTTAAAAGAAAAAAACAATATATAGATATAAGAAGATGTGGTATGAGTGCCAATGAGACAACTCTCCATCCAAGTCAAAATTTATAAAAGTAAACCATTAAAGATCACAGTACGGTCTTCAACACGGAGCCTTGGCTCACACCGAACAGTAAGCTATAAAGGGCCCCAAAAATTACTAGTGTAAAACCATTCAAACGGGAATATGTTCACTTTAATGCATAAAAATTGTTAACAACATAGATGAGGTCGATCAATAAATGTTAAAAATCTAAATAAAAACAAATAGTAAAAGGGGTAGGTGCTGTAAGAGCATTATTTTAGCCAAAAACATAAGGTTTGTTAATTCAAGACGAAAATGTTTCAAGTTGATGAATAGACGTGTAGGAAAGTGTAACAGAACGATTTTTTGTTAACAAAATCTCCTGGATTTCAACCACAAATACGCGTTATAACATAGAGCACAAACATAATGTTACGAGATTATTTTCGACGCATCCGATATATGTTTTTGGTCCTGAAACCCAATATAAAATTTCAAAAATAAACATATTTTCTATCTAGTCATTGTTTTACATGTATTTAATATGGTAATATACATCAAATACTAGATTGAACTTTTAGCTAGAAATAAGGCCTTTTGAGTGGGCTGATCGAACCTACTCCAGTGTTAACTAATTTCCCGGAATTTATTGGTATGGAACACAGTCATTAAACATTTCCTGTACATAAACTCGTCATAGATACCAGGATTTAAATTGTGTACGCCAAACGCGCTTTTTGTCGTCAAAAGACAAATCAGTGACGCTCGAATAAAAAACTTAAAAGGTCAAATAAAGTACAACATTACATCGAAAAAGCATTGAAAGAAAATTTGATGTAATAAAACCTGAATACAAACTACAGGCACGAGTTCATTACTTAATTTCGTAGCTAGGACATTATCATGTTTTTTCTTTATGCTGACATTTGCACAAATCTGACATTGTGTTAAAAATCACAAATGTGAAAATTAATCTGATTGACATTAGTTCATAACCTCTTTTTTATATTTATAGAATATTTACTTAGTATTTCAATTCTTGCTGAAATACAAATATTATTTTATCAATCAAATATGATATGATACTTCTATTCATATTGAAATTTTGGCAAAATCTTTTTTGTTATATTCCATTGTAAATGTCAATACTAATTTTATAATTTAATTCAAATGCTAGTGAATTGTCCGGTGTGTAAACTATGAATAAGGTGGATACCTATAATTTATCTCTAGACAGGGAAAAATTTGGATTTAATCTTACAAATGGTATACCTCATTTATTCTTATTAGGAGGATCAATGAATTTTACGAGGTTCAAATAATTCAATGAATTAAGGACTTACAAAAAATGCTAGTTTCATTAGAGAAAAGTGTGCAATAAAAAAAACAAAATGTTCTTACCCGTAGTTGTTGGCAATGGTGGCAATGGTGTCATAGTAACTGTTTCGATATGAGTTGATGGTGGTCCAACGGTTGTTGTTGTGTGTTGAGTCATTATTTCTGTAAGGAGAAAAGAAAATATGAATAAATTTTATTCAATAGACCTTTTTATCTGTTCATTGACCCTGCCCATCATCTTAGGTTTAAACACATTGGTTTGTTTTCATTTCTGTGTTGAGAAGATTTTAAAGCACTAAGGAATAAAAGTAACCCTTGAAAATATTTCAAAATGTGTAATCCATGTGGTACTAACAGAAGTGGAAACCTTCATTTCAATGTGAATTAAAAAAAAAATACATGACAAATACAGACTGTTATAAACTGCATATTGAACAAACATTTCGTTTACATGCTTGACAGTTTGGTAAGGAGAGATAGCTAAATAGCTACTTTTTTATAATGCACAGTCTTGTTGTGAGAACTGTATTTAAAGTTTTAAAGACAAAGATGATGCCCTCATAATATCCACGAATATAAATTTAGACAGTGATGATGAAGTACAACTTGACATGATTCTGTCTATTCAGACACATCTGATGCCCCGCTATAATTATGATCTATTCCAAAACGTAGGATATTTATTTTTTGTATTTTCTTTTAAATTTCAAAAGTTCTAGTTTGCAAACTATTGATTGAGTTAGCTTGACAAACCCTGTACTCTGACAAACTGACAAACCTTATACCCTGACAAACCATGTACCCTGGTTGCTTAATTTGACAAAAACTTCGTGTCATTTGTTAAAAATTTGAAGAAAATCAAAATCCTGATAAGTGTACCCTAAGTGTACTTTTTATCGTAAAAGTGTAATATGAAAATTATAAAGGTATAGCTGGAAAAAATGAAAGAAACGTAACCTGAAAATAATCATTTTCCCATGTGGAAAGAGAAGGACTGACTGAATTTTCATAAAATATACAAAGATCGTATATGTACTAAATTTCTGTGAACTATAAAACTTGAAAACCGTCGGAGGAGTTACTCGAGCAAACCATTTACCAATCACATGTTATTCATTCAAAAATGACAAAGATAAAAATTCTTCATAATGTTTAAGTCTTTAGTATATGTTTATAAACCATGAATAATATAAACGTTTTATCTTGAAAACTGAAAGAGGAGTAAACTGGACAACAAATAGACTGGCATTTTGTACCGGAGTCAAAGAAATAGAAATATTTTATTTTGATTATTATAATGATTTGTTATCCCTTACATTATGTGGAATCAAGCTTCAAATGTCAATTTCAGTTATTCTGCTAGAGCAAACATACTTATGTGTATTGTAAACGTTGTCCAAATCTAATGAAAATAAATAATTACTTTAAATATTAATCGCAATTTTTTTTATTATTGAAAACGAGCTTTCATTTATTATCATTGTTATGTTCCAATATTTTGAATAAATGTCATTACACGGTTTCCCTAATAACAATTGTATCAAGTATTGCAATAACATAATTATGATCTCAGCTGAACCATAGTTTAAGTAAGGCTATGAAAGAGCTTGAATAATTATTAACATTAGGAATCTCGATGTAATAGATCGCTGTATAGTATCAATGTTTTACTTACTGAGGGCATTTTTACTCTCAAATAGATCTCGCATCTATACTATTCGTCTATTGTCTGTATAACACTAGAATTATTATAACCGGGGTATCAGCGATTCTGTTTGTTTTTGGCTTAAATATTCATATCTGTATATGACTTTCGATCAATGTGACAGTTGATGAATGCATATCAGGGGATGCTTACCCTGAAGACACAACAACACGTTTCCAAATGATTTTACTCTAAACCTTTTATTGTAAGTCTGAATTGTTTTTATGCTTTATGATATGTCGTTATGAAATCATGATATAAAGATGTTAATACCTTAAGGCAAAAAATAGACGGAAAATACCAGATATATGTAATAAGATGGATGATCATATGATCGAGTAAACTTAGGGAATCGTCAAAATTTACAAAGCTGGTGCAAAATGGGATGGAATAGGTACTTTTTCCGACGTTTCAACTAGAAGCACTCAATTTTTTTTCTATAAAAGCTCATTAGCCATGAGAAATTTGAACGTATTTTCAGCAAAAAAATATTGAATTAATCTTCAAAATATATATATATATATGGTAAACTTCGATTAGATGATAATAAATTGAAAAGTGCAATGCAAAATCCAGTTAAGTTTAAAATTTTCTAAAACATACAATGCATTTGAATTTTATTTATCTAGGGCATGCTATGACTTCAAACTTTTCCAGATGCACAGGTTTGTCTGATCTCATAGTAAATTTTGAGGTGAAAACGCAGCCATTTTAGTCAAAGGGTCCACATGAACCTTAACCTAGAAAAAAAATGAAGCCTTACCTGTACTTGTCGTTGGGAAAGTAGTTGAGGGTATTGGTGTACCAGTTGTTAACGTGGTAGGCTGAGCGGTTTCAGAAGGTGTAGAAAATCCAGCAGTAGATCCAGTTTTTGGTCTAGCAGTTGTTTGTGTTTCGGACACTACACTTGAAGGTCTCGAAGTGCTTTGTTGTGTAGATGTGACCGTACTGCTACTTGATTGTGTAGATGCCGATGAACCCGCACTTGGCTGTGTAGCAGCAGATGTACTTCCGCTTGGCTGTGTTACCGTTGATGAACCTACACTTGGCTGTGTTGTTGCAGATGTACTTTCACTGGGTTGAGTTGCCGCAGATGTACTGCTACTTGGTTGTGTAGCAGCAGATGTACTTCCACTAGGTTGTGTAACAGCAGAGGTACTTCCAGTTGGCATTGTAGGTACAAATGTACTTACAGTTGGTTGTGTAGCAGCAGATGTACTACCACTTGGCTGTGTAGCTGCTGATGTACTTCCGCTCTGTTGTGTTGCTGCTGAAGTACTTATAGTTGACTGAGTAGGTGCAGATGTACTGCTACTGGGTTGTGTAACAGCAGATGTACTTCCACTTGGTAGTGTAGGTGCAGATGTACTTACACTGGGTTGTGTCGCCGCAGATGTACTCCCACTTGGTTGTGTTGGTGCAGATGTGCTTTCAGTGGGTTGTGTAGCAGCAGATGTACTGCGACTTGACTGTGTTGCTGCAGATGTACTTCCACTGGGTTGTGTAGCAGCAGATGTACTTCCACTAGGTTGTGTAGCAGCAGAGGTACTTTCAGTGGGCAGTGTAGGTACATAAGTACTAACGCTTTGTTGTGTAGCAGCAGATGAACTAGCACTTGGTTGTGTAGTAGCAGATGTACTTCCACTTGGTTGTGTAGCGGCAGATGTACTTGCACTTGGTTGTGTAGCAGCAGAGGTACTTCCAGTGGGCAGTGTAGGTACAAACGTACTAACGCTTTGTTGTGTAGCACCAGATGTACTAGCACTTGGTTGTGTAGTAGCGGATGTACTTCCACTTGGTTGTGTAGCGGAAGATGTACTTCCGCTTGATTGTGTTGTTGCAGAAGTACTTCTAGTTGACTGTGTAGGTGCAGTTGAACTGCTACTGGGTTGTGTAACAGCAGAGGTCATTCCACTGGGTTCTGTGGCCGCAGATGTACTTACACTGGGTTGTGTCGCCACAGATGTACTTCCGCTGGGTTGCGTTGCAGCAGATGTACTTACACTTGGTTGGGTTGATGCAGATGTACTAACACTTGGCTGTGTAGCTGCAGATGTACTTCCGCTTGGTTGTGTAGGTGACGATGTGCTTTCTGTGGGTTGTGTAGCAGCAGATGTACTGCCACTTGGCTGTGTTGCTGCAGATGTACTTCCGCTGGTTTGTGTAGCAGCAGATGTACTGCTACTTGGTTGTGTAGCAGTAGGTGTACTTCTAGAGGGTTGTGTAACAGCAGTTGAACTTTCACTAGGTTGTGTAGCAGCAGAAGTACTTCCGGTGGGCAGTGTAGGTACAAACGTACTAACGCTTGGTTGTGTAGCAGCAGATGTACTAGCGCTTGGTTGTGTAGCGGCAGATGTACTTTCAGTAGGTGGTGTAGCAGAAGATGTACTTCCACTCAGCTGTGTTGCTGCAGATGTACTTCCACTAGTTTGTGTAGCCGCAGATGTACTAGCACTTGGTTGTGTAGCGGCAGATGTTCTTTCGCTTGGCTGTGTAGCAGCAGATGTACTTGCACTTGATTGTGTAGCAGCAGAGGTACTTACGGATGGCAATGTAGGTACAAATGTACTAACGCTTGGTTGTGTAGAAGCAGATGTACTACCACTTGATGTGCTTTGACTGGGTTGTGTAGCAGCAGATGTAACTGATGTACTTCCACTTGGTTGTGTTGTTGCGGAAGTACTTATAGTTGACTGTGTAGGTGCAGATGTACTGCGGCTTGGCTGTGTAACAGCAGATGTACTTCCACTTGGTAGTGTAGGTGCAGATGTACTTACACTGGGTTGCGTTGCAGCAGTTGTACTTTCACTTGACTGTGTAGCTGCAGATGTACTTTCGCTTGGTTGTGTAGGTGCAGATGTGCTTCCAGTGGGTTGTGTAGTAGCAGATGTACTACCACTTGGCTGTGTTGCTGCAGATGTACTTCCACTTGGTTGTGTAGCAGCAGATGTACTTCCACTTGATTGTGTAGCAGCAGATGTACTTCCAGTGGGCAGTGTAGGTACAAACGTACTAATGCTTTGTTGTGTAGCAGCAGATGTACTTGCACTAGGTTGCGTCGCAGCAGATGTACTTTCACTTGGTTGTGTAGGTGCAGATGTACTTCCACTTGGTTGTGTAGCAGCAGATGTACTAGCTCTAGGTTGCGTAGCAGCAGATGTACTTTCACTTGGTTGTGTAGGTGCAGATGTACTTCCACTTGGCTGTGTAGCAGCAGATGTACTAGCACTAGGTTGCGTCGGAGCAGATGTACTTTCACTTGGTTGTGTAGGTGCAGATGTACTTCCACTTGGTTGTGTAACAGCAGATGTACTTGCACTAGGTTGCGTCGCAGCAGATGTACTTCCACTTGGTTGTGTAGCAGCAGATGTACTAGCACTAGGTTGCGTAGCAGCAGATGTACTTTCACTTGGTTGTGTAGATGCAGATGTACTTCCACTTGGCTGTGTAGCAGCAGATGTACTAGCACTAGGTTGCGTCGCAGCAGATGTACTTTCACTTGGTTGTGTAGGTGCAGATGTACTTCCACTTGGCTGTGTAGCAGCAGATGTACTTCCACTTGGTAGTGTAGGTGCAGATGTACTGCCACTAGGTTGTGTTGCTGTTTGGAAAAAAAAATGAAACCTGAATAGGTTTATTTTCTGATTTGGAAATGTTTTCATTTACTTAAACGGCAATAAGATCTGATTTGGAAATGTTTTCATATACTTAAATGGCAATTAGAATTATTTTGTTTCAGACGTAGACTGCACCTTTAGAAAGATAGCAATTCGATGACCATTATGTAATTTTTTATCACGTATATAAGGCTAACTATCACATACAAAACGCGAACTTTCTGTAGGAATTAATTTTATTATGCTGCTTTACCTGAAGTAGTGGATACTATCGGAGTGCCAGTTGTCAAAGTGGTAGCCTGAGCAGTTTCAGAAGCTGTAGAAAATCCAGCAGTAGATTCAATTGTCCTTATAGTTGTTTTGCTGGTTAAAGGTGTAGTAGCAGCAATTGTCGTTATAGCTATTTAGAATAAGAAATAAAAACAGTTATTAAATATAAAATGCTAGATTCGATTCCGTTTACCTCATCATATTCAGTAAACTGTTTTAAGGTTTTTAAAGCATTTACAAAAATCTTCTTACATGTATTATATGTATAAAGGTGTAGTAGCAGCAATTGTCGTTATAGCTATTTAGAATAAGAAATAAAAACAATTATTAAATATAAAATGCAAGATTCGATTCCGTTTACCTCATTATATTCAGTAAACTGTTTTAAGGTTTTTAAAGCATTTATAAAAATCTTCTTACATGTATTATATGTAAAGTTAGATGGCAATTAAATTTTTAAAAGTGTGTACTTAATTTGATATTACAAAATAAATTCCAATAGAAATCAGTAAACATCCAATTTGCAGTAGAGGCTCCACATTTTCTGCATCGCCAACAATACATAAATGTCTAATGTCAAAAGTAACCATTTCTGACAGAATAAAAATGATTAGTTTATCCCGCTTAAGATTTCCATCAACAGCATGTCAGTCATCTTTTTACAGCTGTCTTCAAATTCACGCATCGAATTTGTTGGCTTTAGGGTTTTTCTATGATTTTTGGATCCCTATAATTAACTGTTAAAGAGACTATATTAATGTGTTAGTATCAGCCATGGGAGTTGGTTCGTATGCCATGAATAATGTTTAAGTTTCGTTTTAATTAAATCAAGTTTTCTGAAAAGTAAGGGATGATAAGTATACTCTTAGGATAATAACGAAAGCTCACTTAGCCTTTTAAGCAAATTAACTGCATGTTAAAAAGTTGATATGGCCTATATAAGATATAATAGTATCATCATGTAAAATCAAAATTCCCTTATTTGAATACGTTATCATCTTTATAAAAAATATGTTTGACATGGTCTTGTTTTTTTTTCAAATTCACTTCCGCTTATGAATAAGTTCAACACATTGCATTACAGTCAAACCTGAGTAAAACGGACCCTGAATAAACCGGTTTCCTGTCCATTCCGGTCGAAAATTAAAGTCCCATTTTTTCCCTTCAAAGTCTTTGTTAAAATACCCTTTGTAAACCGGACCCTGTGTATTCCGAATTCCGGTCTAATGATGCAGTCCCAATACTCTTAATTACATCAATTATTACCTGTCAAAACCGGTTTGTCTTATTAATTAAAAATGATAACAGTATTGTTCGATATGCAATCAAAAAATATTTGTTTATACAGGATGACTTTTCAGGATAATCAATTAGCCAGGTGTTAAACCATAAACTTACACATGGTACAGTATTGAGCTGTATTATTGAAACACTATAAATGTGTAAATTAAACTAAAAGACACGCCGAATATATCTCTGATAGAACGTTCGTTGTAACTTGGATAATACTTTTCAAATCGCGGAGTAAGAAATTTACATCGTGTTTTCAAAATCCTGGGTTCCCTGTTGTGAACCCCTAGACTAATGACCTTATAATGAAAAACACCCGGATGACGACAATCCATGGGTATGTACACTGTACGACAATGTTTCGATCGTGATGAAATTTCAATTGATAAAATTGTGGCTTTTTATTGGATATACCAACGTAGGAAATGAACGATGGAAGTAAAACAAGACTCTCGTATAACAATTCAAACAATGCGAGAATTCTGATTTCAATTTCAATTTCAAAGTTTTATGTAGAGTCGATATTCAATAAACTACATAAACTGGAATCTGATGCAAATGAAAACAATGAACACAAAGTGTAAGTGAAATTGACAAATCGGAGACTGGTGATGCTTACGAGGTCAATTTGACATACGAGGATATTTAAAAAAAAGGGTTGAAATAATATATTTTTGAATTCGGGGAACAACCACTTTCATAAATTTCTATAATTTCTATGAATAAGAAGATTCAAAACAAAGGTCGTGCAAAGTTATTACGTTTTGTATTTATCAGTTTATAATTTACAATGAGACAGAACTTTTGCATGCAATACATCGGACGTCACTAGTCACCAACTTCCGGTCAAAACGGAAACCTGGATACACCGGCTCACTGTCCAAACCGGCCCTTTTCCAAAGTCCCGTATCCGACCGGTTTATACAGGTTTTACTGTACTAATATTGATCACTTAATCTACACTTTTGTAAAAGTATTTCGCGTTTGAAAATTAATGAATGGAAAAAAAAATGACTGCTCTCCCCAACAACAAAAACGTTTAACAAAATGATCGAACGTATCTTATCTGTCAGATTCAATGACATATTAAAAGGAAATTAGTTGTACTACGTTATATAGATACAATGGATAAGCGTGGATTCTTGAAAAAGAAACCATGAGCCCGGAGGGCGAATGGTTTGTTTTTCATGAATCTACGCTTATCCATTGTATCTATAACTTAAACTATTGTGTTAATTTCTTTTCAAAATTTAAGCCTTTTCTTAATTAGAAGGTATTGTAAGTGAGTTTAAATAACCATGTTATCGTGTCCAACGATGCATTGATAAATCTCAGATCACAATTAATTTGTTAACAAAATACAAATATAACACTTCTACATTTAAAGATGTTTATATTACAAGGCATATGAATATTATCTGTTTATACAAAATAAGGCATATTTGAAATTATTTCTAAATAAAATTGAAAATGGAAATAGGGAACGTGTCAAAGAGACAACAACCCGACCAAAAAGCATATATAAAGTATATATAATAAGTATGTTATCGAAATTTTTCTAGCACTCTAGGCACATCACGATTTTCTCGCATAGGAATTTGCGAACAAACCTTTGTAAAATTATGTAGTAAAACAGATGAAATCATACTAAATTTATAAAACAAAAATTGACAAATAGAATGTAATCATTTTTGTTTCAAACATGTGAAATAGCCAATAATAATAAAAAAAAAACCGGTAAAACTCGCTATTATTACAAAAATATCCACTATAACTTGCAAAATTAGAAAAAAAACCAGTATAACTTAAGAATTGGAACAACAGAGAGAATACAGGGATTCGAACCTAAACCGACAAATCCCGATCTTTAACTCATTGATTTTAACCATGCTAACCTCGCGGCTACCAACTCATACTATACGACTGCCTATTTTGTCTATATAAAGGTACAAGCCCTGTGTGTCCGATGAAAATGTATGTATATCAGATGTTCATTTAAATATATATAATAAACATCTATAGTGTAACCCATTGGTAGCCGAGAGGTTTCGTCGGTGTGTTGATGTCAGTCACACATAACAGATTTCAAGGAAGGGTTCGATTCCCAGTGAAGACATATACAAATTACAAAAATTAAAGGTAAGTTTTTAAATTAATTCCATTAGTGAACAGAAATCAGTAAATTATCCAATTCAAACTTAATGAAATTAGGCATACAAAGGAAACAATTGAATATAATTTGGTGAGTCAATTTCAGCGGCAGATTTAGGAAGCGTTGATTCTAGAAAAAGAATCCACGGTAAATGAATAGGCTGACGTCACCACAATGGTTTAATTTGTTTTCTACATAAAAAGTTGATTGAAATATATAATCAAACTAGGAAAATGCATGTTTGATTATTCATTTGTCATTTTATATATTCCTTTTAAATTAACACTAGCAACTTACCCGTTGGTTCAAAGCAAGCCTTTATAACAACGTTTTTGATAGTAGGTGACAACTGATTATTTTCCGGATTTATCATTAGTTCAATAACGTTACCAGCCTGTCCCTTTAGATTAACAGGACGATCAAACTCATTTACCTGGAATAAAAATTGGCTGATGATAACACAAATTGCCATATTGGTGATTAATTGGAAAGTTCTTCTTTTCGAAGTAAAAGAGACTGTTTATTATGGTAGGTACCTTGTTTATTTTTTAATCAAAGTCCTGCGTTGATTTTTAATGTGATTATATCTCAGTTACAATGTGTCGTCGGGCTTGTATTCTTTTAATGTCCCTCCCAAATTTCTTTCAAGACTGATTTGTGCCCATTTTATCATTTATACAATTCGGAAAGAAACCCCAATTGAATTGACTATTTAGTTGTTTATTTACAAAAAAATATATAATAGACCATTTCTCATACTTTATTTAAGACAAAAACACCCTAATATGAAAATAATTAAAAATGTCTAAATATCACAAATATAATTGCATAATAATGAGAGTAATTTTTTGTACGATCGAATGCATATTTCAAAACCCATACCTTGTTTTTACACAAAATATTGCACAATGAGAAAATTTGAATAACGATAAAAGAATAAAAGAAAGGATACAATACAATTATGAAATACCAGTTTTACAGTTTGAAACCAAAATTGTAACCAATTTAACGTGTTACAAATGTTTGGTAACTGAAAAATTCTAAAACATCAATGTTAAAGTAATAGCTTACCGATGCAACCCCTTATGCGATACCCTAAAACTAAATAATGTATATATAACGATACATTTGATATGTAGTAATTTGGCTGCTAATTTACTGTGTTAATAGTTATTTGTCTGTTGAAGTAAATCCGAACTGTTTTTTTTTAAATTCCCAAAAACTATTTTTACATTACTTCAAATCATGAAAAACTATTTGTCTAGAGCAGTATCCAATGTTCAGTGTTTGCAAAATTTACGCCTAAATCCAAGACGATACATAAAATAAATGACAAAAAAAAACCTATGAAATCAAAACTTTTGCAAAGACAGATAACAAATGACGGTTTGCAATATTTGGATAATATAGGAAAAATAGTAGTTCGTATCACCTACAGGCTTCATTATTCGTATATCCACAAGTTTTTGTTTATCGTGACAATAAAAAAACAATAATTATTTTTACGTCTTCTATTCAGCTTATATTAAATTATTATAAGTTAAAAGAAAGGCCATTTTTCTTCAACCAAAAATGTTGGATGTTTTGATTAATTCACGTTATACTGATCTAATTCAAAATAACTGCCAAAATTAAGTCTGTTACATCAAAATATAAGTTGAGACCAAAAATGACAATAAAAAACGTAACTTCAAATTTCAATTCAATTCTAACATATGCACCGATGACTTGTATTACTAGAAGATATAATTGTCATTAGTAGCTTGTATAAGCAACACTTATGATACATTATAACACATTACATATTGTATCTGATAATAACAAGTGGTATTATACCTTAAAGTAACATATGAGTTCCATTTTATTAACCGATTAATATCACCACTAAGACTTTTTACTTTTTATAATGTTTTCTTAATTATAAACTCACAGGTATTCTATCTATTACTTTTGTATCCTGTCTAATAATCACTGTTACAGAATCAACATTAGTTTCATCCAAAGATATGGAGAACAGTTCTGATGTCTCATCTTGGTCGTTTAACTTAAAGATTAGTTTAGGGGTTTCGTCTGTATCCACTGGAGTCCATCCTTTTGGTTTCTGTGAATCTGATGCCACATCCCCTGGAGCATTAGAAGAACTATCTACCGTGACATCCGTTGGTTGTGATCCATCCAACATGACTTTAACACACTCTGTAAAAAAAATTTCCTCTTGTATCAAAAGAAGACATCATCTACAATGCATATAATTTAAGAAATACGTTTGCGATCATCTGAAAATGCAGGTGATATTTACTAATTAGTGTACTCGTTAAGTTGTACAATTGATTTTAATTATGCCTTTATAAAATTTTAACTTAAATGTAGATTAGCCTTTAATTATTTTCATATGATTTGCACATCTACAAATACTTGAATCGGATTGGTCCGTTAAAATTGTTTCCCTGGGTTTACACTTCGATAGACCATGTTGGCGAAAATACTTTCGTAACCGTCACTGTGATCTATTGTAGCATGATATACAAGCATGGGATCCAGGGTTTCCAAGCAAATTGAGATCGAAAATGAAAACATGTTACTGTTATTTATACTTTAATATATAAAAAGAAATAAGGCATATAGCTTGAAAAATTAATGAAATTAAAATTAAATAAAATTCCAAATAAATCCATGAATGATCTTGGCATTCCCGTCATGGCAAACATGACATGAAACGAAGGAAAACTCTCAACTTAACGCAATTTAGTTCAATGGGGCACAATCTGGAGTTAAAACTGGTTTAAATGTTTAAGAGATAAATGATTTGTTATATAAAATAATACATAAAAACAATAAAAGGTATACACATAAATGTTCGACAGTACAACATAACACAACATCAACCAATACTCGTTTTCACGGAGTAGATATCTTCCAGTTGATATGATATTCCAGGGCTTGTGTTTCCTATCATGATTTTCTTGATAGAGGGTTGCTCCTCACAAGGAAGCTATTAAACCAAGAGTTCCAAGTGGTGCAATTGAAATCATCCCTTCTTTATTTTACGGATGTCATCACGAGTTGGTTAACCGTTATGGAATATCTGTTTCAGAGATGACGACGGATATGTCCCAATTGTCGTACCTGCTATCTCGCAACGTTCCCCAGAATGTGACCTACCGAATTAGACATATCAGAGTAGGATTTCTTTACCCTTCCAGACCTCCTGAGATCAACCCCAGTTTTTGGTTGGGTTCGTGTTGCTCAGTCTTTGGTTTTCTATGTTGTTTTATGTACTGTTGTTTGTCTGTTTGTCTTTTTCTTTTTTCGGCCATAGCGTTGTCAAGTTATTTTCGACTAATGAGTTTGAATGTTCCTTTGGTATCCTTCGCCTCTCTTTTTCCCCGAATTAAAAGAATGCATTAATGACAAACCAATTACCTGTTGTTGTTAAAACAGTTGTTGTTGAAGAAACACTTGGTGATGTTTCAATCGTTATGACACTTGTTTCTGTAGTTGGCGATGGTGTTGTAGTGTAAGTGCTTGCACTAGGTTGTGTCGATATAGTGCTGCTAACACTTGATTGCGTCGATATGAGACTGGTACCACTTGGTTGTGTCGATATGATACTGCTACCACTTGTTATGGCACTGGTTCCAGTTGTTTTTGTCGACGGTGTGGTAGGGCCTGGTGTAGTAATAGCAGTAGTTATTCCTGTTAAAATTTAGGAAAAAGTATCATAATATAAAAACAGTAATGCAACAACGAGACGTGTTTCATAAAAACAGAAAAAAAAATGGTCATAAACATAGTTCAATAAAAAGGCCACACAATTCCAAATAAGACAGAAATATCACAAAAAACCCCAAATTATTTGATTAATTCCAACATGTCAATAGAAAGTCATCAGTGTGAACAGCAGATCAACCTGAAAACTGAATTAGGAAAGAATACAAACCTCAAGAGTGATTAGAGGTAACAATAAAGGAAAGTAGTAAAAGTTCAAATGTTTTGTCCTACTTTATTTACTTCGTTTTAACCTGTATTCTTATATTTGTATCGTAATATAGCTTCAAACGATTTTATGTATGTATGCATGCTTGGCTTTCAAGTGGCTAGGATTGAGCGTTCATGGTGAAGGTTAATCTAAAAAAAAAAGCGTTTCGGACACACGCACTTTATATAGAGTAATTTTCACTCCATATTCAACACAGTCAGCTTAAAAGAAATTGACATAAAGAAAACACTCTATTTTGATTGAATAGTTTGTTTCATACAGTAAAAATACAAAACAAATAAAAGAAATTGTCGAATATTAAATACTAATGAGCATTATTATTATTGAATCCATTTTCATTGAAATACAAAACTTTCTTTTATTTCTGTAAATAAATCAAATAAAGAACACTGTTTCGATAATACAAGAATTCTTATTTCAAATGTTTATATGTATGTAGATGCTTATTTCTACTTATTCTACTCGGAAAAAGAAAATAACGAAATGAAACATTTTGTAAAATTTTGTTTTTAATAATATATGAATAATATATGACATCAATCATAACTTACCAATCTGTTCGAAACATGCCTTAATAACTACATTTCTAATAGTTGGTGACTCATTAGGAGTGTCTGGTTTAACAATTAATTCGATGATGTTCCCGGGTTTTCCGCCTAGACTGATAGGATTGTCGAAATTCTCAACCTGAAAAAGAAGGGAAATGCTTATGATATTCAATGCGTCATCTAGTTGCTTAAGGCTTTTGTTTGAGAAATCTAATGAAGCGCTAGTTGATCAATGTTCTTCTAAACAGCAACTGTAATAATAAACTATTCGTTCTAAAGACGTCAAAATGAATAATCGTAGTACTTACGGGTATTCTATCTATTACATTTGTGTCCTGCCTAATAATAACTGTTCCAGAATTAACATTGGTTTCATCTAAAGATATGAAGAACAGTTCTGATGTATCATCTTCATCGTTTAACTTAAAGATTAGTTTAGGGTTTTTGTCTGTATCAGCTGGAGTCCATCCTTTTGGTTTCTGTGAATCTGATGCCACATTTCCTGGAGCATCGGAAGAACTATCTACAGTGACATCAGTTGGTTGTGAACCATCCAACATGACTTTAATGCACTCTGTAATAATCAAAGAAATTTCCTCTTGTATAATCCAAAAAAACATCATCTATATAATTTAGGAAATACGCTTACGATCATCTGCAGATACTGGAGATATATACTTATTGGTTTAACTGTTAAATTTGTACAGTTTGTTTGTTTTTATGTCATAATAACATTTTTAAGTTAAATGTAGATAACCACGAATGACTAAATCAATAATTAATCAAATGAATTATGATTCTTGTTTTTCAAGTTATAAAAGGATTATATAATTCCTGTTTTCCAACTACAAGTAATTAAATAAAATTTGATTGATGTCTTCCAGAGTTCTAGTTATTTTACTTTCTACGCAAAAACAAAATGTTGTTCAACAATGACCAAGTCAACCATCTCGTGACTTTTCGTCAACGATCATAGTTTCGGTCAGTTTTAAACTAAATAATTGATTTCACAAACTCAATTTTGTACAATGGGGAACAATCAGAAGTTGACTTTGGTTTGAATGTCTAGAAGATAAGTGATACGTTATATAAAATAATACATCAAAAAAATATTAGGTATAAACACAAATATTCGACAGTACAACAAAACACAACAACCACCAATACTTGTTTTCACCGAAATGAAAAGAATGCATTAATGACAAACCAATTACCTGTTGTTGTCAAAACAGTTGTTGTTGAAGAAACACTTGGTGATGTTTCAATTGTTATGACACTTGTTTCTGTAGTTGGCAAAGGTGTTGTAGTGTAAGTGCTTGCACTAGGTTGTGTCGATATGAGACTGGTACCACTTGGTTGTGTCGATATGATACTGCTACCACTTGTTATGGCACTGGTTCCAGTTGTTTTTGTCGATGGTGTGGTAGGGCCTGGTGTTGTAATAGCAGTAGTTGTTCCTGTACAAAATTATGAGAAAGTATCAGAATATAAAAAGGTAATAAAACAAAGAGACGTGTGTCATCGTGTCGAAAACATGGGTCATAAATTTGAATCAATAAAAAGGCCAGACAATTACAAATAAGACAGACATATCACCAAAAAAACAAATAATTTGATCAATTCCAACATGTTCGTAGACAGCCATCAAAGTAAACAGCAGATAACACTGAAAACTGAATGAGGAAAACATACAAAACTCAAAGAGTGATTTCAGGTACCCATAAAGGGTAGTAGTATCTGACTAATGCTAGTCGTTTTGCGAAAGTTCAAATGTATTGTCCTACTTTATTTTCTTCGTTTTAACCTGCATTATTTTCCTTGATAAATCGTGATATAGCTTCTCACGCTTTTATGTATGTATCCATGCCCGGTTTTCAAGTGGTTATGATTGACCGTTCATGGTGAAGGTTAATATAAAAAAAGCGTTTCGGACGCACGCAATATATAAAGAGTTACTTTCACTTCATATTCGACACAGGCAGCTTCAAAATAATTGACCTAAAGAAAATAACTCTATTTGGTTGAGAAGTATGTTTCATACATTAAAATTACCAAACAAATAAAAGAAATTGTGGAATAATAAACTCTAAGGAGCATTAATTATTGAAACCGTTTTCATTAAAATACAAAACTATCTTTTATTTCTGTAAATAGATCAAATGAAGAAACTGTTTTGATAATACAAGAATTCTTATTTCAAAAGTTATTTGTAGATGGATGCTGCATGATTTCTACTTATTCTACTCGGAAAAAAAAGATAACGAAATGAAACATTTTGTTAAATTTTGTATTTAATAATATATAAATAATATATAACATCAATCATAACTTACCAATCTGTTCGAAACATGCCTTAATAACTACATTTCTAATTGTTGGTGACTCATTAGGAGTGTCTGGTTTAACAATTAGTTCGATGATGTTCCCGGGTTTTCCGCCTAGACTGATAGGATTGTCGAAATTATCAACCTTAAAAAAGAAAGGAAATGCTTATGATAATCAATGCGTCATCTAGTTGCTTAAGGCTTTTGTTTGAGAAATCTAATGAAGCGCTGGTTGATCAATGTTCTTATTAACAGCAACTGTAATAATCAACTTTTCGTTCTAAAGACGTCAAAGTGAATTATCGTAGTACTTACAGGTATTCTATCTATTACATTGGTGTCCTGTCTAATAATAACTGTTCCAGAATCAACATTGGTTTCATCCAAAGATATGGAGAACAGTTCTGATGTATCATCTTCATCGTTTAACTTGAAGATTAGTTTAGGGTTTTTGTCTGTATCAGCTGGAGTCCATCCTTTTGGTTTCTGTGAATCTGATGCCACATTTCCTGGAGCATCGGAAGAACTATCTACAGTGACATCAGTTGGTTGTGATCCATCCAACATGACTTTAATGCACTCTGTAATAATCAAAGAAATTTCCTCTTGTATAATCAAAATAAGACATCATCTATATAATTTACGAAATACGCTTACGATCATCTGCAGATACTGGAGATAAATACTTATTGGTTTAACTGTTAAATTTGTACAGGTTGTTTGTTTTTATGTCATAACAACATTTTTAAGTTAAATGTAGATAACCATGAAATGTAGATAATTCATCAAATGAATTACGATTCTTGTTTTCAAACTAATAAAAGGATCATATAATTCCTGTTTTCCAACTACAAGTCATTAGATAAAATATGATTGATGTCTTCCAGAATTCTAATTATTTTACTTTCTACGCAAAAACAAAATGTTGTTCAACAATGACCAAGTCCACCATGTCGTGAATTTTGGTCAACGATGATAGTTCCTGTCAGTTTTAATCTAAATAATTGATTTCACAAACTCAATTTTGAACAATGGGGAACAATCAGACGTTGACTTTGGTTTGAATGATTAGAAGATAAGTGATACGTTATATAAAATAATACATCAATAAAATATTAGGTATAAACACAAATATTCGACAGTACAACATAACACAACAACCACCAATACTCGTTTTCACCGAAATGAAAAGAATGCATTAATGACAAACCAATTACCTGTTGTTGTCAAAACAGTTGTTGTTGAAGAAACACTTGGTGATGTTTCAATTGTTATGACACTTGTTTCTGTAGTTGGCGATGGTGTTGTAGTGTAAGTGCTTGCACTAGGTTGTGTCGATATAGAGCTGCTAACACTTGGTTGCGTCGATATGAGACTGGTACCACTTGGTTGTGTCGATATGATACTGCTACCACTTGTTATGGCACTGGTTCCAGTTGTTTTTGTCGATGGTGTGGTAGGGCCTGGTGTAGTAATAGCAGTAGTTGTTCCTGTACAAAATAATGAAAAAGTATCAGAATATAAAAAAGTAATAAAACAACGAGACGTGTGTCATCGCGTCGAAAACATGGGTCAAAAATTTGAATCAATAAAAAGGCCAAACAATTACAAATAAGACAGACATATCACCAAAAAAACAAATAATTTGATCAATTCCAACATGTTCATAGACAGCCATAAAAGTAAACAGCAGATAACACTGAAAACTGAATTAGCAAAACATACAAAACTCAAAGAGTGATTTCAGGTACCCATAAAGGGTAGTAGTGTCTGACTAATGCTAGTCGTTTTGCTATTATTCGTGTGTTTCTTTGTCCTATATGTTCTCCCATTTATTTGTATTGTGGTCCTGTCATGTGATGTTGTCGTTTTGGTGTTGTGTTTGACGTTGCCATAAAAGCGGGAGGTTTGGCATGCCACAAAACCAGGTTCAACAAACCATTTTTTTTCATAAAATGTCCTGTACCAAGTCAGGAAAATGGCCATTGTTATATTATAGTTCGTTTCTGTGTGTGTTACATTTTAATGTTGTGTTTTTGTTTTGTCGTTGTTCTCCTCTTAAATTTGATGCGTTTCCCTCAGTTTTAGTTTGTAACCCGGATTTGTTTTTATCTCTATCGATTTATGAGTTTCGAACAGCGGTATACTAATGTTGCCTTTATTTTGCGAAAGTTCAAATGTATTGTCCTACTTTATTTTCTTCGTTTTAACCTGCATTATTTTCCTTGATAAATCGTGATATAGCTTCTTACGCTTTTTTGTATGTATCCATGCCCGGTTTTCAAGTGGTTATGATTAGCCGTTCATGGTAAAGGTTAATATAAAAAAAGCGTTTTTGTTGTGTCGTTGTTCTCCTCTTATATTTGATGCGTTTCCCTCAGTTTTAGTTTGTAACCCGGATTTGTTTTTATCTCTATCGATTCATGAGTTTCGAACAGCGGTATACTACTGTTGCCTTTATTCGGACGCACGCAATTTATAAAGAGTTACTTTCACTTCATATTCGACACAGGCAGCTTCAAAATAATTGGCCTAAAGAAAATAACTCTATTTGGTTGAGAAGTATGTTTCATACAGTAAAAATACAAAACAAATAAAAGAAATTGTGGAATATTAAACTCTAAAGAGCATTAATTATTGAAACAGTTTTCATTAAAATACAAAACTATCTTTTATTTCTGTAAATAAATCAAATGAAGAAACTGTTTTGATAATACAAGAATTCTTATTTTAAAATTTTATTTGTAGATGGATGCTGCATGATTTCTACTTATTCTACTCGGAAAAAGAAGATAACGAAATGAAACATTTTGTTAAATTTTGTATTTAATAATATATAAATAATATATAACATCAATCATAACTTACCAATCTGTTCGAAACATGCCTTAATAACTACATTTCTAATTGTTGGTGACTCATTAGGAGTGTCTGGTTTTACAATTAATTCGATGGTGTTCCCGGGTTTTCCGCCTAGACTGATAGGATTGTCGAAATTATCAACCTTAAAAAAGAAAGGAAATGCTTATGACATTCACTGCGTCATCTAGTTGCTTAAGGCTTTTGTTTGAGAAATCTAATGAAGCGCTGGTTGATCAATGTTCTTATTAACAGCAACTGTAATAATCAACTTTTCGTTCTAAAGACGTCAAAGTGAATTATCGTAGTACTTACAGGTATTCTATCTATTACATTGGTGTCCTGTCTAATAATAACTGTTCCAGAATCAACATTGGTTTCATCCAAAGATATGGAGAACAGTTCTGATGTATCATCTTCATCGTTTAACTTGAAGATTAGTTTAGGGTTTTTGTCTGTATCAGCTGGAGTCCATCCTTTTGGTTTCTGTGAATCTGATGCCACATTTCCTGGAGCATCGGAAGAACTATCTACAGTGACATCAGTTGGTTGTGATCCATCCAACATGACTTTAATGCACTCTGTAATAATCAAAGAAATTTCCTCTTGTATAATCAAAATAAGACATCATCTATATAATTTACGAAATACGCTTACGATCATCTGCAGATACTGGAGATAAATACTTATTGGTTTAACTGTTAAATTTGTACAGGTTGTTTGTTTTTATGTCATAACAACATTTTTAAGTTAAATGTAGATAACCATGAAATGTAGATAATTCATCAAATGAATTACGATTCTTGTTTTCAAACTAATAAAAGGATCATATAATTCCTGTTTTCCAACTACTAGTCATTAGATAAAATATGATTGATGTCTTCCAGAATTCTAATTATTTTACTTTCTACGCAAAAACAAAATGTTGTTCAACAATGACCAAGTCCACCATGTCGTGAATTTTGGTCAACGATGATAGTTCCGGTCAGTTTTAATCTAAATAATTGATTTCACAAACTCAATTTTGAACAATGGGGAACAATCAGACGTTGACTTTGGTTTGAATGATTAGAAGATAAGTGATACGTTATATAAAATAATACATCAATAAAATATTAGGTATAAACACAAATATTCGACAGTACAACATAACACAACAACCACCAATACTCGTTTTCACCGAAATGAAAAGAATGCATTAATGACAAACCAATTACCTGTTGTTGTCAAAACAGTTGTTGTTGAAGAAACACTTGGTGATGTTTCAATTGTTATGACACTTGTTTCTGTAGTTGGCGATGGTGTTGTAGTGTAAGTGCTTGCACTAGGTTGTGTCGATATAGAGCTGCTAACACTTGGTTGCGTCGATATGAGACTGGTACCACTTGGTTGTGTCGATATGATACTGCTACCACTTGTTATGGCACTGGTTCCAGTTGTTTTTGTCGATGGTGTGGTAGGGCCTGGTGTAGTAATAGCAGTAGTTGTTCCTGTACAAAATAATGAAAAAGTATCAGAATATAAAAAAGTAATAAAACAACGAGACGTGTGTCATCGCGTCGAAAACATGGGTCAAAAATTTGAATCAATAAAAAGGCCAAACAATTACAAATAAGACAGACATATCACCAAAAAAACAAATAATTTGATCAATTCCAACATGTTCATAGACAGCCATAAAAGTAAACAGCAGATAACACTGAAAACTGAATTAGCAAAACATACAAAACTCAAAGAGTGATTTCAGGTACCCATAAAGGGTAGTAGTGTCTGACTAATGCTAGTCATTTTGCTATTATTCGTGTGTTTCTTTGTCCTATATGTTCTCCCATTTATTTGTATTGTGGTCCTGTCATGTGATGTTGTCGTTTTGGTGTTGTGTTTGACGTTGCCATAAAAGCGGGAGGTTTGGCATGCCACAAAACCAGGTTCAACAAACCATTTTTTTTCATAAAATGTCCTGTACCAAGTCAGGAAAATGGCCATTGTTATATTATAGTTCGTTTCTGTGTGTGTTACATTTTAATGTTGTGTTTTTGTTTTGTCGTTGTTCTCCTCTTAAATTTGATGTGTTTCCCTCAGTTTTAGTTTGTAACCCGGATTTGTTTTTATCTCTATCGATTTATGAGTTTCGAACAGCGGTATACTAATGTTGCCTTTATTTTGCGAAAGTTCAAATGTATTGTCCTACTTTATTTTCTTCGTTTTAACCTGCATTATTTTCCTTGATAAATCGTGATATAGCTTCTTACGCTTTTTTGTATGTATCCATGCCCGGTTTTCAAGTGGTTATGATTAGCCGTTCATGGTAAAGGTTAATATAAAAAAAGCGTTTTTGTTGTGTCGTTGTTCTCCTCTTATATTTGATGCGTTTCCCTCAGTTTTAGTTTGTAACCCGGATTTGTTTTTATCTCTATCGATTCATGAGTTTCGAACAGCGGTATACTACTGTTGCCTTTATTCGGACGCACGCAATTTATAAAGAGTTACTTTCACTTCATATTCGACACAGGCAGCTTCAAAATAATTGGCCTAAAGAAAATAACTCTATTTGGTTGAGAAGTATGTTTCATACAGTAAAAATACAAAACAAATAAAAGAAATTGTGGAATATTAAACTCTAAAGAGCATTAATTATTGAAACAGTTTTCATTAAAATACAAAACTATCTTTTATTTCTGTAAATAAATCAAATGAAGAAACTGTTTTGATAATACAAGAATTCTTATTTTAAAATTTTATTTGTAGATGGATGCTGCATGATTTCTACTTATTCTACTCGGAAAAAGAAGATAACGAAATGAAACATTTTGTTAAATTTTGTATTTAATAATATATAAATAATATATAACATCAATCATAACTTACCAATCTGTTCGAAACATGCCTTAATAACTACATTTCTAATTGTTGGTGACTCATTAGGAGTGTTTGGTTTTACAATTAATTCGATGGTGTTCCCGGGTTTTCCGCCTAGACTGATAGGATTGTCGAAATTATCAACCTTAAAAAAGAAAGGAAATACTTATGACATTCACTGCGTCATCTAGTTGCTTAAGGCTTTTGTTTGAGAAATCTAATGAAGCGCTGGTTGATCAATGTTCTTCTTAACAGCAACTGTAATAATCAACTTTTCGTTCTAAAGACGTCAAAATGAATTATCGTAGTACTTACAGGTATTCTATCTATTACATTGGTGTCCTGTCTAATAATAACTGTTCCAGAATCAACATTGGTTTCATCCAAAGATATGGAGAACAGTTCTGATGTATCATCTTCATCGTTTAACTTAAAGATTAGTTTAGGGTTTTTGTCTGTATCAGCTGGAGTCCATCCTTTTGGTTTCTGTGAATCTGATGCCACATTTCCTGGAGCATCGGAAGAACTATCTACAGTGACATCAGTTGGTTGTGATCCATCCAACATGACTTTAATGCACTCTGTAATAATCAAAGAAATTTCCTCTTGTATAATCAAAATAAGACATCATCTATATAATTTAAGAAATACGCTTACGATCATCTGCAGATACTGGAGATATATACTTATATATACTTATACCAGTGTCTGAGCAGAAAGTTGATGAACCAGAGGTATGTCAAAGAACCTCTCGTCCTTTTTCTAAAAAGATCATCGGAAGGTACCAAGAACTTGTTGATAAATATTCCGTATCAACTTCACAAATAATACACGATGGTCTTGAAGTATATATTTTGCGTACTGACGTTGTTTATCATCTTAATAACGTGTTATAGTATTCTTTTATTTATCTTTATTAATATTACTTTTACTGTTAAGTCTGTTTTTTTAGATATCCATTTGACGTGACTCTGTGCTTATGTATCCCGTCATACTTTGAACGACAAAATTATTTTATTTATTAATATTACTTTTACTGTTGAGTCTGTTTTTTGTGATATACATTTGACGTGACTCTGTTCTTATGTATATCGTCATACTTTGTACCACACTATTATTTTATTTTATTTATTGATATTACTTTTACTGTTAAGTCTGTTTTTTGTTATATCCATTTTACGTGACTCTGTATTTATGTATCCCCTCATACTTTGAACGACTAAATGATTTTATGTCTACCTGTGCGAATTTCAAACGCGCGATTTTACGCCAGTACTTAAAACCTTCCATCCTTTATGGGTGGATTTTACATAGATAAATAAAATCGTATAATATGAGCAAAATGAGGATTTTAAATTTGATGTATGACTTTTTGTGCTTCTTCGTTACATTTGTTTGTTTTTATAGTGATTAAGATGATAACACAATGTTGACTGCTGTACCCCTATTTTTGACATTTTTACCTATTGTATCTGTTTGTTTTGTTCACGCATCGTTTTCAATATAATGGAATTTGATGCGACTGTCATACAAGTGAGAGGTTAAGCTAGCTATAAAAACAGGTTCAATCCACCATTTTCTACATAAGAAAATGCCTGTACCAAGTTAGGAATATGACAGTTGTTATCCATTCGTTTGATGTGTTTGATTTTTCGATTTTGCCATTTGATTGGGGACTTTTCTTTTTGAAATTTCCTCGGAGTTCAGTCTTTTTGTGATTTTACTTCTCATTGGTTTAACTGTTAAATTTGTACAGTTTGTTTGTTTTTTATGTCATAATAACATTTCTAAGTTAAATGTAGATAACCATGAATGACTAAATCAATAATTAATCAAATGAATTATGATTCTTGTTTTCCAACTAATAAAAGGATTATATAATTCCTGTTCTCCAACTACTAGTAATTAGATAAAATATGATTGATGTCTTCCAGAGTTCTAGTTATTTTACTTTCTACGCAAAAACAAAATGTTGTTCAACAATGACCAAATCAACCATCTCGTGAATTTTCGTCAATGATCATAGTTCCAGTCAGTTTTAATCTAAATAATTAATTTCACAAACTCAAATTTGTACCATGGGGAACAATCAGAAGTTGACTTTGGTTTGAATGATTAAAAGATAAGTAATACGTTACATAAAATAATACATCAATAAAATATTAGGTATAAACACAAATATTCGACAGTACAACATAACACAACAACCACCAATACTCGTTTTCACCGAAATGAAAAGAATGCATTAATGACAAACCAATTACCTGTTGTTGTCAAAACAGTTGTTGTTGAAGAAACACTTGGTGATGTTTCAATTGTTATGACACTTGTTTCTGTAGTTGGCGAAGGTGTTGTAGTGTAAGTGCTTGCACTAGGTTGTGTCGATATGAGACTGGTACCACTTGGTTGTGTCGATATGATACTGCTACCACTTGTTATGGCACTGGTTCCAGTTGTTTTTGTCGATGGTGTGGTAGGGCCTGGTGTAGAAATAGCAGTAGTTGTTCCTGTACAAAATTATGAAAAAATATCAGAATATAAAAAAGTAATAAAATAACGAGACGTGTCTCATAGCGACGAAAACATGGGTCATAAATTTGAATCAATAAAAAGGCCAGACAATTACAAATAAGACAGACATATCACCAAAAAACAAATAATTTGATCAATTCCAACATGTTCATAGACATCCATCAAAGTAAACAGCAGATAACACTGAAAACTGAATTCGGAAAGCATACAAAACTCAAAGAGTGATTTCAGGTACCCATAAAGGGTAGCAGTATCTGATTAATGCTAGTCGTTTTGCAAAAGTTCAAATGTATTGTCCTACTTTATTTTCTTCGTTTTAACCTGCATTATTTTCCTTGATAAATCGTGATACAGCTTCAAACGCTTTTATGTATGTATCCATGCACGGTTTTCAAGTGGTTATGATTGACCGTTCATGGTTAAGGTTAATATAAAAAAGCATTTCAGACACACGCAATTTATAAAGAGTTACTTTCACTTCATATTCGACACAGGCAGCTTCAAAATAATTGACCTAAAGAAAATAACTCTATTTTGGTTGAGAAGTATATTTCATACAGTAAAAATACAAAACAAATAAAATAAGTTCGAAAAGAAATTGTAGAATATTAAACTCTAATTATTGAAACAGTTTTCATCAAAATTCTAAACTATCTTTTATTTCTGTATATAAATCAAATAGAGAACACTGTATCGATAGTACAAGAATTCTTATTTCAAATGTTTATATGTAAAAGGAAGCTGATTTCAACTTATTCTACTCGGAAAAAGAAGACAACAAAATGAAAATGAAACATTTTGTTAAATATTTTTTTAATGATATATAAATAATATATAACATCAATCATAACTTACCAATCTGTTCAAAACATGCCTTGATAACTACATTTTTAATTGTTGGTGACTCATTGGGAGTGTCTGGTTTAACAATTAATTCGATGATGTTCCCGGGTTTTCCGCCTAGACTGATAGGATTGTCGAAATTCTCAACCTGAAAAAGAAATGAAATTTCTATGATATTCACTGCGTCATCTAGCTGCTTAAGGCTTTTGTTTGAGAAATCTAATGAAGCGTTAGTTGATCAATTTTCTTCTTAACAGCAACTTAATAATCAACTTTTCGTTCTAAAGACGTCGAAATGAATGATCGTAGTACTTACAGGTATTCTATCAATAACAGTTGTATCCTGTCTAATAATAACTGTTCCAGAATCAACATTGGTTTCATCCAAAGACATGGAAAATAATTCGGATGTATCATCTTCATCGTTTAACTTAAAGATTAGTTTAGGGTTTTTGTCTGTATCAGCTGGAGTCCATCCTTTTGGTTTCTGTGAATCTGATGCCACAGCCCCTGGAGCATTAGAAGAACTATCCACCGTTACATCAGTTGGTTGTGAACCATCCAACATGACTTTAATGCACTCTGCAATAATCAAAGAAATTTCCTCTTGTATAATCAGACGGAGACATCAATTACATTATTTAAATTATACGCTTACTATCATCTGCAGATACTGGAGATATATACTTATTGCTTCTACTTTTTAAGTTGTACAGTCTATTTTTTTATGTCTTAATAAATTTTTAGTTAGATGTAGATTAACCATGAATGACTAAATCAATAATTAATCAAATGAATGTAAGATTCCTGTTTTCAAACTGATAAAAGGAATATTTGTTTCCTATTTTCTAAATACTAGTACTTAAATAAAATATGATTCATGTTTTCCACAATCCTAGTTATTTTAGTTTCTACGCAAAACAAACATATTCTTCTATTTTGAGCAAGTCGACCATCTCGTGACTTGTCGTCAACTATTACACTTTCGGTTAGTTCTAACCTAAGTATTGACTTCACAAACTCAATTTAGTATAATGGGGACCAATCAGAAGTTAAAACTGGTTTGAATGTTTAGAAGATAAGTGATTTGTCATATTAAATAATGCATAAATAGAATAATAGGTGTATAAACACAAATATTCGACAGTACAACATAACACAACAACCACCAATACTCGTTTTCACCGAAATGAAAAGAATGCATTAATGACAAACCAATTACCTGTTGTTGTCAAAACAGTTGTTGTTGAAGAAACACTTGGTGATGTTTCAATTGTTATGACACTTGTTTCTGTAGTTGGCGATGGTGTTGTAGTGTAAGTGCTTGCACTAGGTTGTGTCGATATAGCGCTGCTAACACTTGGTTGCGTCGATATGAGACTGGTACCGCTTGGTTGTGTGGATATGATACTGCTACCACTTGTTATGGCACTGGTTCCAGTTGTTTTTGTCGATGGTGTGGTAGGGCCTGGTGTAGTAATAGCAGTAGTTGTTCCTGTACAAAATTATGAAAAAGTATCAGAATATAAAAAAGTAATAAAACAACGAGACGTGTCTCATAGCGACGAAAAACATGGGTCATAAATTTGAATCAATAAAAAGGCCAGACAATTACAAATAAGACACATATCACCAAAAAACAAATAATTTGATCAATTCCAACATGTTCATAGACATCCATCAAAGTAAACAGCAGATAACACTGAAAACTGAATTCGGAAAGCATACAAAACTCAAAGAGTGATTTCAGGTACCCATAAAGGGTAGTAGTATCTGACTAATGCTAGTCGTTTTGCAAAAGTTCAAATGTATTATCCTACTTTATTTTCTTCGTTTTAACCTGCATTATTTTCCTTGATAATTCGTGATATAGCTTCTATCGGTTTTATGTATGTATCCATGCCCAGTTTTCAAGTGGTTATGATTGACCGTTCATGGTGAAGGTTAATATAAAAAAGCATTTCGGACGCACGCAATTTATAAAGAGTTACTTTCACTTCATATTCGACACAGGCAGCTTCAAAATAATTGACCTAAAGAAAATAACTCTATTTTGGTTGAGAAGTATATTTCATACAGTAAAAATACAAAACAAATAAAATAAGTTCGAAAAGAAATTGTAGAATATTAAACTCTAATTATTGAAACAGTTTTCATCAAAATTCTAAACTATCTTTTATTTCTGTATATAAATCAAATAGAGAACACTGTATCGATAGTACAAGAATTCTTATTTCAAATGTTTATATGTAAAAGGAAGCTGATTTCAACTTATTCTACTCGGAAAAAGAAGATAACAAAATGAAAATGAAACATTTTGTTAAATATTTTTTTAATGATATATAAATAATATATAACATCAATCATAACTTACCAATCTGTTCAAAACATGCCTTGATAACTACATTTTTAATTGTTGGTGACTCATTGGGAGTGTCTGGTTTAACAATTAATTCGATGATGTTCCCGGGTTTTCCGCCTAGACTGATAGGATTGTCGAAATTCTCAACCTGAAAAAGAAATGAAATTTCTATGATATTCACTGCGTCATCTAGCTGCTTAAGGCTTTTGTTTGAGAAATCTAATGAAGCGTTAGTTGATCAATTTTCTTCTTAACAGCAACTTAATAATCAACTTTTCGTTCTAAAGACGTCGAAATGAATGATCGTAGTACTTACAGGTATTCTATCAATAACAGTTGTATCTTGTCTAATAATAACTGTTCCAGAATCAACATTGGTTTCATCCAAAGATATGGAAAACAATTCGGATGTATCATCTTCATCGTTTAACTTCAAGATTAGTTTAGGGTTTTTGTCTGTATCAGCTGGAGTCCATCCTTTTGGTTTCTGTGAATCTGATGCCACAGCCCCTGGAGCATTAGAAGAACTATCCACCGTTACATCAGTTGGTTGTGAACCATCCAACATGACTTTAATGCACTCTGCAATAATCAAAGAAATTTCCTCTTGTATAATCAGACGGAGACATCAATTACATTATTTAAATTATACGCTTACTATCATCTGCAGATACTGGAGATATATACTTATTGCTTGTACTTTTTAAGTTGTACAGTCTATTTTCTTTATGTCTTAATAAATTTTTAGTTAGATGTAGATTAATCATGAATGACTAAAACAATAATTAATCAAATGAATATATGATTCCTGTTTTCAAACTGATAAAAGGAATATTTGTTTCCTACTTTCCAAATACTAGTACTTAAATAAAATATGATTCATGTTTTCCACAATCCTAGTTATTTTAGTTTCTACGCAAAACAAATATATTGTTCTATTTTGAGCAAGTCGACCATCTCGTGACTTGTCGTCAACTATTACAGTTTCGGTTAGTTCTAACCTAAGTATTGACTTCACAAACTCAATTTAGTATAATGGGGACTAATCAGAAGTTAAAACTGGTTTGAATGTTTAGAAGATAAGTGATTTGTCATATTAAATAATGCATAAATAGAACAATAGGTGTATAAACACAAATATTCGACAGTACAACATAACACAACAACCACCAATACTCGTTTTCACCGAAATGAAAAGAATGCATTAATGACAAACCAATTACCTGTTGTTGTCAAAACAGTTGTTGTTGAAGAAACACTTGGTGATGTTTCAATTGTTATGACACTTGTTTCTGTAGTTGGCGATGGTGTTGTAGTGTAAGTGCTTGCACTAGGTTGTGTCGATATAGCGCTGCTAACACTTGGTTGCGTCGATATGAGACTGGTACCGCTTGGTTGTGTGGATATGATACTGCTACCACTTGTTATGGCACTGGTTCCAGTTGTTTTTGTCGATGGTGTGGTAGGGCCTGGTGTACCAATAGCAGTAGTTGTTCCTGTACAAAATTATGAAAAAGTATCAGAATATAAAAAAGTAATAAAACAACGAGACGTGTCTCATAGCGACGAAAACATGGGTCATAAATTTGAATCAATAAAAAGGCCAGACAATTACAAATAAGACACATATCACAAAACAAGAAATAATTTGATCAATTCCAACATGTTCATAGACATCCATCAAAGTAAACAGCAGATAACACTGAAAACTGAATTCAGAAAGCATACAAAACTCAAAGAGTGATTTAAGGTACCCATAAAGGGTAGTAGTATCTGAATAATGCTAGTCGTTTTGCAAAAATTCAAATGTATTACCCTACTTTATTTTCTTCGTTTTAACCTGCATTATTTTCCTTGATAAATCGTGATATAGCTTCTATCGCTTTTATGTATGTATCCATGCCCGGTTTTCAAGAGGTTATGATTGACCGTTCATGGTGAAGGTTAATATAAAAAAGCATTTCGGACGCACGCAATTTATAAAGAGTTACTTTCACTTCATATTCGACACAGGCAGCTTCAAAATAATTGACCTAAAGAAAATAACTCTATTTTGGTTGAGAAGTATATTTCATACAGTAAAAATACAAAACATATATAATAAGTTCGAAAAGAAATTGTAGAATATTAAACTCTAATTATTGAAACAGTTTTCATCAAAATTCTAAACTATCTTTTATTTCTGTATATAAATCAAATAGAGAACACTGTATTGATAGTACAAGAATTCTTATTTCAAATGTTTATATGTAAAAGGAAGCTGATTTCAACTTATTCTACTCGGAAAAAGAAGATAACAAAATGAAAATGAAACATTTTGTTAAATATTTTTTTAATGATATATAAATAATATATAACATCAATCATAACTTACCAATCTGTTCAAAACATGCCTTGATAACTACATTTTTAATTGTTGGTGACTCATTGGGAGTGTCTGGTTTAACAATTAGTTCGATGATGTTCCCGGGTTTTCCGCCTAGACTGATAGGATTGTCGAAATTCTCAACCTGAAAAAGAAATGAAATTTCTATGATATTCACTGCGTCATCTAGCTGCTTAAGGCTTTTGTTTGAGAAATCTAATGAAGCGTTAGTTGATCAATTTTCTTCTTAACAGCAACTTAATAATAAACTTTTCGTTCTAAAGACGTCGAAATGAATGATCGTAGTACTAACAGGTATTCTATCAATAACAGTTGTATCCTGTCTAATAATAACTGTTCCAGAATCAACATTGGTTTCATCCAAAGATATGGAAAACAATTCGGATGTATCATCTTCATCGTTTAACTTAAAGATTAGTTTAGGGTTTTTGTCTGTATCAGCTGGAGTCCATCCTTTTGGTTTCTGTGAATCTGATGCCACAGCCCCTGGAGCATTAGAAGAACTATCCACCGTTACATCAGTTGGTTGTGAACCATCCAACATGACTTTAATGCACTCTGCAATAATCAAAGAAATTTCCTCTTGTATAATCAGACGGAGACATCAATTACATTATTTAAATTATACGCTTACTATCATCTGCAGATACTGGAGATATATACCTATTGCTTGTACTTTTTAAGTTGTAAAGTCTATTTTTTTATGTCTTAATAAATTTTTAGTTAGATGTAGATTAACAATGAATGACTAAATCAATAATTAATCAAATGAATATATGATTCCTGTTTTCAAACTGATAAAAGGAATATTCGTTTCCTATTTTCCAAATACTAGTACTTAAATAAAATATGATTCATGTTTTCCACAATCCTAGTTATTTTAGTTTCTACGCAAAACAAACATATTGTTCTATTTTGACCAAGTCGACCATCTCGTGACTTGTCGTCAACTATTACACTTTCGGTTAGTTCTAACCTAAGTATTGACTTCACAAACTCAATTTAGTATAATGGGGACCAATCAGAAGTTAAAACTGGTTTGAATGTTTAGAAGATAAGTGATTTGTCATATTAAATAATGCATAAATAGAATAATAGGCGTATAAACACAAATATTCGACAGTACAACATAACACAACAACCACCAATACTCGTTTTCACCGAAATGAAAAGAATGCATTAATGACAAACCAATTACCTGTTGTTGTCAAAACAGTTGTTGTTGAAGAAACACTTGGTGATGTTTCAATTGTTATGACACTTGTTTCTGTAGTTGGCGATGGTGTTGTAGTGTAAGTGCTTGCACTAGGTTGTGTCGAAAAAGCGCTGCTAACACTTGGTTGCGTCGATATGAGACTGGTACCGCTTGGTTGTGTGGATATGATACTGCTACCACTTGTTATGGCACTGGTTCCAGTTGTTTTTGTCGATGGTGTGGTAGGGCCTGGTGTAGTAATAGCAGTAGTTGTTCCTGTACAAAATTATGAACAAGTATCAGAATATAAAAAAGTAATAAAACAACGATACGTGTCTCATAGCGACGAAAACATGGGTCATAAGTTTGAATCAATAAAAAGGCCAGACAATTACAAATAAGACAGACATATCACAAAACAAGAAATAATTTGATCAATTCCAACATGTTCATAGACATCCATCAAAGTAAACAGCAGATAACACTGAAAACTGAATTCGGAAAGCATACAAAACTCAAAGAGTGATTTCAGGTACCCATAAAGGGTAGTAGTATCTGATTAATGCTAGTCGTTTTGCAAAAGTTCAAATGTATTGTCCTACTTTATTTTCTTCGTTTTAACCTGCATTATTTTCCTTGATAAATCGTGATACAGCTTCAAACGCTTTTATGTATGTATCCATGCACGGTTTTCAAGTGGTTATGATTGACCGTTCATGGTTAAGGTTAATATAAAAAAGCATTTCAGACACACGCAATTTATAAAGAGTTACTTTCACTTCATATTCGACACAGGCAGCTTCAAAATAATTGACCTAAAGAAAATAACTCTATTTTGGTTGAGAAGTATGTTTCATACAGTGAAAATACAAAACAAATAAAATAAATTCGAAAAGAAATTGTAGAATATTAAACTCTAATTATTGAAACAGTTTTCAACTATCTTTTATTTCTGTAAATAAATCAAATAAAGAACACTGTTTCGATAATACAAGAATTCTTATTTCAAATGTTTATATGTAGATGAATGCTGATTTCAACTTATTCTACTCGGAAAAAGAAGATAACGAAATGAAACATTTTGTAAAATATTTTTTTAATGATATATGAATAATATATAACATCAATCATAACTTACCAATCTGTTCGAAACATGCCTTGATAACTACATTTTTAATTGTTGGTGACTCATTACGAGTGTTTGGTTTAACAATTAATTCGATGATGTTCCCGGGTTTTCCGCCTAGACTGATAGGATTGTCGAAATTCTCAACCTGAAAAAGAAATGAAATTCCTATGATATTCAATGCGTCATCTAGCTGCTTAAGGCTTTTGTTTGAGAAAACTAATGAAACGTTAGTTGATCAATTTTCTTCTTAACAGCAACTTAATAATAAACTTTTCGTTCTAAAGACGTCGAAATGAATGATCGTAGAACTTACAGGTATTCTATCAATTACAGTTGTATCCTGTCTAATAATAACTGTTCCTGAATCAACATTGGTTTCATCCAAAGATATGGAAAACAAATCTGATGTATCATCTTCATCGTTTAACTTAAAGATTAGTTTAGGGTTTTTGTCTGTATCAGCTGGAGTCCATCCTTTTGGTTTCTGTGAATCTGATGCCACAGCCCCTGGAGCATTAGAAGAACTATCCACCGTTACATCAGTTGGTTGTGAACCATCCAACATGACTTTAATACACTCTGCAATAATCAAAGAAATTTCCTCTTGTATAATCAGACGGAGACATCAATTACATTATTTAAGAAATACGCTTACTATCATCTGCAGATACTGGAGATATATACTTATTGCTTGTCCTTTTTAAGTTGTACAGTTTATTTTTTTATGTCTTAATAAATTTTTAGTTAGATGTAAATTAACCATGAATGACTAAATCAATAACTAATCAAATGAATAGATTCCTGTTTTCAAACTGATAAAAGGAATATTCGATTCCTGTTTTCCAACTACTAGTAATTAAATAAAATATGATGCATGTTTTCCACAATCCTAGTTATTTTAGTTTCTACGCAAAACAAACATATTGTTCTATTTTAACCAAGTCGACCATCTCGTGACTTGTCGTCAACTATCACAGTTTCAGTTAGTTCTAACCTAAGTATTGACTTCACAAACTCATTTTAGTATAATGGGGACCAATCAGAAGTTAAGACTGGTTTGAATGTTACGAAGATAAGTGATTTGTCATATTAAATAATGGATAAATAGAATAATAGGTGTATAAACACAAATATTCGACAGTACAACATAACACAACAACCACCAATACTCGTTTTCACCGAAATGAAAAGAATGCATTAATGACAAACCAATTACCTGTTGTTGTCAAAACAGTTGTTGTTGAAGAAACACTTGGTGATGTTTCAATTGTTATGACACTTGTTTCTGTAGTTGGCGATGGTGTTGTAGTGTAAGTGCTTGCACTAGGTTGTGTCGAAATAGCGCTGCTAACACTTGGTTGCGTCGATATGAGACTGGTACCGCTTGGTTGTGTGGATATGATACTGCTACCACTTGTTATGGCACTGGTTCCAGTTGTTTTTGTCGATGGTGTGGTAGGGCCTGGTGTACCAATAGCAGTAGTTGTTCCTGTACAAAATTATGAAAAAGTATCAGAATATAAAAAAGTAATAAAACAACGAGACGTGTCTCATAGCGACGAAAACATGGGTCATAAATTTGAATCAATAAAAAGGCCAGACAATTACAAATAAGACACATATCACCAAAAACAAATAATTTGATCAATTCCAACATGTTCATAGACATCCATCAAAGTAAACAGCAGATAACACTGAAAACTGAATTCAAAAAGCATACAAAACTCAAAGAGTGATTTAAGGTACCCATAAAGGGTAGTAGTATCTGAATAATGCTAGTCGTTTTGCAAAAATTCAAATGTATTACCCTACTTTATTTTCTTCGTTTTAACCTGCATTATTTTCCTTGATAAATCGTGATATAGCTTCTATCGCTTTTATGTTTGTATCCATGCCCGGTTTTCAGGTGGTTATGATTGACCGTTCATGGTGAAGGTTAATATAAAAAAGCATTTCGGACGCACGCAATTTATAAAGAGTTACTTTCACTTCATATTCGACACAGGCAGCTTCAAAATAATTGACCTAAAGAAAATAACTCTATTTTGGTTGAAAAGTATATTTCATACAGTAAAAATACAAAACAAATAAAATAAGTTCGAAAAGAAATTGTAGAATATTAAACTCTAATTATTGAAACAGTTTTCATCAAAATTCTAAACTATCTTTTATTTCTGTATATAAATCAAATAGAGAACACTGTATCGATAGTACAAGAATTCTTATTTCAAATGTTTATATGTAAAAGGAAGCTGATTTCAACTTATTCTACTCGGAAAAAGAAGATAACAAAATGAAAATGAAACATTTTGTTAAATATTTTTTTAATGATATATAAATAATATATAACATCAATCATAACTTACCAATCTGTTCAAAACATGCCTTGATAACTACATTTTTAATTGTTGGTGACTCATTGGGAGTGTTTGGTTTAACAATTAATTCGATGATGTTCCCGGGTTTTCCGCCTAGACTGATAGGATTGTCGAAATTCTCAACCTGAAAAAGAAATGAAATTTCTATGATATTCACTGCGTCATCTAGCTGCTTAAGGCTTTTGTTTGAGAAATCTAATGAAGCGTTAGTTGATCAATTTTCTTCTTAACAGCAACTTAATAATCAACTTTTCGTTCTAAAGACGTCGAAATGAATGATCGTAGTACTTACAGGTATTCTATCAATAACAGTTGTATCTTGTCTAATAATAACTGTTCCAGAATCAACATTGGTTTCATCCAAAGATATGGAAAACAATTCGGATGTATCATCTTCATCGTTTAACTTAAAGATTAGTTTAGGGTTTTTGTCTGTATCAGCTGGAGTCCATCCTTTTGGTTTCTGTGAATCTGATGCCACAGCCCCTGGAGCATTAGAAGAACTATCCACCGTTACATCAGTTGGTTGTGAACCATCCAACATGACTTTAATGCACTCTGCAATAATCAAAGAAATTTCCTCTTGTATAATCAGACGGAGACATCAATTACATTATTTAAATTATACGCTTACTATCATCTGCAGATACTGGAGATATATACCTATTGCTTGTACTTTTTAAGTTGTTAAGTCTATTTTTTTATGTCTTAATAAATTTTTAGTTAGATGTAAATTAACAATGAATGACTAAATCAATAATTAATCAAATGAATATATGATTCCTGTTTTCAAACTGATAAAAGGAATATTCGTTTCCTATTTTCCAAATACTAGTACTTAAATAAAATATGATTCATGTTTTCCACAATCCTAGTTATTTTAGTTTCTACGCAAAACAAACATATTGTTCTATTTTGACCAAGTCGACCATCTCGTGACTTGTCGTCAACTATTACAGTTTCGGTTAGTTCTAACCTAAGTATTGACTTCACAAACTCAATTTAGTATAATGGGGACTAATCAGAAGTTAAAACTGGTTTGAATGTTTAGAAGATAAGTGATTTGTCATATTAAATAATGCATAAATAGAATAATAGGTGTATAAACACAAATATTCGACAGTACAACATAACACAACAACCACCAATACTCGTTTTCACCGAAATGAAAAGAATGCATTAATGACAAACCAATTACCTGTTGTTGTCAAAACAGTCGTTGTTGAAGAAACACTTGGTGATGTTTCAATTGTTATGACACTTGTTTCTGTAGTTGGCGATGGTGTTGTAGTGTAAGTGCTTGCACTAGGTTGTGTCGATATAGCGCTGCTAACACTTGGTTGCGTCGATATGAGACTGGTACCGCTTGGTTGTGTGGATATGATACTGCTACCACTTGTTATGGCACTGGTTCCAGTTGTTTTTGTCGATGGTGTGGTAGGGCCTGGTGTAGTAATAGCAGTAGTTGTTCCTGTACAAAATTATGAAAAAGTATCAGAATATACAAAAGTAATAAAACAACGATACGTGTCTCATAGCGACGAAAACATGGGTCATAAGTTTGAATCAATAAAAAGGCCAGACAATTACAAATAAGACAGACATATCACAAAACAAGAAATAATTTGATCAATTCCAATATGTTCATAGACATCCATCAAAGTAAACAGCAGATAACACTGAAAACTGAATTCGGAAAGCATACAAAACTCAAAGAGTGATTTCAGGTACCCATAAAGGGTAGTAGTATCTGATTAATGCTAGTCGTTTTGCAAAAGTTCAAATGTATTGTCCTACTTTATTTTCTTCGTTTTAACCTGCATTATTTTCCTTGATAAATCGTGATACAGCTTCAAACGCTTTTATGTATGTATCCATGCACGGTTTTCAAGTGGTTATGATTGACCGTTCATGGTTAAGGTTAATATAAAAAAGCATTTCCGACACACGCAATTTATAAAGAGTTACTTTCACTTCATATTCGACACAGGCAGCTTCAAAATAATTGACCTAAAGAAAATAACTCTATTTTGGTTGAGAAGTATGTTTCATACAGTAAAAATACAAAACAAATAAAATAAATTCGAAAAGAAATTGTAGAATATTAAACTCTAATTATTGAAACAGTTTTCAACTATCTTTTATTTCTGTAAATAAATCAAATAAAGAACACTGTTTCGATAATACAAGAATTCTTATTTCAAATGTTTATATGTAGATGAATGCTGATTTCAACTTATTCTACTCGGAAAAAGAAGATAACGAAATGAAACATTTTGTAAAATATTTTTTTAATGATATATGAATAATATATAACATCAATCATAACTTACCAATCTGTTCGAAACATGCCTTGATAACTACATTTTTAATTGTTGGTGACTCATTACGAGTGTTTGGTTTAACAATTAATTCGATGATGTTCCCGGGTTTTCCGCCTAGACTGATAGGATTGTCGAAATTCTCAACCTGAAAAAGAAATGAAATTCCTATGATATTCAATGCGTCATCTAGCTGCTTAAGGCTTTTGTTTGAGAAAACTAATGAAACGTTAGTTGATCAATTTTCTTCTTAACAGCAACTTAATAATCAACTTTTCGTTCTAAAGACGTCGAAATGAATGATCGTAGAACTTACAGGTATTCTATCAATAACAGTTGTATCCTGTCTAATAATAACTGTTCCAGAATCAACATTGGTTTCATCCAAAGATATGGAAAACAATTCGGATGTATCATCTTCATCGTTTAACTTAAAGATTAGTTTAGGGTTTTTGTCTGTATCAGCTGGAGTCCATCCTTTTGGTTTCTGTGAATCTGATGCCACAGCCCCTGGAGCATTAGAAGAACTATCCACCGTTACATCAGTTGGTTGTGAACCATCCAACATGACTTTAATGCACTCTGCAATAATCAAAGAAATTTCCTCTTGTATAATCAGACGGAGACATCAATTACATTATTTAAGAAATACGCTTACTATCATCTGCAGATACTGGAGATATATACTTATTGCTTGTCCTTTTTAAGTTGTACAGTTTATTTTTTTATGTCTTAATAATTTTTTAGTTAGATGTAAATTAACCATGAATGACTAAATCAATAACTAATCAAATGAATAGATTCCTGTTTTCAAACTGATAAAAGGAATATTCGATTCCTGTTTTCCAACTACTAGTAATTAAATAAAATATGATGCATGTTTTCCACAATCCTAGTTATTTTAGTTTCTACGCAAAACAAACATATTGTTCTATTTTAACCAAGTCGACCATCTCGTGACTTGTCGTCAACTATCACAGATTCGGTTAGTTCTAACCTAAGTATTGACTTCACAAACTCATTTTAGTATAATGGGGACCAATCAGAAGTTAAAACTGGTTTGAATGTTTAGAAGATAAGTGATTTGTCATATTAAATAATGGATAAATAGAATAATAGGTGTATAAACACAAATATTCGACAGTACAACATAACACAACAACCACCAATACTCGTTTTCACCGAAATGAAAAGAATGCATTAATGACAAACCAATTACCTGTTGTTGTCAAAACAGTTGTTGTTGAAGAAACACTTGGTGATGTTTCAATTGTTATGACACTTGTTTCTGTAGTTGGCGATGGTGTTGTAGTGTAAGTGCTTGCACTAGGTTGTGTCGATATAGCGCTGCTAACACTTGGTTGCGTCGATATGAGACTGGTAACGCTTGGTTGTGTGGATATGATACTGCTACCACTTGTTATGGCACTGGTTCCAGTTGTTTTTGTCGATGGTGTGGTAGGGCCTGGTGTAGTAATAGCAGTAGTTGTTCCTGTATAAAATTATGAAAAAGTATCAGAATAAAAAAAAATAATACAATAACGAGACGTGTTTCATAGCAGCTGAAAAAAGGGTCATCAATTTGAAATGAAATAAGGAAATTCGTTAAAGAAAAAGAAAACCTCACTCGAGAATCTGAAATGTTATTCTGATAAATGTATTGTTGCAGAATATCTGAATATAAACATATTTTGTCTACGTACATACTTTATTTCAATTACATACTATAAGTAAGTTTGAACGAGAATCTTTCAAACAATCATTGAAAACCAAGGAAGTACAAGACCTTAACACGTGAATGATCGTAATAGAGTTAAATAGATAGAAAATTCATCTAATGTCAACTTAAGGTTTCCAAATATCTGAATACAAACATATTTTGTCCAGTTTATATCTTATTTTAATGACAATACATTTTTGAGTTTAAATTTGTTTTTAAAACTATTTACCTTCCCTGCAGACTTTTACGATTACATTTTTCACGACAGGCGTTTTATCTGATGACACAGGTGTTATTTTCAATTCAATCTTGTTACCCGGAACTATGTCCTTCTTAATATTTGGTAACATTACTTCTACTATTTTCTCATCTGGTTGTACCTGTTTATAAATAAAATTACCCTTAAAAACTAAAAGAGAGACATATCTTACAATATGCAAATGAAACAATGTCATTAAATATTGAATTTCTGCAAATGGACGCCTGAACACAGAGACTTTCTTCGTTTCTTTTATGATAAGTAATGCGCCTGCAGCATCCGAGAATATATAACTAAAATGATTTTGCACGGAAGTACTATCAAAGTCAAATAAACGGGTCAAGATTGTATTCAGTGCCTTTTACTATATTTTATTTGAATTTTGTCATCTAGATTTCTATTGAGTTTATTTCTACAAAACAAAAGTTGTTCTATATCTTTTTACCTGTTATCTATCTATAGCACATGCAAATAGTAAATACTGTATGGTCTTTTCTTGAACGTTTTTATTATTATTTCAAATCTAGCTGTATTTCTTTTTGGTAGAATACAGTTTACAAGATTCTATTTTAATATTGTACGGAATACTTCCAATGTTTGCTCATTTAACTTTACAAATGTACCGCAATTTTGTTCACATAATAAACATTATTTTTCTGATATAAATCTGTTTATACAAATTTCGCATTATTAAATTAGTTACAATAGGATTAGTTGCTCTTCTTTTATCATCTGAATAAGGAATCTATGACAAAACAATCGGAGACATCTTCTTTGATAAAATAACCTGGCTCTGATCAGTAAAAGCCGTGTCAGAGGTGTAAAGTACAAACATTCGTTCATATTTCGTTAAAACATGTAGAGAAGTACAAGCGAAACTGATCGGAATCTTACAATATCAAAACTATTATCGTTTTAAAGTGAATTGTAATCTGTAATGTGGTTGGACACCTTACAATAATCAACCATTGTGAATACAACAAGATTTAATTGCAGCATACCTTGAAAGGCTCATCAAAAACGACTTTATTGTTATCATAAACAACGATTCGGACAGTTTCAACTTCTTCTGTTTCAACAATTACATCCATTAACGGATAAGGTTCTTCCCATGACAAAGTGACAACTGGATTAGTGTCTGTGACTTTTGGTGTCCATCCTTCAGGCTCTAGAGCTTGGTATGCTTCCTTTTTGTTGGATGAAGTAGTCACTGTATCAACGTCTAGGGTATTAGACATCATATTTAGTGGGCACTCTTCATACGCTATAAATAAAAGAATGTTCAACTAGTCATAAGGGGCACTGCATGTATGTTTCTTATACAGATCCTCTTAGTATACTTTGTTTGTTTTCAAAAAGTATATTCCAAGTTATTGTTGCACATATTATGGAATAACACAATAAACACTTATTTTATTCTTATTTCCTGTTGAGGAATATTTGTTTAGGATGTTTAAGTGGAGAGATAAAATATCAAGTATACGAACTTCCTTTACAAAACAATTTTCTGTAAATGAATCTGAACAACGCAATACCAAGATAGTTAAGCTTTGTTTCGGTTTACCACACCAATGAAAATGTATCGTCTTATTTAATTAATGTAATTAGGTTGAAATATATTTACGTGAAGTAGTTGATGTAACATGTGGCGTCATGGAAACTGTCGCTGCTGTGGTTGAGGTTATTGATTCCGAAGTAATTGATGTTGTACCTCTCGCTGTTGTTTTCACTACAAAGTACAACATGTTAGCGTTTAGAAATGTAATGTGCAAACTAAGCCTTTTCCAATCAATTAAATGCTTTTCTTTATAACATGAATCGGTTACCTAATAAAACTTTCTAACTTTTAAAAGACGATATAACATATTCTTTTTATAATAAATAAAAAAAGAAGTGCCAAAAAATTCTTATACAAACTTGGCTTCAATAAACTTGGAATATCTTTCATTTAAAGACAACAAACAACGTCAAATAAACAGGTCAAAGTTATATTCAGTGCCTTTCACTGAGTTTTATTCGATTTTGTTTTTTCTAGATTGTAAAAGTCTTGAAATATATTTACATGTAGTTGTAGATGAAATGTGTGGCGTCATTGAAATTGTGGCTGGTGTGGTGGAAGTTATTGATTCCGAGGTTATCGGTGTGGTACCTTTAACTGTTGTTTTCACTACAAATTACAACGTAAGCATTTAATAATGTCATGTGTAAATTAAGTGTTTTATAATTGATTGAATGTTTTTTCTTTATATAAGGCATCGGGTACATATCAAATTTCAAAACTTGAAAAAACACGTTATAAAATACTTTCTTATCAAACACAAACCTGAAGAGCCAAAACTTTCTTATTAAAACTTGACATCAATAAAATTAGATTGTTTTTAAAATAAAGAAATCAAAATCAAGCCCTTTCATAAGCTTACCGCCAACGGAACAATCTGTAAAATAACATTAACACAAAATAATTGCCAATGCACTAATTAAGATTGCTGCAAACAATGTTTGTCTTTTACAATGCTTATTCTGCTCAATGTAGATGGGCAAACACGTCGTTTTACAATTTTTTTTCCTGTACTTAATGTTTAAAAGATTAACAAAAATATCTCACTCCATGTCAATCCCAATTGATATAGTATACATTAAACGAACTTAATATAATTGCTTATATATAATATTTGGTAAGAATTTACCTGTACTTTTTGGCGTCGTTGCCGAAGTTTCGACCATAGTAATAGCTGTAGTTGTCTCTAAAAAATACAAAGTTATTGTCATTGCCATGTTACGTTATCAGATCTAGAATCGCAAAGACCTAAACAGTGAAATTTGTATTCCATTGTTAATCAAATCAATCCCCTTTCTTTTCTTTTTTTGCAATACTGCTGCATTAAGAAAATCGTTTTCCAATACAAGAAATGTTCACACCAGGATCTGAAATTTTATTTTTATCAATGAAAATAACACTTTATTAGTTTCGTGCGCCCGAAGCACTTTTCTGTATTTACTTTCATAAGGAACGTTCAAACTCAAACATTTGAAAGCTAAGGATGTATTAGACCTTAACACGTGAATCACCGAAATGGACCTAACAACAGCACAATTCATCTAATGTCAACTTTATGAATGTTCTGTTTCCAAATATCTGAATAGAAACATATTTTGTAGAGGTACATTCCTTATTTTAATGACACGTCATTTATCTATTTGAATTTGTTTTTAAAACCATTTACCTTTCCTGCAGACTTTCACGTTCACATTTTTCACTACAGGCGTTTTATCTGATGATACAGGTGTTATTTTCAATTCAATTTTGTTACCCGGAACTATGTCCTTCTTAATATTTGGTAACATTACTTCTACTACTTTCTCATCTGGTTGTACCTGTTTATAAATAAAATTACCCTAAATAACTCAACAAGAGAAATATCTTTCAGTATGCAAAATCAACAATGCCATTTAATATTGAATTTATGCAAATGAACGCCTGAACACAGAGACTTTCCTTGTTTCTTTTATGATAAGCTATGCCCCTGTAGCATCAGAGAATATATAACTAAATTGATTTCGTACGGAAGAGCAAGTTAACAACAGATGAATGTAGTTCAATGAAAGTACTATCAATGTCGAATAAACGGGTCAAGGTTATATTCAGTGCCTTTTACTGAGTTTTGTTTCAATTTTGTCTTCTGGATTTCTATTGAGTTTATTTCCACGAAACAAAGGTTTTTCTATATCTTTCATCTGTTAACTATCTATAGCACATGAAAATAAGTAACACTGTGTGGCCTTTTCTTTGACGTTTTTATTATTATATTAAATTTAGCTGTATTTCTTTTTGGTAGAATACAGTTAAGAAAATTCTTATTTTTGGTTGATTACATGACAATTTAGTATTATTTACCTTCCAATACTCTTACAAAATATAATACGGAATACTTCCATTGTTTGATTAATCAGTTTTATAAATGAACCGCAATTTTTTTAACATTATAAATATTATTTTTGATCAATTCTGATATTAATCAGTTTGTACCGATTTCGCGATATTATCCTGGTTTCAATATGATTAATTGTGCTTCTTTTATCCTCTGACTAATGAATCTATGACAAAACAATCGGAGACAATCAAAGTAGTTTATCTTCTTTGATAGAATAAACTGGGTCTACACAGTAAAAGCCTTGCCGGAGGTGTAGAATATAAACATTCGTTCATACATTGTATTTCGTTAGAACATGTAGAGATGTACAAGCGAAACTGATCGGAATCTTACAATATCAACACTATTATCTTTTTAGAGTGAATTGTAATCTTTATATGTATTTGGAAACCCTACATAAATCAACAATTGTGAATACAAACAGATTCAAATTGCAACATACCTTGAACGGCTCATCAAAAACGACTTTATTGTTATCATAAACAACGATTCGGACAGTTTCAACTTCTTCTGTTTCAACAATTACATCCATTATTGAATAAGGTTCTTCCCATGACAAAGTGACAACTGGATTAGTGTCTGTGACTTTTGGTGTCCATCCTTCAGGCTCTAGAGCTTGGTATGCTTCATTTTTGTTGGATGAAGTAGTCACTGTATCAACGTCTAATGTACTAGATACCATATCTAATGGACACTCTTCGTACGCTATGAATAAAAAATTGTTCCACTAGTTATAAGGGGCACTCCATGTATATTTATCATACAGATCCTCTTAGTATACTTTGTTTGTTTTTCAAAATAAAATACTTTACCCCTCCCTTTTAAAAGTACATTATTGATAGTTGTTACATATATTATGGAAAAACAGAGTCGACACTTATTTTATTTCTATTTGCTGTTGACGAATATTTGTTTAGGTTATTAAGGTTGAAAGATAAAACAAATTAAGAAGACGAACGTCCCTTTACAAAATCAATTGCTGTATAAATGAATCCCAAAAATGCAATACCGAGTTAGTTCAACTCTGTATTGGTTTATTAAAAATGTAGATTATCGTCTTACTTAAATAATGTAAGGTGTTTGAATATATTTACGTGTAGTAGTAGATGAAATGTGTGGCGTCATGGAAATTGTGGCTGCTGTGGTTGAAGTCATTATTTCCGAAGTAATCGGTGTGGTACCTTTAACTGTTGTTTTCACTACAAATTACAATTTAAGCATTTAGAAATGTCATCTGTGAATAAAGTGTTTTATAGTTTATTGAATACTTTTCCTTTTAAAAGCATCTCATTCACTTAAATTTTCAATTTTTAAAAGACGATTATAAAATATGTTTCTTATGAAACACAAAACTGAAGAGTCAAAACATTCTTATTAAACATGACATCAATAAAGTTGGATTTTTCTTTTTTAGAAAAGAAATCAAAATCTTGTCACTTTATAAGCTTATCGCCAACGGAACAATCTGTAAAACAATTTGTCACAAAATTAACATAGAATATTTGCTTAAAGTAATCAATTCATTAATTAAGATTGCTGCAAACTATGTTTTTCTTTTACAATGCTTATTCTGCTCAATGTCAATCAGTAAATATGTCGTTTTATAATTTTGTTTCCTATACTAAATGTTTTAAAGATTATCAAAAATATCTCACTTAAATCCCAACTGATATAGTACACTTTAAACGAACTTAATGTAATTGCTTGTATGATATTCGTAAAGAATTTACCTGTACTTTTTGGCGTCGTTGCCGAAGTTTCGACCATAGTAATAGCTGTAGTTGTCTCTAAAAAATACAAAGTTATTGTCATTGACATGTTACGTTATCAGATCTAGAATCGCAAAGACCTAAACAGTGAAATTTGTATTCCATTGTTAATCAAATCAATCCCCTTTCTTTTCTTTTTTTGCAATACTGCTGCATTAAGAAAATCGTTTTCCAATACAAGAAATGTTCACACCAGGATCTGAAATTTTATTTTTATCAATGAAAATAACACTTTATTAGTTTCGTGCGCCCGAAGCACTTTTCTGTATTTACTTTCATAAGGAACGTTCAAACTCAAACATTTGAAAGCTAAGGATGTATTAGACCTTAACACGTGAATCACCGAAATGGACCTAACAACAGCACAATTCATCTAATGTCAACTTTATGAATGTTCTGTTTCCAAATATCTGAATAGAAACATATTTTGTAGAGGTACATTCCTTATTTTAATGACACGTCATTTATCTATTTGAATTTGTTTTTAAAACCATTTACCTTTCCTGCAGACTTTCACGTTCACATTTTTCACTACAGGCGTTTTATCTGATGACACAGGTGTTATTTTCAATTCAATTTTGTTACCCGGAACTATGTCCTTCTTAATATTTGGTAACATTACTTCTACTACTTTCTCATCTGGTTGTACCTGTTTATAAATAAAATTACCCTAAATAACTCAACAAGAGAAATATCTTTCAGTATGCAAAATCAACAATGCCATTTAATATTGAATTTATGCAAATGAACGCCTGAACACAGAGACTTTCCTTGTTTCTTTTATAATAAGCTATGCCCCTGTAGCATCAGAGAATATATAACTAAATTGATTTCGTACGGAAGAGCAAGTTAACAACAGATGAATGTACTTCAATGAAAGTACTATCAATGTCGAATAAACGGGTCAAGGTTATATTCAGTGCCTTTTACTGAGTTTTGTTTCAATTTTGTCTTCTGGATTTCTATTGAGTTTATTTCCACGAAACAAAGGTTTTTCTATATCTTTCATCTGTTAACTATCTATAGCACATGAAAATAAGTAAAACTGTGTGGCCTTTTCTTTGACGTTTTTATTATTATATTAAATTTAGCTGTATTTCTTTTTGGTAGAATACAGTTAAGAAAATTCTTATTTTTGGTTGATTACTTAACAATTTAGTATTATTTACCTTCCAATACTCTTACAAAATATAATACGGAATACTTCCATTGTTTGATTAATCAGTTTTATAAATGAACCGCAATTTTTTTCACATTATAAACATTATTTTTGATCAATTCTGATATCGATCTGTTTGTACCGATTTCGCGATATTATCCTAGTTTCAATATGATTAATTGTGCTTCTTTTGATTCTCTGACTAATGAATCTATGACAAAACAATCGGAGACAATCAAAGTAGTTTATCTTCTTTGATAGAAAAAACTGGCTCTACACAGAAAAAGCCTTGCCGGAGGTGTAAAATATAAACATTCGTTCATATTTCGTTAGAACATGTAGAGATGTACAAGCGAAACTGATCGGAATCTTACAATATCAACACTATTATCTTTTTAGAGTGAATTGTAATCTTTATTTGTATTTGGAAACCCTACCAAAATCAACAATTGTAAATACAAACAGATTCAAATTGCAACATACCTTGAACGGCTCATCAAAAACGACTTTATTGTTATCATAAACAACGATTCGGACAGTTTCAACTTCTTCTGTTTCAACAATTACATCCATTATTGAATAAGGTTCTTCCCATGACAAAGTGACAACTGGATTAGTGTCTGTGACTTTTGGTGTCCATCCTTCAGGCTCTAGAGCTTGGTATGCTTCATTTTTGTTGGATGAAGTAGTCACTGTATCAACGTCTAATGTACTAGATACCATATCTAATGGACACTCTTCGTACGCTATGAATAAAAAATTGTACCACTAGTTATAAGGGGCACTCCATGTATATTTATCATACAGATCCTCTTAGTATACTTTGTTTGTTTTCAAAATGAAATACTTTACCCCTCCCTTTTAAAAGTATATTACTGATAGTTGTTACATATATTATGGAATAACAGAGTCGACACTTATTTTATTTCTATTTGCTGTTGACAAATATTTGACTAGGTTATTAAGGTTGAGAGATAAAACAAATTAAGAAGACGAACGTCCCTTTACAAAATCAATTGCTGTATATATGAATCCCAAAAATGCAATACCGAGTTATTTCAACTTTGTATTGGTTTATTAAAAATGTATATTATCGTCTTACTTAAATAATGTAAGGTGTTTGAATATATTTACGTGTAGTAGTAGATGAAATGTGTGGCGTCATGGAAATTGTGGCTGCTGTGGTTGAAGTCATTATTTCCGAAGTAATCGGTGTGGTACCTTTAACTGTTGTTTTCACTACAAATTACAATTTAAGCATTTAGAAATGTTATGTGCAAATAAAGTATGTTATGATTTATTGAAAACTTTTCTTTTTAAAAAGCATTTCATACACTTCAATTTTCAATTTTTAAAAGACGATATAGTATATTTTTCTTATAAAACACAAAACTGAAGAGTCAAAATATTCTTATTTCAACTTGACATCAATAAAGTTGGATTTGTTTTAGCAAAGAAATCAAAATCATGTCACTTTATAAGCTTATCGCTAACGGAACAATCTGTAAAAATAATTTATTACAACATTAACACAAAATATTTCCTAAAAGTAATCAATTCATTAATTAAGATTGCTGCAAACTATGTTTGTCTTTTACAATGCTTATTCTGCACAATGTAAATGGGCAAATACGTCGTTTCACTATTTTGTTTCCTATACTAAATGTTTTAAAGATTATCAAAACAATCTCACTTCATGTCAATCCCAACTGATATAGTACACTTTAAACGAACTTAATATAATTGCTTTTATGATATTCGTAAAGAATTTACCTGTACTTTTTGGCGTCGTTGCCGCAGTTTCGACCATAGTAATAGCTGTAGTTGTTTCTACAAAATACAAAGTTATTATCACTGCCATGTTACGTTATTAGATTTAGAATCGCAAAGACCTAAACAGTGAAATTTTTATTCCATTGTTAATCAAATCGATCCCCTTTCTTTTCTTTTTTTGCAATACTGCTGAATTAAGAAAATCGTTTTCAATACAAGAAATGTTCACACCAGGATCTGAAATTTTATTTTTATCAATGAAAATAACACTTTATTAGTTTCGTGCGCCCGAAGCACTTTTCTGTATTTACTTTCATAAGGAACGTTCAAACTCAAACATTTGAAAGCCAAGGATGTATTAGACCTTAACACGTGATTCACCAAAATGGACCTAAAAACAGCACAATTCATCTAATGTCAACTTTATGAATGTTCTGTTTCCAAATATCTGAATAGAAACATATTTTGTAGAGGTACATTCCTTATTTTAATGACACGTCATTTATCTATTTGAATTTGTTTTTAAAACCATTTACCTTTCCTGCAGACTTTCACGTTCACATTTTTCACTACAGGCGTTTTATCTGATGACACAGGTGTTATTTTCAATTCAATTTTGTTACCCGGAACTATGTCCTTCTTAATATTTGGTAACATTACTTCTACTACTTTCTCATCTGGTTGTACCTGTTTATAAATAAAATTACCCTAAATAACTCAACAAGAGAAATATCTTAAAGTATGCAAAATCACCAATGTCATTTAATATTGAATTTATGCAAATGAACGCCTGAACACAGAGACTTTCCTTGTTTCTTTTATGATAAGCTATGCCCCTGTAGCATCAGAGAATATATAACTAAATTGATTTCGTACGGAAGAGCAAGTTAACAACAGATGAATGTACTTCAATGAAAGTACTATCAATGTCGAATAAACGGGTCAAGGTTATATTCAGTGCCTTTTACTGAGTTTTGTTTCAATTTTGTCTTCTGGATTTCTATTGAGTTTATTTCCACGAAACAAAGGTTTTTCTATATCTTTCATCTGTTAACTATCTATAGCACATGAAAATAAGTAAAACTGTGTGGCCTTTTCTTTGACGTTTTTATTATTATATTAAATTTAGCTGTATTTCTTTTTGGTAGAATACAGTTAAGAAAATTCTTATTTTTGGTTGATTACTTGACAATTTAGTATTATTTACCTTCCAATACTCTTACAAAATATAATACGGAATACTTCCATTGTTTGATTAATCAATTTTATAAATGAACCGCAATTTTTTTAACATTATAAACATTATTTTTGATCAATTCTGATATTAATCAGTTTGTACCGATTTCGCGATATTATCCTAGTTTCAATATGATTAATTGTGCTTCTTTAATCCTCTGACTAATGAATCTATGACAAAACATTCGGAGACAATCAAAGTAGTTCATCTTCTTTGATAGAATAAACTGGCTCTACAAAGTAAAAGCCTTGCCGGAGGTGTAGAATATAAACATTCGTTCATACGTTGTATTTCGTTAGAACATGTAGAGATGTACAAGCGAAACTGATCGGAATCTTACAATATCAACACTATTATCTTTTTAGAGTGAATTGTAATCTTTATATGTATTTGGAAACCCTACATAAATCAACAATTGTGAATACAAACAGATTCAAATTGCAACATACCTTGAACGGCTCATCAAAAACGACTTTATTGTTATCATAAACAACGATTCGGACAGTTTCAACTTCTTCTGTTTCAACAATTACATCCATTATTGAATAAGGTTCTTCCCATGACAAAGTGACGACTGGATTAGTGTCTGTGACTTTTGGTGTCCATCCTTCAGGCTCTAGAGCTTGGTATGCTTCATTTTTGTTGGATGAAGTAGTCACTGTATCAACGTCTAATGTACTAGATACCATATCTAATGGACACTCTTCGTACGCTATGAATAAAAAATTGTTCCACTAGTTATAAGGGGCACTCCATGTATATTTATCATACAGATCCTCTTAGTATACTTTGTTTGTTTTTCAAAATAAAATACTTTACCCCTCCCTTTTAAAAGTACCTTATTGATAGTTGTTACATGTATTATGGAAAAACAGAGTCGACACTTATTTTATTTCTATTTGCTGTTGACGAATATTTGTTTAGGTTATTAAGGTTGAGAGATAAAACAAATTAAGAAGACGAACGTCCCTTTACAAAATCAATTGCTGTATAAATGATTCCCAAAACTGCAATACCGAGTTAGTTCAACTCTGTATTGGTTTATTAAAAATGTAGATTATCGTCTTACTTAAATAATGTAAGGTGTTTGAATATATTTACGTGTAGTAGTAGATGAAATGTGTGGCGTCATGGAAATTGTGGCTGCTGTGGTTGAAGTCATTATTTCCGAAGTAATCGGTGTGGTACCTTTAACTGTTGTTTTCACTACAAATTACAATTTAAGCATTTAGAAATGTCATCTGTGAATAAAGTGTTTTATAATTTATTGAATACTTTTCCTTTTAAAAGCATCTCATTCACTTAAATTTTCAATTTTTAAAAGACGATTATAAAATATGTTTCTTATGAAACACAAAACTGAAGAGTCAAAACATTCTTATTAAACATGACATCAATAAAGTTGGATTTTTCTTTTTTAGAAAAGAAATCAAAATCTTGTCACTTTATAAGCTTATCGCCAACGGAACAATCTGTAAAACAATTTGTTACAAAATTAACATAGAATATTTGCTTAAAGTAATTAATTCATTAAGTAAGATTGTTGCAAACTATGTTTTTCTTTTACAATGCTTATTCTGCTCAATGTCAATCAGTAAATATGTCGTTTTATAATTTTGTTTCCTATACTAAATGTTTTAAAGATTATCAAAAATATCTCACTTAAATCCCAACTGATATAGTACACTTTAAACGAACTTAATGTAATTGCTTGTATGATATTCGTAAAGAATTTACCTGTATTTTTTGGCGTCGTTGCCGAAGTTTCGACCATAGTAATAGCTGTAGTTGTCTCTAAAAAATACAAAGTCATTGTCATTGCCATGTTACGTTATTAGATCTAGAATCGCAAAGACCTAAACAGTGAAATTTGTATTCCATTGTTAATCAAATCAATCCCCTTTCTTTTCTTTTTTTGCAATACTGCTGAATTAAGAAAATCGTTTTCCAATACAAAAAATGTTCACACCAGGATCTGAAATTTTATTTTTATCAATGAAAATAACACTTTATTAGTTTCGTGCGCCCGAAGCACTTTTCTGTATTTATCTCCATAAGGAACGTTCAAACTCAAACATTTGAAAGCCAAGGATGTATTAGACCTTAACACGTGAATGACCGAAATGAACCTAAAAAACAGCACAATTCATCTAATGTCAACTTTATGAATGCGCTGTTTCCAAATATCTGAATAGAAACATATTTTGTAGAGGTACATTCCTTATTTTAATGACACGTCATTTATCTCTTTGAATTTGTTTTTAAAACTATTTACCTTTCCTGCAGACTTTCACGTTCACATTTTTCACTACAGGCGTTTTATCTGATGACACAGGTGTTATTTTCAATTCAATTTTGTTACCCGGAACTATGTCCTTCTTAATATTTGGTAACATTACTTCTACTATTTTCTCATCTGGTTGTACCTGTTTATAAATGAAATTACCCTAAATAACTCAGTAAGAGAAATATCTTACAATATGCAAAACCATCAATGTCATTTAATATCGAATTTATGCAAATGAACGCCTGAGACTTTCCTTGTTTCTTTTATGATAAGCTATGCCCCTGTAGCATCAGAGAATATATAACTTAAATGATTTCGAACGGAAGAGCAAGTTAACAACAGATGAATGTACTTCAATGAAAGTACTATCAATGTCGAATAAACGGGTCATGGTTATATTAAATGCCTTTTACTGAGTTTTGTTTCAATTTTGTCTTCTAGATTTCTATTGAGTTTATTTTTACGTAACAAAGGTTGGTCTATATCTTTTTCCTGTTATACATATATATATATATGGTACATGAAAATGGTTAACACTGTATGGCCTTTTCTTGAACGTTTTTATTATTATATTCAATTTAGCTGTATTTCTTTTCGGTAGAAAAAATATTTTTACGGAATACTTCCCTTGTTATTTTAATCAACTTTACAAATGTACCGCCATTTTTTTTCCACATCATAAACATTGTATTTGGTCAATTCTGAGATTAATCTGTTTGTACCAATTTCACGATATTATACTGGTTATAATATGATTAATTGCGCTTCCTTTCTCATTAGACTAACGAATCTATGACAAAACAATCGGCGACAATAAAAGTAGATTAATCTTCTTTGATAGAATAATCTGGATCTACCTAGTATAAGCTGTGCCGGAGGTGCAAAATATAAACAGTCATTCATATTTCGTTAGAACATGTATGGAAATGTACATGCGAAACTGATCGGAATCTTACAAAATCAAAACTGTTATCTTTTTAGAGTGAATTGTAATATTTATATGTAGTTGGACACCTTACAATAATCCGCAATTATGAATACAACCAGATTTAAATTACAGCATACCTTGAAAGGCTCATCAAAAACGACTTTATTGTTATCATAAACAACGATTCGAACAGTTTCAACTTCTTCTGTTTCAACAATTACATCCATTATTGGATAAGGTTCTTCCCATAACAAAGTGACGACTGGATTAGTGTCTGTGACTTTTGGAGTCCATCCTTCAGGCTCTAGAGCTTGGTATGCTTCATTTTTGTTAGATGAAGTAGTCACTGTATCAACGTCTAAGGTGCTTGATACCATATCTACTGGACACTCTTCGTACGCTATGAATAAAAAAATGTTCCACTAGGTATAAGGAGCACTGCATGTATATTTGTCATACAGATCCCCTGTGTATACTTTGTTTGTAGTAACATATTTCTATACGGTTAAATACAATACAGCAAGCTTTTTTGAACAACATAGACTTTTATCTATAACTATTTAATTTCCTATGTTCACTTGTCTAAGATGCTTATGATATAGTAATGATAGTGTATTACTTAAGGAGGTTATTCGTACAGCAACTCGTAAGGTGGATAAGAACTCAATAGAGACAAGTATGAGAAACTTTCGCTCGCAAATAGATAGTTGGATAAACCACCTAAAATGTGTTGTATTCCAATTCATCAAACTGTTAAAATGATGCCAATGATCGTTAACAAACTTCTATCGCCTTAATTTACCGATATTCAAATCTCATTAATCCATTACGAAGATACAAATCAATGTAAAAAAGCAAAAACTGTGTGAATCACATTAACTCCAAAAGGAGAAAACCGGATGCGATGACAGGATAAGCGTTTCCTGATATGCATGCATTAGCATCATTAGCTAAAGGAACCTCTAGAATTTAAATTTAGAAGCATTGCTTTCAAAGCTTCATTGTTTCCTTTTGATTAAGGATGGTTTCTTTTAACGAATTACTGTATCTAATATAATTACTGAATACAGAATTCAAATACTGAACATTTGATATCATGTTTTTCTTTACATACTTTGTTTAAATTGTTGACAATACCATGATAAAAAAATATGTCATAAAAAAGTATATTCCGTTGTTTTGTAATTTAAAGGAGTAATGGCAATAGCGGCAACTATTTGACAAACATGATGTAAATTCATATCATATTCTGCTCTTTGGTCGGGTTGTTGTCTCTTTGACACAATCCTCGTTTCCATTCTCAATTGTATTCATGTTTATCGTTGTCATTTGCCAGGTTTAAATTAGCAGCTAGAACTGATAGAACTGATAGAATTGAATCCTTTATAAGGGGGTCAAGATCTTTTCATTTGTTTTTCTTGTTTGTGCCTATTATGGTATTTCAGATTTCAAATTACTGTTAAACGAAAAAGATGTTACAACGAAGATAATCAATACTATCTATCTATTATGATCTATGGTATATTAGTTAGAATATGTCTGATCTATGGTATATTGGTTAGAATATGCCTGATCTATGGTATATTGGTTAAAATACGGCTTATATATGGTATAGTGGTTAGAATTAGCCTGATCTATGGAATAGTTGCTATAATATGCCTTATCTATGAAATAGTGGTTAGAAAGGTGAAAATTGTAACCAGAGATGATGAAATGAAGTTTTGCGTTCAAATGAAAACTTAGATATCATAGTTTTCTTCATTACATCCTTCCGTTCACTTCTAATCAAACAAATTCTTAAAAAAGGAAAGTCAAATTTCCTGTCACTAAATATAGTTCAGCTAACGAAATAAAATAACGAGTTACTTAAAAATTTGTTCCAGGTTAATAAATCATGAGAAGGATTGTAGATACGGAAAGAAAACAGGGAAACAATTTTATATAACTTAATGTTTTTAAAAAATAATTGTTCATAGGTCTTACGGAAATACAGTACTTAAATTGTTAAGGATCGTATCTATCAGGTAAAAGTTAAGTAAATTGAAGGGGTTATAATATGCATACCACTTGTTGTTGTTGAAGGCGTTATGGTAATTGGTTGTGTTGTTTCCTGTGTTAACAAGGAAGTACTCCTGGTTGTGATTGAAGCTGATGTTGTTGATCTTGGTATTGTGTGGGTTGTTTGCATTGGTTTGGTTGTTGTTTCTGTAAAGAAATGTAAAACATATTTAAATGTCTGTAACGGATATTCAAAATGCATGATATATTTTTCTTTAAAAGGAATCGTTTAGAATAAGATGAAATAGAACAGCTTCACATTGTTTTTTTTCACTTCTTAAGATTTGATATAGGGTGATATGAGATCTTCAGAAAGTCACATAATATTACATATGTTACCTAAATATTTTAAACCAATATTTTGAGCTATTTGACAACAAAATTTATAAAAATTTTGAAATGCGCATTTTCATAAATATACATGACTAGAAATTGCATCAAAGATACCAGGCTTAATATTTCACTTCAACTGACAAATCATTACACGACGTTTACTTTCGGGAGTTTTGAGAGGGTTTAATAGATTACGATATTTAACTGTAATGTTTACTTAATTTGCTTACTATGTGCTGCTTAGAGTACTTTTGTTTTAGATTAAGAGGATATGAGACGATTGTACTACGATACTGGAACAGTAAATATGTATTCTCTAATTTTTGTGCCATTTTCACATTTCTTGATCGGTGTGAGAAAAAATTTCTCCTCACTAGTGAAAAATTTGTTCTCGGCAAATGATTGGTCGAAATTTAAAAATTACGTCAAATTTTCTTGATTTCTTCTGAAATTTCCTATTGTGACGTCATGAAAAGGCGACCATGCCTGATGACGTCACATATAAATAACACAACTTTCCGCAAATCTTTGAAAAAGGAAGGATAAAAGTCATTAGAGAAACAGATTCCACCACTATAACTCGTGTATTAGGATATGTATCCACTCTCAACAGTTAAATTTAAATTATTTAAAAAGCTCGGCAAGCCTCGCTTTAAATATCAAAATTTAACTGTCTCGAGTGGAGAAATATCGTAACACACTTGTTGCAGTGGTGAAATCTATATTTCTCTTTTGTTTTTTACTTGTGTTCCCTAATTTGTGTTATTTGTAACCTCATGAATTATCCTTTAACGTTATTCTTACTCTGCAAAGTGATCGCACACAAATTGAAGCAGAGCACCTAATGCTTTGGATAGATTTGATGTTTTCACAGGTCTCCCATTTGTGGAACTTAGTCATTTGTGTCATTAAATGCTACCGATGATACCTAGTTTGTGCCATCTGTAAACTCAAAAAGTTTTCCTTAAACATTATTCATACTTTAAGCATACAAATTGAAAATATACACCACCTATATTTGAATTGGAATAATTTTTTACGCTTCCCTTGTGCTATTCACAATCATTTTTTCATTGAATAGAGAATGTTTATTTCATCTGTATCTCCAACAGTACTATATAAATAACTTAAGATTGGGGTCTTGTATGAAATATGAAAAATGTATAAATTTTGGATCTTCAATGCTCTTCAACTTCTTACTTTTTGCCCTTTGATTTTTTTTATTCTAGCGTGACTGATGATTCTTTTGTAGACAAAAAGTTCGACTGGTGAACTAAAATTTAAGCCTGGTATATTTGATGAGTCTATATATATATTTATAAAATTTGTTCCTAAATAGCCATATTTAGATACCTACCGAACAGTAACTTAGATACAAAACCTTACGGTGATGTTATTTACCGAACCCGTAAATTCAGTTAAGATCCGGGTAAACTTATCAATCTTTTAAATAAACTTTTTCTAAAAGGTTACCAATTCAACACATTACTTAGATCTTTGAATATTGTTTTTATCAGTAAAAATATTGATTTCGTTATCAGTAAATTAAAACCATGATATTGTTGTTGTACACATATGCACATTCACGGATCTACAATCTGTAGATACCTATATTTTGGCTTTGCACATGGCCATTTTTTTTCTCTGACTGTTAATAACGTTTAGCAGCATGGATAAACACATCAATTGCATTTGTAATGTTTTAGCATGACAATGATAAGGTTGTAATAGTCTCTATGTGTGTTATTGTTCGTGGATAAAATTCGTCAATATTTAAATATGCAGCATTATATCGGCAAAACTACAGAAATGGTTTGTAAAATATAAAATTAACTTCATTTCATAGGGGTATAGTTTTTAAAAAGAGGGGGAAATATAAATTGTAGGCATCCAAAGCGCTTGCAAAAATAACCTTTATCAGGAACCCCAAAGCCAAATATTTGAAACCCAAGAATGTATAATTACCGTAACAGGTGAAGAGCTATATGACCCAAATGGACCAAAAACATAGCAAAGTCCATCTTAAGTCAATTTTGCACGAGAGAGTTGTATCCTTAGTTTCCGAATAATTTCTAAAACGTGTTAAACGTGCATATATGAAAAAATGATTTTACCAGGTAAAGTTTTGACATTTGTTGTTTTCATGTGTGTTGTTTGAATTCTAGTCGTTGCTGCCGTGCTGCCCCCAGCAGTTGTTACTCGTTCAGTTGTTCCCTCTGTTGGTATTACTTCGGTTGTACCGAATGATGTACTTTCTAAAATCATGTAAAATCGTTATAAATGAACAACGTTATTGTTAAACTGAATATGATCAATAATGAATTATGCCACCTCAACAATAAAGATGTTTTAGAGAATCACAAATATAATCTGTATACATAATCACTGACAAATAACCAACAACTATTAATGGGATTAAATATATAAATCTTAAGCGCTTGCCTATACAAACTCCTAAAAAATGGTTTAGATCAGAAACTGCCTACAATCCAGGAGAATCTGGGTTTTTATTCTTGTTTCGTGTTGCATAATCTTTCTTTTCCTTGTCTTGATTGCCTTTTCGTCTTTTTTCTCTATGGAGTTGCATGTCCTTTTCTAATCAATACTTTTTATTCTCCCCCCATGATTTCTCGAAATACCTGATATCAAACATTTTGTTTTGTGTAAATTAAGTAGGTGTATGCTTAAGTCTTTTTGGGATGTAATGGTCGTTATTAGCTTTTGACTAGCTTTCAGTAACTGCGAGTACCCTAAGATCGATCGATACCTTGTGTACGTTGTCTTTCTCTTAATTGTTTGTTAGTTCTTCATGCCGATCTTATCAGTGAATCCATTTCCAACTGTTTTTTTGCAGTTTGTTCTTCTGTTGTGTTTTTACTCCACTGTCCCATGTTTTGGTAGGGTTGAGCGCTCACAAACTCATTCTGTATATGCCTGTTCAAAATCGGGAGCCTGTATTTTAGTGGCTGTCGGTGGTCTCTGTCTGTCATAAGTGTTTTGCGGTTATTGTTTTGTCATAAAATCAGGTGGTTAGGTTTTTCTTTTGAATTGATTCGCATTTTGTCATGTCAGGGTCTTTTATAGCTGACTATACGGTATGGGTTTTGCACATTGTTGAAGGCCGTACGGTGACCTATAATTGCTTAATCTGCTTCATATGGACTATGTTGTCTTATTGCCAATCAAAACACATCTCCTTATTTTATACTACTACTATGTGTGTGTCCCAGAAAGATGGGAAAAGTTTCTTTACAGAAAAGACAATAACTTTTACCTCTTCTGGTAGTTTTAGTAAACTTGACAGTTGTTTCTATTCCTGTTGATGGTAAAGATGGTGTTTGAGAATAAGTTACGACTCTGGTAGATGTCTCTGTTTCTGGACTTCTTGTTGTTGTTATTGCAGTTCCAGTTGCTCCTGTTGTTTTACCTCCAGCTGTTGTTATATGCTCTGTTGGAGTCTTCGGACTAGTTTGTGTTGATGGTGATGGTGTTTGGGAATAAGTTACGACTCTTGTAGATGTCTCTGTTTCTGGACTACTTGTTGTTGTTTTTGCAGTTCCAGTTGCTCCTGTTGTTTTACCTCCAGCTGTTGTTATTTGTTCTGTTGGTGTTTTCGGACTAGTTTGTGTTGATGGTGATGGTGTTTCTGAATAAGTTACGACTCTTGTAGATGTCTCTGTTTTTGGACTACTTGTTGTTGTTATTGCAGTTCCAGTTGCTCCTGTTGTTTTACCTCCAGCTGTTGTTATTTGTTCTGTTGGAGTCTTCGGACTTGTTTGTGTTGATGGTGACGATGGTGTTTCTGAATATGTTACGACTCTTGTGGATGTCTTTGTTTCTGGACTACTTGTTGTTGTTATTGCAGTTCCAGTTGCTCCTGTTGTTTTACCACCAGCTGTTGTTATAAGTTCTGTTAAAAAACGGCAAATGATTTCTTTCTATAATTATGTATGGTTGTTTTGTTGTGTTTTAATTTTTTCTGGCCGATTATAATCGGTTCTTGTTATTCATGTCATAATGTGAAAAAATAGTTCTATAGTTTGGTATACAATGGTGAAGCGTTGAAGCAGCAAACTTTGTTTCGATATGATTTTTTTGTTGTTGTTCAAATTACAAAATGTTGATAATTTGTTTTTAGAATGAAGGTATGCCAATATGAGAATGTTGTGATATTTAAAATTTTTGTGAGGCTCTGGCCAACAAACTCATAAGTGACATCTCCATTATTTGTAAAATTGTATGCCATAGAAAGAACACTCATCTAAGAAATGAAAGGTTGCTGTTTCCTTGCCTTGTTTTCTGGCAGTATGTTAAAATAAGATGACAATACACATAGCATTAGTATGATCAAATCAAATAATCCAAGAGACAAGATAATGAATATAATTATACAATTATGAACACGATGGTGAACACGACAGTGAACGTACAAGTATCAGTATGTTGGGGTTTATTGTTCGTTATAAGGCTCTGGACAACATACCCAATAGTTGCAGTTCCATGATTAAAATGAAATAAACATTAATTATTTCCTAAAAGCAGGAAAAATAATACGTACCATCCTGAGGCAGCATAAAAAACAATATCAATGTTACAGGCATGCCAAGGCATAAACTACTATACATACCTTCTTGGCCTGAAAGGTAATAAAATTAAAGAATATGTAATAATAGGTTTACCTGTTTGTACATACCCATGTATCCATCTATGTTAATACAATTCCAGTAGAAATTCTTAAAAATTTCATTCCATCAAAAGTGTACCTATCAAAAAGTTAGAACATGTTAATATCATTTACTATACTTACCCTGCTACTTACCATTTCATGTAATTTTCTTCGCTGAGCCATGGTTAACCATAATGATGAACCCTTTGCGACCATTTGACATCATGTTCTTCACTAAGCCATGGTTAGCCATAATGAATCCTTTGCGACATTTGACATCATGTTCTTCACTAAGCCATGGTTAGCCATAGTGAACCCTTTGCGACTATTTCACATAATGTTCTTCGCTGTGCCATGGTTAACCAAAGGAACCTCTGACAGTCGTTCTCTTTTGTTTTACTTCTACTCTCAAAACGATACTAATAAAGATTGAACATATAAATGTTACAAATTTAGAATATCATAAAATCAAAGCAAATATACTTACTGTGTTACTTACCTTTGTTCATAGGCAATAACTGTTACAGTAATGATCTGCTGATAAGCCTCTCCTACAAGTAAAATCATCATGTTATTTTTTGTCAGATATAAGCTCAGTTGTCACACAAATTTCATTAAAAAGTCCAGTAACTGGAACTGTCAAATATTTGCATATATACTACTCAAAGAAAGTTTTGCAACTCTTCCATTGAAATTAATGGGTCAAACTTTGAGGTCTCATATCTTTACAGAAAATGCTCAAAGCGATCTGAAATTTACAGCATTCTTCATTCAAAGGTTGTTTAATTTATCAAGGAAGAAAAAAACTAAAATATTATGATTAAATTTTTGAGGTTCAAAAAAATGCCCCACTCAATTTTTGTTCGTTTTGGTTTTTTTTTTTTTTTTGTTTTTTTTTGTGTTGTATGCATTTTTTAACTATATCATGTGCAAAATATTGTAAAATTATGACCCTTCAACATAGCTGTAGTAGTTTTAAGAACACAAATGATTGAAGATTGAGAAAACCCAAACTTGAAAGATAAATCGAGATTTTGTTTTACTTTTTTCAGTCAGAAGTTGTGTTGCTTAACTTTTTTTAGTAGTATATATTTTTTTGGAAGGCTGACAACGTGTAGGTATCGTTACAGATTTTCGGGAGTCTTAATGGTGGTGTGTATACGAAGCCATATACAAATGTGGCCGTTGTGGTTTCTATGAAAAGATTTTCATTCTTGTTGCAGCTGTAAATGTCTTACATAAGTTTGATTAAATTGTATTATCCTGACTGTTCAAATTTCTGTCCTTTGTTTTTGTGTTTATTTTCTTTTCTTTACCAGTGATTAATTCATATACATCGCACTGGGCGTTAAGAAAGCAACAATCAATGAATCAAGATATAGCTATATAGAACGCTGAATAATTACAATTATAGAGGAAGTGGTTGACGGATGATATAACATTTGTGCTGAATTGACTTCAAGTACTTCAACGAGAACAAAACTATAAATATCTTTTTCATAACAAAAAAAAACAATATTTTCTTTAAAAGAGTATGGTAAACAAAAATGATGCGAAAAGTAGAGAGATAAATGTGTGTGTGGTTTCGGAAATATTTAACATTTGAAAAACTATAATTAAGGGCGGGAAAATGATGTTTCCACATCTTTCATTTGAAATATATGACAAGAAATGTCTTGCAACATGAACTTTATTTAAAATGAAGTAGACATAAAAATAATTTGAAAATATTTGTCTGGTGTGTATTTGAGGTATATGTTCAGTTATAGAGTAACATGAGGAGTTGATAAACATTAAAAACAAATTGAAATAGGCAGTAGCGAACATCCTTAATATATATTCAATAAATATTTATAAATGTTTCGAGTTATCAAATAATTTACACATAGATAATCTTAGATATTTATAACAGAGATGATTATTTAAGTAAGTTAGTCATACCTTTGTGCATTATGGTTGGCAAGAAGAGATATATTTCTTTCTTTACAACAATTGTCCGTTATTTGAAATAATTATACGTTTGCGCCGCTATTTATTAAAATACCTTGTATCATTGTGCCAAAAAATGTAGTATACGATTGCGCCAATTCTTAGATAAAATTGTATTTTAGTTTTACACTTAACAATAGAATGGGATGGTGCAAAAGAACTGTATGCAGCCGTTTCCAGAATAAGTCGTATAATCAAATAAGAGAGATGTGGTGTATACTAGTATTCCAAAGAGACAGTAAACCAACGACATAGACCTATCAAACGATGTCTATAGGTCAATATGCGGTCTTCAACAATAACTGTGTCATTATTTTACATTCTATTGTTATTATTATTGTCATCTTTATTATTTCACACATAGAAATGTATACAATTAAAAGAGAAAAAAAGGTTCTTTTATCTTTATTTCAAATGCTTTTTTTTCCGATATTTTAAATCAGGTTTAAATTATACGGGTCTTTGCTGAATTTAAAGTAGAAAAGTTTTATTATATTTATTTATTGATTCGTGTATCTGTTTCATAAATTGTGCACGAGTTGTTATCTTTCAAACATTTTTGTAGAATAATATCTGCATTATTTTAATTTGTAATATCCTCACACTTAATAAAAAATAAGCATACACTAAAGTTTTCATCATTTGAATACACATGTTAAAACATTATTCGTAAAGATTACAACTTCGGAAAAATATTGATAAGGAAAAAGTTGAGTTAAGATGGTTAAATTCTGTTTGGTAATTTTAAGACACCAAGAACAAAAAATTTTTTTTATGATATAGAATACTATAAAATTACTTACATATTTCCCCCAGACCATGTTACAAGGAAATCACGGTTGCATATGCCAGTGTGCGCTTTTCTTTCTGTATACGTTTATATAGGCATATATAAATAACCTCACGTTTTATCAAAGTTGACAAACGAATTGTCTTTCTTTTGAAATAAGAGGATTACACTTTTGAAGATCGTAAATAGACAAAGAAAAGACAAGGTATGAATCTATAACAACATATGTTGTTTATTTCTGTTTTGTTTCAGAAAATGCCTGAGCGTATAATCCTATTATGATTTCAAAAGATACTGTCAAAATTATTAATTTCTTCTTTAGAATACTGCAGTCTCGTATAAAAAGAAAACATTTTTTCTTTAAACCAAATGGTAATATTTCTATCTTTTTCAGTTTTAAGTACATTTCAGAGAAGAACAAATGAAACTGTCAGCAGTAAAATCTCTCACGTAATATGTTTATAGAAATAAGATTTTAGTTTTCAATACAGAGGTTACGGGACATATATACGTCTTTGAAACAATAACTTGGCATATAACAACCTTCTTACATTTTCTTCAGTGCTATGTTACAATAATCTTGCATTGTTTGAGATTAGACGGAAACGGCCCATAAATACAAATATTGTTGAAGAAAAAGGACTATTTGGCCATTTCGTTTTCGGAATTCATTTTTGGGTGTCAACGATAATTCATTACATACTAACAAACTTAAAATATATATTGAAACAAAATGAATAAGTCTTCATTCGTACGTCTGATTGAAGTCAGATCTTTACAGAAATGTAATTTGAGGGGGCGTGGAACCGACATGTCAAAAAAACAGCAACTAAAGACACAAAAGGAAACATAGGTCACTTATATAACATGTCAACAAAACAGCAACTCAAGACACAAAAAGAAACATAAGTCACTTATATAACATGTCAACAAAACAGCAACTGAAGATACAAAAAGAAACATAAGTCACTTATATAACATGTCAACAAAACAGCAACTAAAGACACAAAAAGAAACATAAGTCACTTATATAACATGTCAACAAAACAGCAACTGAAGATACAAAAAGAAACATAAGTCACTTATATAACATGTCAACAAAACAGCAACTAAAGACACAAAAAGAAACATAAGTCACTTATATAACATGTCAACAAAACAGCAACTAAAGACACAAAAAGAAACATAAGTCACTTATATAACATGTCAACAAAACAGCAACTAAAGACACAAAAAGAAACATAAGTCACTTATATAACATGTCAACAAAACAGCAACTGAAGATACAAAAAGAAACATAAGTCACTTATATAACATGTCAACAAAACAGCAACTAAAGACACAAAAAGAAACATAAGTCACTTATATAACATGTCAACAAAACAGCAACTAAAGACACAAAAAGAAACATAAGTCACTTATATAACATGTCAACAAAACAGCAACTAAAGACACAAAAAGAAACATAAGTCACTTATATAACATGTCAACAAAACAGCAACTGAAGATACAAAAAGAAACATAAGTCACTTATATAACATGTCAACAAAACAGCAACTAAAGACACAAAAAGAAACATAAGTCACTTATATAACATGTCAACAAAACAGCAACTGAAGATACAAAAAGAAACATAAGTCACTTATATAACATGTCAACAAAACAGCAACTAAAGACACAAAAAGAAACATAAGTCACTTATATAACATGTCAACAAAACAGCAACTAAAGACACAAAAAGAAACATAAGTCACTTATATAACATGTCAACAAAACAGCAACTAAAGACACAAAAAGAAACATAAGTCACTTATATAACATGTCAACAAAACAGCAACTAAAGACACAAAAAGAAACATAAGTCACTTATATAACATGTCAACAAAACAGCAACTGAAGATACAAAAAGAAACATAAGTCACTTATATAACATGTCAACAAAACAGCAACTAAAGACACAAAAAGAAACATAAGTCACTTATATAACATGTCAACAAAACAGCAACTAAAGACACAAAAAGAAACATAAGTCACTTATATAACATGTCAACAAAACAGCAACTAAAGACACAAAAAGAAACATAAGTCACTTATATAACATGTCAACAAAACAGCAACTGAAGATACAAAAAGAAACATAAGTCACTTATATAACATGTCAACAAAACAGCAACTAAAGACACAAAAAGAAACATAAGTCACTTATATAACATGTCAACAAAACAGCAACTAAAGACACAAAAAGAAACATAAGTCACTTATATAACATGTCAACAAAACAGCAACTAAAGACACAAAAAGAAACATAAGTCACTTATATAACATGTCAACAAAACAGCAACTGAAGATACAAAAAGAAACATAAGTCACTTATATAACATGTCAACAAAACAGCAACTAAAGACACAAAAAGAAACATAAGTCACTTATATAACATGTCAACAAAACAGCAACTAAAGACACAAAAAGAAACATAAGTCACTTATATAACATGTCAACAAAACAGCAACTAAAGACACAAAAAGAAACATAAGTCACTTATATAACATGTCAACAAAACAGCAACTGAAGATACAAAAAGAAACATAAGTCACTTATATAACATGTCAACAAAACAGCAACTAAAGACACAAAAAGAAACATAAGTCACTTATATAACATGTCAACAAAACAGCAACTAAAGACACAAAAAGAAACATAAGTCACTTATATAACATGTCAACAAAACAG